AACCCTAACCCTAACCCTAACCCTAACCCTAACCCTAACCCTAACCATAGGGTGTAGAAAGACAAGCACAAAGAAAGAGACATACTAGCACAAGTCATGTGTCATGGTGTATCCATGACATACCTTGTGAAACTAGGAATATCTTGTGTATACACAAACATGAGAATGGATTATCAAGCTCTCTTGCCTCTGCTATGCCGCGAACTTGAGGAGAATATGCAGCTTTGACTCTCAGACTGGGGGAGTTCAGTAGCCCGATGCTTGGTAATCCGGGGGGTTATCCCTCCGGGTTGGTAAGCAGCGGGGTATTAGACTATCCGAGCTGAGTCATTCAAGGCGGTATTAGAAATCAAGTTCTAAAAGCCGAAGCGCGATATCTCTTATCTCCATGTATGTACCTTTCTTCTGATAATATATATCAAAAGAATTTCGCTATACAGAGTCCCTGAAGAGCCATAGGCGAAACTACTGTCACGACGGTAGTTGGACTCCTTTGCTCTCAGAATTCAACGCTGCTCACTCGCGCTTCGCGCTCGTTCCTAACCCTAACCCTAAGAGTTGGGCTAAGGCAGAGTTAGGGGTGGAGGTTTCTACCCTAGATGTGATTGGAGCTCAAACACTCTCGTCGCTCTGCAGCGTAGTTTTGAAAAGAGGACTTGACCGTGGGTTGTCATGAAGCGCAAGTGGTGACGGAATAGGTATTTGTATTGAGCTAGTCAGGGATAAGACCGTACAATGTAACTAGGCCTTCAATTATGGTTGTACACGTAATCTCCGCTACACCACCCAGTACGGTGTAAATCAGGAGGTAGCTAGGACTACAGAGTTTTCTGATCAATCCAATGCCATGTGAGTTCATGATGTGGTGTAAGAATGAAGGAGAGCCAGCACTGACTGTGATGATGCCCTAGCAGTCCTGGAGGCTGCAGCTTCCATTGAACCACCGTACGCCCCACCGCAAGACGTGATTGTCCGAGCGCCAGGATCCATCCCTCCTGAAGCTAGCCAGGACTCAGATTATCAATACTGGGGATCCCGTCGGCCCCATGGGGTACGATTGATTTCCTGGGGTAAAAAGAAAGGACCAAGTGGGCTGGTGGGCTGGTGGGCTCTGCCATCAACGACACACATCGGCGCCAATGTTGGCGATACCACTGTAAGGCAGGCTGCAGCTCTATTTCACTTCTTGAGCTAGGGAGAGAGCTATTGTTATGCTCAACCCACCAACACATGAGGGGATAAGCTGCAAGCTGTAGGCGTACCCTGTCGGATAAACATTGGCGTATTGTCATACAATGCACTCGGATGTAACCCTCCTCACCTCCTGCTAATGTGCTGAAGGATGGCGACTGCATGCGGGCTGACATCTGACTGGCTCGCTTCGCGTGACCACCACCCTCAACCGTGAGGAGAAGGCCATGCCACCGCATGAACAGATCTCTCTCCCACATTCTGCTTTCTCTTCCTTCTTTCCCTCTCACTCCTAGTACAGTCAGTACCAGAGGATTAATCGCTCAGCTATTCGTCAATCGCGTGTCACACTTTCGTCTCCCCCCTTTCGTCCACGAAGCTCTCACATCAATCCTGCTCTTTGCTTGCCTAGCTATACGCTCTTTTTCGTGTTCTTCGTAATACTCCGACTTCACCATGTCTACCGCCATGAACTTGAGCGCTGCCCTCGCCCGCCGTGGCGCTGTCCGGTCGACCCGTTTCATGTCCACCACCACGAAGGGTAAGCAGGCTCTCTCTCACCAACCACAAGCACCCAAACGACACATAGAGTATTGTGTCCATGCTAACCAACCGCCCAACCCAGCTCCCGCTCGCATCCCCAGCTCCATCATCCGCCAGAATGCCACCGCCCAAGCCGCCCGCAACAGCCTGATCCTCAACGGCGTGCGCACCAGTCTGGGCTCCACCGCCGGCTCCGGCCTGGTCCGCAACGCCATGCAATCCCGCGGCGTCGTCGCCGAGTCCGCCGCCGGTGCTATACTCCTTGCGGGCAAGATGCAGGGTGCTGGTCTTGCCACCGTCGGCCTTGCTGGTGCTGGCGTCGGTATCGGCACAGTCTTCGGCTCCCTAATCCAGGGCGTGGCTCGTAACCCGAGCATGAGAGGTGCGTGTCTGCCACTGAACATCTGACAGCCAATGCATACCAGCATACTGACCGGCTTCTGACAGGCCAACTCTTCTCGTACGCCATTCTTGGTTTCGCCTTTGCCGAAGCTACCGGTCTGTTCGCTCTCATGGTGGCCTTCATGCTGCTGTTCGCCTACTAGATGTGGCACTATGTATAAAACCTTCCTATGCGTCGAAATGCACGCGCCGGGTCATGTAATGGAGCAGTCACCACAGGGCTGGATGGAACGTCGTGCTGGCCAGGCTTGAGAACCAAAAGGCTGTATATGTATGGAGCTGTCAACTGAAGACTTAGACATAGAACAGCAACCCTAGGCATTATTCCTAAAGGAATTGAAGTAGACTGCATTTAAATTGTTTGTTTGTTTTGTATTTAACGTGGGGGGTAGCTCCTCAGTAGTGCAAACCACGCCTCCCAGAGCCTCTGTATCGCAGGGTTGTGGAGGTCTCAAGATAATAAGTACAGTCAGTCCCGCTCACGGGCCCATCCCCGTTGTTGCGGCGGTATGACCTTGGGGTCATCCATCTGGTCCTTCAAGAAAAGCTAACATCTCACCCCCCTCTGCGGACCACCCCCCCACGGACCACTCCACACCACACCACTCTCATTCAGATGAAGCCATCTACAACCACCACAGTTGCTAAATACACTAAGGTCGTGGTGTTCTAACCATAATACAGCTCCCAGAATCCGATTCCGACCCTAAATCTTCACCAGGGACCTCTTGTGGGACCTCTTCGCCTGCAGCGGAGTCCCTATAGACCCTCCTGTTCCTTAGCTCCATTTTGGCCTCCCTTATGTTAGCCATTGTGACGAATCGTTCCCCTGGTGTTGGTTTGACTGCTTTTCGAGTGGTATTAGCCTTTTTAGCCACTTGAGCCTCAAGCAGCTCACATTTGGCCCGTAGATTTGCAATGGTAGCAGCCTGAACATCCATGGCATTGCCAGCCTTCCGTACCAACAAGCGCTCAGAGGGCCCTCCAAAGGAAGGGTCCTTTCTTTCGAGCTTTCGAGCACTCTCCCGCAAAGCCCGGCTTCCAGAGGGTGTTGTGACAATGGTTTTAGCTACCATCTCGAGAAAATCTGGTGTTGTGGCTCGCTCGGAAGCCTTAGGGTCCCTCTGGCGTGCCCTGGCCACCCCCTTGTCCTCCAGAATCACATATTTTGACTTCAATGCCTCCGCTCTGTTGCGAGGAACAATCCCAGTCTTTTTCCAGGCAATTCTGATATTGAGGAGCGTCATTGTGTCCTTCCGTGTCTGCTCGTAGCACTCCAAAACCTCCTCCTTAGATGGCCTGAGTCCCAGACGGCCGCTGGGCGTCTCCTGGAGTAAGGTCTTTAACCTCTTCTTCACCAAATTGAAGACTCCTATATCTAACACCTGGACTACATGGGAGCAGTGAGGTTCATAAAAGATCAACCATACTTTGTTTCTCAAGCAGGTGGCTAGGAACTTGTTATTCGTGTGGGAGTCGTGGCCATCACACACCAAAACCACCCATGTGTTGCCGTGGACCTCCCGAATGTGAGGAATAAAGATACGTTGAAGCCATTCTAACGCAATGGGATTCGAGGTCCATCCATTGGGCGATGTAATAAACCTCCAGTCGGTGAATTTGCCCTCGTTTTGGTTGCTAAACCACTGGGCTTGTACGTTAACCCCCTTAAGAATCACCAGCGGCGGCAAGGTCTCACCAGATCCGCTCACACACTCTAGGGCAGTTATCCATTCACCCTTCTCGACCCCTTTCTTCATAGCCACGTTGCCGGAGGCCTCGGAGACCACCCAATGGGAGTCCCCAACCCCCTGGGCGATTCCCATTTTGTCGACGTTGTACCAGCGTGCTGGCATGAGGTTAATCACGTCAGGGGCGTCACACCGATCGAAAAAAATGTTGATATTTGCCGCTATAGCACTATTCACTCGGTTGTAGTCGATAACACGAGACTTCATTATCTTGACTTCCGGGTTTCGAGACAGGAACTTGGATGCCCAATTTTTCCCTAATTCTCGAGCATCCCCGGTGGCATGGAGCATCCGCTGGGCCATGAGACGGAACTTAGAGACCGCCGGAGAATACCCTAGCCGTGCTTGCCCCAGGGCCCAGCTTGCCAGCTTATGTTCGAGATACGGTGAGAGAGCCTGTTGGAGAGCGCTGGTCTCATTCTGCGTTGGGGTGCCAGAGATTCGTCGGTTGACGTACGAGCGACTGATTTGCCATTCGAGGGCTGACGAGCGGACTGGAGCTCTGCGTTGGATGGCCAAAATGGCGGCTTCAGCTTTTATTTGACGGTCGTAAAATGACATCATGAGATTCATCAGTGGATAAGGATTCAAATAGTGTGCTTTGTGAAAAAAAAGATGCAAAAGTGATGGTGTAGATGGTGGATCACCATAATCCTGGTGGTTGGTGAATTACGCGTTTGTGGGTCAGAACGCGCTGGTCCGCGGGGGGGTGGTCCGCAGGGGGGTGGGAGATGTTATCTATCGGGGGCAGATTGTTGAAAAGAACTTGCTCTTCTCCACGAATTTTGCCCATTCTGTGCTCCTCTCTCCTAAGTATTGTAAATAAGCTGCCCTAGGCGAGTACCTAAGCAACAGCCGGTTTTTCCCCAGCCTCTTACAAAAGAAAATGTGTTGTGGTGTTTTCTTCTCAAAACCCCCCAGGTCACACAAGGTTCGCCCACGAACCTGGACAAACAACCGTAGTCGCGCCAGTGAATTGTGTCAATGGAGCTTTTGTGCCACAGCCAAGAGCGGCCCTCTGTCATTAGGCGTACACATGCGACATGTAAAAAGACTCGGTCAACTTTTGCTACGGCCAGGATTCGAACCCTGGCCCATCAGTACGCTTGATATTGTGACGGAACGCTCACCATAACCACCTGTCATAGTCTGGTATAGGTAGCCCATGTGGTGAGTCCTGGAGCCCGGACATGAGTACATGTACCACCATTGAATGTCAAGCTGCCACGCTTGATATTCGACATCCTTTTGGGAGGAACAGCCGTGGCATGGTGGTTATGGTGAGCGTTCCGTCACATTTCTGTAGGCGGTATCTCCGTAAAAGACAACATGTAGCGATAAAGGGCCGAAATTAGGAGAATAGCGATAGCGGCCACTGCGATCGGCCAGGCGCGCCCAGCCAGAACATCTAGTCGGTCAAGGACGCCAACCATGATGGCAATCTGTGCAGAATAACGTGTGGGGCGGGCGGTAACCGAAGCTGCCTCGGTCGGTAGGTTCGATGGTATGAAAACGCAACAAGCGATAGTGGAAAGAGAGAGATTTGCCGATGCTAAAGACAGCAAGGCTACGATGGGAAAGCCAGGAGGGGTAAGGGGTAGGTAGGCAAGCATAGGCAAGCATAGGTAAGTATATGCGCACTCAGCCTTAGGGGCTGCGTCTTAATACGTCTATATAAGCGGCTGAACAGGGCCAATATGTGACCTATTATTCCAGTATAGCCCCCAAGGCTTTCTCGCCTTTCGTACCGGCCGGTGCACTAGGGCTTTTGTTTAATATGGGCCTGTATAGTTATTGGATAGCAACTATTAGAGTATCAGTACGAGGTAAGCCAAGCCATTTATCAACTCGAGAGGCAGATCTTAGAACCGGCTATGCATTATAAATGTGCACCTGTTTCAACTAGTGTGAGATCGCAGATATCACGGTTCAGTGGTACATGCTGTCATCACGCAAAAAAGATCGAAATACAATGAGGACACATGAGCAGAGGACAGCGCCAAGGTATGTTCGGCGCAGGTACCCCTAATCGCTTTCACAGAGTTACCTTAAGTAGCCTGAGTCTTCCCCTTCTAGGCGCGTGTCGAGAACAGTACAAGTCTGGCCTAGTCATGTCATCTCGGATTAATGGGAGCTGGACCCTTCAAAGACCAAGAGGGTCGCGGCAAAGAGTTGTTCAATCTGTAGAAGCTTGGTGTCAATCGATCAAGGCAGAGTATATTGCTGTGAGATCGGTAAGGGGTAAGGGCAAGGCAGAGAGGGCAAGGCAGACAGACGAAGACGCATTGAGGCAGCTAGTATATATTCACAGACCGGTATCACCCCAGAGTATATAAGCAAAGAGTTTCAAGCCTGAACCCGACCAGGCCTTACCCACCACCCCCAGGGTCTAGGTACTCCATTCTGCAGCAATAATGTGCCCACCGCCCGCTGCTGGGCCGCCCTTTGCATTAGAGCACCAGCTGAACTGGGTGGGACCTTGATAACAACGGGCCTCTCACCCAATGTTTGCCCGGCTACCCTTGTATCCTGCTCCAGGATCGACGCAAGCTGTGGGAGTTCTTCGACCAGGAATTCTGCTCGACGGACCTAAACCAGATGGCGAACAGGCTGTGGTGGATGTCAAAACAAGACAACGCCAACATCTCCCCGCTCCACCGGCAACTGGTTAAACAGCGCGCCATCATCGTCACCGAGGATCCTAAGCTGCATCTAGTCTGGATCCACAACCAAATCTTCATCAAGCCGCTGCCCCAGTACATCGTCTCGTATGCATTCTGGCGGGACTACATGGGTGGCGATGGGAAAGATGCCCACGATATCCGTAGGGCAGCCTTGGGCTATCTCCGTACATGGCTGTACCTGGTGAGGTACGAGTCCGACTTTCGCATCGCCCAAGACCCCAGCCTGCACCTCATCCCGCCCAACATTACATGGGACCAGTTCTGCCGTTTTGCATCTGACCTGACCACGCTTGCCGATTACAACGTCCCCACACGCTATACCTATAGCGAGATTCGATTGATGAGGCTTAACTTCTACGTTCTATTCCTACTTCGAAAAGCGTACTTTCAGCGTGTTGATTATCAATACGGGACATACTTTGTATATTTTTATAGGCCGGTTTTATTCGTTATTGGTGTGGTGTCCCTTATCCTAAGTGGACTACAGGTTACCGTTGCTGTCAATCAAGGTCATCCCGATAAGGAGAATAACCAGTTGCTCTCAATTGTGGCTTTCTGGGCTAGCATAACCATGATCTTATGCAGCTGTGGTATGCTTCTATATCTATGCACTCTCTTGGTATACAAAGTGGGAAAGGAGTGGAAGTTTGCGATTCGAGACCGGCTTCAGTTGCTGGAGGAGGGACGGGCAAAGCGTTTGGGATAGTTGATACATATGAAGGTTTGTGGCGCGTGCATTATGTGACCACGCGGGGCCATGGTGTATCGACAAAGTTGTCAAATACTGTTGAATGGGAGCCGGAAATAGACACCGGAAGATCTCCAGTGGGGCAGAGACGCACAGGGCATCTGACCCACCAAGAAGACAGATGATCAATCTCTGTACGCTGAAGAAGCAGAGCAGAACAAAGACAACAATACAATACACTTGAGCAACCAAATAATCTGGACTTGCTTGCATACAACAAATACAGCGCTAATTTCAGGGCAGATAGGCATGATATGAGCGGACAGTGCTAAAGCTAGCTAGCCGCGCCAGTGGATCGTCTGAGGAAGCGGGGTTAGTACAGACAAACCCGAGACCCCCCATGACTGTTGGCACTCAACAGATGATTGGTGCTGACCTGTGGGATGTGGCTGCAGTGCTGAGCGCAAGCGGCATCCAGGCGGTTCCTGCAGCGGTTGCCAGCCTAATCTCCCGTCATTTCGTGCTGTCCACTGCCTCCTGTTCTTACCAATTACGTGTTTCTGCCGTTACTGGTGTTGAACGGGAGCCGGAAATAGACACCGGAAGATTTCCTGTGGGGCAGAGACGCACAGGGCATTTGACCCACCCAGAAGATAGATCATCAATTTCTGCCCGCTCAAGGGGTGAAGCAGAAGAACAACAGAACTCACTTGACAACCTGACTAATCTGAAATCGTTTGCATCTGACAGAAGCAGCCGTCCAGCGGCTCGCTGATGCTCCCGCTAATCGAGGTCAACGGGCCGTCCTGGCGCATTAGCTTTGCCGTCCTGGACGCGGAGCGGCTCCTGGTCTCGGACCATGCGATGGGCTCGACGGACCAGATGTCCGACTGCTATGTTAGCTTCAAATATCACATCGGGTGGAAATCTACTGGGTTGTGGCCGGTTTCAGTGAGGCAGTAAGCCCGTTGCCATTGAAATAAAGCCAAGACATAAGGCTCCCTCAGTACCAGGTACCGGAAAGCATCTCACTAGCGACAATGACAATGCCCTTTCCTACCACCGCAATCAAGCTGTAACGGGTTTCAGAGCGGCTGGCGACGGCAGAACCAGAGGCTCTACTCAGAAATCGCTGCTGGTTACGCTGTCCAACCATGCTGCTTTGGGATCATGCGGTGAGCTTTCTATTATCCAAGGCAGTTCCTGGTGCGATTTCTGAAAGACTGGCAGCCCAGTATGATATCTTTCTACTTGGCGAGGCGCACACAGTCTCGAGGCCCATAGCGAGCCGGTTTAAGTTGGGTCCAGGACGCCTCGTATAACCGCCATCGGCACAGCCCACCACTTGCGGCTTTACCACACCGGCTTTTCTGCAGCGGTTATTCGTCCACACAACCGGGTATTTCCAAGAGGTCACAAGGCTATCTGCTCGGGGAGTCGGACGCATTCCAGCCTCTCGGCTGCGCAACTCTGAAGGAAGCCAGCGCAGCTCACCGAGAGAAAGCTTCTCTCGGGCGCGCAAATCCCAGACTCGTGTTTTCCAAGAGCAAACGTCAGGGCTTCCACAATGGCGAATGACGGCCTAGGTCCATCCATAGACCAAGGCGGATCGTCCTACAGCGGGAATGTCACCGTGCATGGAGGACCCTTCCACCAAGGCAATATCGTCAACATCCAGCAGACGGCCGACCAATGCCTCATCGACCTCCGCGTCACTGACCCGCGCCGTGACAAGAAGCGCGTCCAGGACACCAAGGGCGGCCTGCTCGCGGACTCGTACGTCTGGGTGCTCGGCAATCCTGACTTCCGCCAATGGCGCGACCACGAGTACCAGCGGCTGCTCTGGGTCAAGGGCGACCCGGGAAAGGGCAAGACCATGCTCCTCTACGGCATCATTGACGAACTGGAGAAATTACCGGCCGAGGGAAGGCGTCTCTCTTACTTTTTCTGCCAAGCCGCCATTGAGTGCATCAACACCACGACGGCCGTCCTGTGCGGTCTCATCTTTATGCTTCTCGACCAAAACGTCTCCCTTGTATTGTATATCAAGAAGAAGTACGATGTCGCTGGCGAGAGGCTGTTCCAGGGCGATAATGCTTGGTATGCGTTATCCGAGATCTTCACGAACATGCTATCTCGACTGGAGGGATTCGATCCTCGTTTTGAGGACAACTGCCTTCTCGCGACGGCCAAGCCTATGGGAAGCTTGGAAGTTCCCATTGTCGGAAGCAGCGACTTCCAAGCCGTCTCGATAATGTTGCAGAAAGAGCACTGCGCCCCTCGATCCAGCCAAAGCAACTATTCACGGTGCTCAAGGTGCTCGATGTGTACATGATGGCGGGGCAGTACCGCACAGACAGGGTTTTTGATGTAATGGCGGGGTTGAGGGCAAGCAATGGAAGCTGCTGAGAGGATGAGGGGAGCTCTTACATGGGTGTGATGATTGGATTTCAGGTACTGTGGTAGGATGATGATCAGGACAGGCAGATTTGTGAATGAGGGAAGGGGAATTGGGAAGGCAGAGAAGAAGGAGGCTATCGAGAAATAAATACCTGTTGGGTGCAGTGCGGTGCAGAATGCAGATAGCGTGTTGTGGTGTGAGGAAGGAAATGGAAGAAGGCAGACGCGGGCAGGACTGGGTCATGGAGGGGCAGCCGGTGGGATTTTGATGATGATGTGAGGGACATAAAAAGGGTTGAGGAGCAGTCCGTGCCGTTAGTGCAGCAATAGGTGCTGGGCAGGTGGGGTGTCCATCACGCACCCGGCCTGCAGTGCTGCAGTCCTGCCTCTGCGCGTCTTTCTGGAGGGGCAACGCAGGGCTGGGCCCGGCCGCCAAGGGCAGGCCCGTGGAGAGCACCCGGGAATTCTCACTGTATGATCGGATAAGGGGTACCCGAACGATACCTCCGGACTCTTTCTTGCAGCTGGTGGATTGTGCCCGGACATACACCTCAGCCGCGTAGACTCGACCAGCAGTCTATCTTGAAATGGGGCACGTACAGTGCGCGCGAAACTCAATTGACATCACACCTGGACCTGAGGGCCGATTGCGATTTTCTCTGACATGCCACGCGCCGTGTGTCGGTTTCGTTGGAAAATAGCTCAACAGGCAACCACAACCGTCGAGCTCATGCGTTTCGCTCTACTTGGCGGCTCCAAGATGCCTCATATCAAGTGCCAACCGCCATGTATAGTCAAAGTCACTCAACTACAGCCGAGGACCAACCCTGCTACCCCAGACTACGAAAACGGCCGGGACGCTTGACGGCTTCTCGGTCAGGATACGGATAGATCTCACGATTCCACCCGATCGTAGCTCGGCTGGTTTGCCCGGGGCGCTGGGAACTTCAAGGTCACGAAAATACATACGGCTTCTGTCTTTCTCTATTATATGTCAAGCGAGATATGGTGCATCGTGGCGAGATGGTGGTGAGGTGTGCAGTGTGCAGTCGCCTGGGCGTGCCTGCGGATAGACATGCCTCATGTAGGTGAGTCTATTATCTGCCTTGGCTCTTCACTGATCAGGGCTGTCCATCCATCACCAGCCGCCACCTCCATGGGTATGCGCGGTAACGGAGCTCACTCACTCGCGCCTTTCAGGTTGGTCAAGTTCTCTGGCATCCTCCACCTTCGACCTCTTCACATCTCCTCATCGTATCCATATACCACCCAAGGCACGAGACCCCGTGGTCAGTGAGTCAAAGCCTTACAGGCCGGCCCGTTCCTGCGATAAGCCGGTGTCGCAGCTACCAACGGTCGAATCACAGCCAGTCCAGCGTCGCCACTAAAATAAGCAAACGTGCTGAGAAATCCAATGGTCAGTGAAATCCAAGAGGATCTTTGAAACTGGGCGTTACCAGCAAGGTCAACCCACTGGTGGATCACCTCGCGCCGCACAAGGCTGAAGGGCGCGGATGCACTGTTGATCTTGACGATTCTTGTCACGTCAGACGATCATCAGGTAATAATGTTCGCTCGTCATAAACTGGTTGATGTTGATGCCCCGTGCACACCCTGTACATCAACAGGTTTTTAGCGTAGGTTTTATCTGTGGCAGACCCACCAACGGAGACTAGGCCCCTGGTCCACAACAAGTACCCACCGTGTTGAACTCATCAACACCAAGAATTATCACGAGATCCATCGCATCGCACGGTTTCGAAAGTTGCAGGTTACCGACATGACTTTCGACTTTCTGTTGCAGCTCATACAACTGTTTAAGGAGCTGCAGATCAGACTTGACTTGCCTGGGAGCCATCCGCCTCAGAACTCGCTTGTACAGAACCTCGTCGATGCGCTCCAGGTCGTGGTGGATGGAGACGATACTACGTTTGAGAAACTGACGCCGTTCAGGGATGAGCTGGGTTCTTACATGAAACCTGCCGACTGGTAATACGTGTAAGTCCTTCGACCGTAAGGGAAGGGCCAAACCCAAATGTCCTCCAATGCAACACGAAAAGGCAGAAGATCAACGTTGTGGCGTCTCCAGACCAGGCGCCGGCCGGCCCCAGCTTCCGGGCAAGATCCGTGTCCAGTGACGTGTTCAACGACTCGCTCTTCGGCAGTGTCATGCCCAGTACTGGACCGGAGTCGGAGCCGGAGCCGGAGCCGGAGCCGACGCGGCGGCTCCTTAAGGCCCGTCGACGACGCCTCCTGCGCAGCCCGAACTAACAGGTAGGACAGCACCCGCAGCCGGTAGGTAGGTAACAACGCGGCCTTGTAGAGACAATGTGTAAATACGGCCCCCAGTGAACGTGTAGACAGGTGAAGTCACTAGAGTTAAGATTGTTTCATAATGTACAATGTATATCTCTTAAAGCAACCAAACTAACTGATCCGTGTGAGTTCCAATCCGTTGCCCGTGAAATTCAATCCGTTGCCCCTTGATTATGTGAACGTCTATGTCTTCGTCGCTTTGAGGTACTTGGCGTTCGGAGGCCACTCGTACTCGTGCTCTCCCGATTTATGCAATAATAGCGGTCCAGATTTTTCTTTGCAATGATAGTCGTCATCGTATAACTCGACGGTATACTGATTGGCGAGGACTTGCACAGTGTCGGGCTGGCTGTCCCCAGGCACAACACCCATCTGCTTCAGGTCGGCGCAGTTAACCTCGCCTAGCTTCCCAAAACCACCCCACACATCGCCACCTTTCTTGAACCAGATGTCCCATTTCCCGTTCGCCATCGCCTGCGTTGCCGCCAACGCCAGCAGGGCGATCTTCAATACGCTGTTGTAGGCCAACATGGTGGTGGGGGGTAACAAGTTTGATGGAAACTTGCGTAGAGGTGGCTTTCGCAGAGCGAATGAAGAATCGACGGATTTCCGTGCGCTGGATTGAGATGTCGAATGAAGACGATACTGGTGCGAGTTGTCTTGGATGAAGTGCGTGGCTGTTAGGCTGTGATATTGGGTTTCGATAAAGTGCGTGGCTGCTGGGTTGTGATGTTGGGTAGAGCTTGGTTTCGTGAACTCGACTTCCACGGCAGACATCCCGTCCTCTTTAATACTTACGTTGCTGTTTATAAAAAGCAGCAATTGCTCTCAAGAATGGATGACCACCAAACCATGACAGTATCAGCATGGATCATGATCATCCTTTAGGAATCTAGAACACTGAACCCTGGAATCCTGATGGCGATCATGAAGTGGCTTTGTAGCCAGTGGCACCGACGTTTTGACAATCCCGGTAGCTCTATTACCTTATTTTTACTATTATTGACTTGATCCTGATCATCCGCCAGGAAACTAGAATCCTGGCATCAGGATGTGCATTGTCGCTCGGGCCCAGTTTTGTTCTGACATAACGGCGGGGGTATAGATGTGGGACAGCCCTAGATGTGGGACAGTTTTCACACCAAAAGACCACACTTGCACCCACACATAACTCCATCTGGATTGAGGCTCTAGATAATGTAAAAACAGCAAAAGAATCGCCTTTTCTTGGAATTTTCAGCAATACTAATTTTCGTCGCGGTACCATGCAGGCTGGCGGATTGCGCGGCGCGAAGATCAAACCACAATGGGCTTCTCATCCTCCTCATCCTCGTTTTTGTCCCCTTCATTAACAATAACCCCTTTATCTTCAACACCCTTTAAAGGCTCAAATTCTTCTGAATCTGATGATTCAGGCAAGAGAGAGTCATCAGAGAGTGGTCTCTCTAATTCATTCATGTGCAGGTTCTGTAATTCGGCCACAATTTGTCGTCTCTCGGCCCGCTGCTTGATCAAGACTCGCGCAACCTCTGTTTGCTCAATCTGCTCCTGAATAACGTCCCCAACTCTCCATAGCCATTGATTAGGATCTTCTTGAGGTGCCTTATGGCGCTTTTTTGGCTGTAGACGCTCTATTTTGGCGTCTTTTGCCTCCAGCAGTTCCTTTGCAAGGGCTAGCTCAACTACCATCTCATCGTACGACTTTGCAACCGAGCGTACTGCTTCTCGCTGCTCAGGGGTCTCAGCAACTGGTGATAGCATCAGGGCTATGTCCTGCCCTGATTTAGGGGCTTCTAGGGCCTCGTGGGTGGTCTCGGGGTCCATTATAGCAGCTGCTGCTGCTTGGATCTCCGCCGCCTTCACCACATGCTCGTTCGTTAACGTTTTTCGTCGATTTACAGGCCAAAGCCCAGCAGTATGCCACCCGAACATACGATAGCCGGTGTAGCTTCATCGCGAGCTTTCGCTAGGCAACTGAGGAACTTAATCTTGCCAATAGGGGCCGAATCGTTGAGCTGGCCAAGCTGATTGATCAAGCGGCGGTAGGCGGCTTTAATAACAGAGAATACTGTCAAATCCAGCGGCTGGAAGATATGAGACTATCCCTATTAGCAAAATAATTACTAACTGATCATCTAACTTACCGTGTGAGCTAGAAAAAAGTACATATATACGTTATTAATGTAGCAAAGATATATAAACTCATCCGAGCAGTGGCTGCCATGGCCATCTAATATTAGGAGGCGAGAATCATCGGGATCTTCAGGAGCTGTATCAGGGAGATACACCTGAGGCTTATTAGCACGTAGTTAACGAGTAGTACTCGTTATTTACTCGCCTTTTCAAGCCACTCTAACGCGATCTCATTTGAGGACCAGCCGTTAATGGAGTACGTCACTATCCACTCTGCCATCGTGGGATGCTCAATAATGAGCTGTTCTTTAAACCACTGAGTCTGTATCGACTTCGCCTTGAACATAACGAGCGGCCGGAGCTTCTTCCCAGTGGCGGTGATCGATTCGACCACTGTAGTCCACGTGCGGTCGTCGTTAGACTTGACGTTGGCCCCTTTTGAGCCAGAACTACCTATTACAAGGCCATCAGACCTATTATCGGCCCGGTCAGCCGTCCGAAAAGCACTTGGATTGGGCGCTTACGTACTGCCAGCCCTGCATAATGCCGTACTTATCGACATTTGCCTGGTTTGCGGGTTTGATGAAGGCGAACTCCTTATAGAGATCATGGAAGCCATTGATGTTCTCGGACGTGGCAGCGTTGATATGCTTGTAGTCCAGCTTTCTGCCTATCTTGGTCTTTATCTCTGGGTGCCTGCGGATGAAATTTTGCATGTATTTGCCCCCTAAATGATCTGCCCTGCCCTCAGACTGTAGGATCTTCCGGATGATGTACCTCACATTGCCGTGAGTTGGCGCGTGGCCAGCCTTCTCTTGATAGAGGATCCATGATACAACCCGAGTTTCTTACGCAGGGCTTAACTTTTGGCTCTTAAGAGCCCCCTCACGGCTAGTCAGCATTGGGCGCATCGTGGTGCCGTCTACCTTTGGCGCGAGAGTTGATTTCGGTACTCCCCAGCGCTGATACGCCTTGCGGAGGGATATGCTATCGTTCACAGCGGCAATTGTCTCTGCGAAGTCTTCTGGAGTGTACGAAGGACGCATTTCAACGTACTGAAGCCTATGATGCTGACAGAAAAAAAAGAAAAAAAAAGAACAGCAGAACTTCTGCTACAGTGAAGGGGATAGGGGGCACGGGTCCCATTACCCCTCAGATTAGGGCCGGGAGTGCTAACTTCCGACCCCCACAGCGGCCCATCCCGCAGTGATAAACCTGATGAAATCAGCACTGCTGAAAACAACAAGAAAAGACGATTTCAATGCAGTATTTACGATATCTAGGGCTTCATTGCCGGTAGAGATATGTGTAAGTGAACATTGTGATGTTGGGTGTGAAAACTGTCCCACATCTAGGGCTGTCCCACATCTATGCCCCCGCCGTTAATCCTCCTCCATCCCGCCCTCACCCCCCAAGCCCGACCAACATCACGCGAGCCACATATAGACTATTCTGAGCACGACACCAACCATTCTCAGTGGCTCAGGCTCCCGAAGAACCTGATCCAATACTTCAGTCAAACCCCCGGAGCCATGCGACAATAGTACTTGCAACTGCACCCAACGTACACACATCACTTACCTCGGAAAAGCACAGACCACTAGGCGCCTTAAGAGTAAGTAACGTAAAGTATTGAGTAAGGGGTCCTTTTAAGACCCCTTCTTTTACTAATTAAAAGATTCGGACCATAAAAAGGCGCCTAGCAGTTTGAGTAATAAATACGCTGTTAAAATATATAATATATATGGTTTTTATTAAACAATATTCGAATAATTTAATACTACTTTATTATTGTTATTTATATGTTATAATATAACGTAGATGACAAGCGAGCGCAACTACAAGCGAACGGCAACTTTTCACCAGCCACCTAACCTTTAAATCAAGGCTCCTAATTGATCAACCAACAATAATGGCATTGCGTTATAGCGAATCAGACTTACAGCTTGCTGTCCAAGCTAAGCGACGCAATCCTCATATTACTATTGGCAAGCTTTCTCAGACTTTCCATGTCCCATATAATACCTTGAAGGCTAGAATCGCTGGCCGACCATTACGACGCGATAGCATGCCCAATACTTTGAAACTTACGGTTTCTGAAGAGAATGCCATTCTTTCCTTCATTCTTGACCTGGATGCGCGAGCATTTCTATCCCAGCAAAGGAATGTTGAAGATATGGTGAATCAATTGTTGGCAGCGCGTGGGGATAGACGTGATAGAAAGAAGTGGACGCGGAACTTCATTAAACGCACACCAGGCCTCCGGACGCGTTTTCATCAGAGGATAGACTACCAGAAGGTCTTGAACAAAGACCCAGACGCGTATTGCGCGTGGTTTTGTCAAGTTGAGGCGGCAGTTACGAAACATGGTCTAAACAAGCTCAGCAAAGCAATAGGGAATGGTCTACAGCAATCCTTGCTATTAATGCTGATAGTTGGTTGGTCCCACTGTTCATCATTCTACAGGACAAAACCCACCTCGCATCATAGTACTGTAACACGACATTACCACACAATCGGAAGGTGGCCGCGTCTGACAACTGATGGACTATAAATGAGATCGGTTTGAAATAGATTCAGCATTTCAACAAGTATACTAGACTGCGTATGACCACTGGTAAACGCCTTCTCATCTTAGATGGCCACAAAAGCCAACATTCCCAGGTCTTTAAGAATTATTGTCAGAATAATGGCATCATTACCCTTTGTATGCCTGTCCACTTATTATACAGGTTTTAGCCTTTAGATATTGGCTGTTTTAGCCCGTTCAAACAAGCTTACGGTTGCATGATTAAGGATCTCATCCGGCGTCATATAACCCACGTTTCAAAGGAGGACTTCCTCGCAGCGTTTTGTGAAGCGTATAACGCTGCTATGACGCCAGGAAATATTTAAGCAGGTTTCAGTGCCACTGGGCTTGTTCCTTTTGACCCAGAAAGTGCCATTTCGAAGCTGGATGCTGTCACTGTCGTACGAACACCGTTACAAGACCCCAATCTGCCACCCACTACTTGGACTTTGAAGACACCTACCACTATCAACAAAGCAGTAAACCAGTCAGTTTATATCCAAAATCGAGTCAGAAACCACAAAGGAAGCTTACCTACATCAATAATTGATGCGTTGAGCTCGTTTTCAAAGGCTACATATAGTCTTATGCACAAGGTCGCTTTGGTTGATTCCCGGGTCCGCGAGCTAGAGGAGGCCAATCACCTACTAAGTAAATGCCGGAGGACAAAAAACAAACGTCTAGTAAAAGGAGAAGTACTTTCTGTTGAAGATGCAGTAGGTCTTCAGGCTGTAAAGGATGGTAGTGAGCTGGCAAGACAAGAAATGGATGAAGGTAGTCATCGTCCAAGGAGGACAGCAGCGCGTGAGCGACGTTGCGGCGTTTGCGGCAACACTGGCCATAATGAGCAAACTTGTACAATAGAGATAGAAACGTCTGAAGAAGACGAATCCAATTGATTAAATTGAATTAAATGCGTTGTGATCGAGTTATTTGACATGTTGGTTGGAAGGGTGGTGAAAAGTTGCTGTTCACTTGTAATTGCAGCTCGCTTGTCATCTATATTATAAGTAATAACGCTAGTTTTAAGTTATATTTTACTTTTAACTAACTTTTTCAATTTTATACACGGCTTGAAAAATTTTTTTACGCTACTTGATTTTCTTTATTAAATTAAAAGCGTATGTTAAAACGATAAAAATGTTTATAAAAAAAGCTTCAGGCTCGTTTGTTATAGCTTGTTTGTTATGGCTCGTTTGTTATAGCTCGTTTTTTAAACGTTATAATCACTTTAAAGTTAAGCTTTAATTTATATATTTGAGGCTTATTAAGGTCGATTTATACTTATATATTTTCAAGACTAGAGAAAAAAACATAAGTAAGTTAATTATTCAAGTTATAAAGTAAGCTCGTATATAAGCTTTTTAATATTAGCTTTAATATTGGTTGTCACATTTATAAACCTAGAGGCTGCTAGAGCTTAAGAATGAAAAAATGTATATTAGTTTAAGTGTGTTCTAGCCAGGATGCCTGTTAAAATCCTCTTTTATATAAAGCGGTAAACCTAGTAGATCTAGTAAACCAGCTAGCTAGAAGTCTTAAAACCACTACTTTACAACATCGGTTTACGTAAATAAGCTTTAAAAAGAAGTGTATATAACGTAAAGTTAAGCTTACAACTATTATATATATTAAATTAAATACTATTATAAGCTTAAAGAGATAAAAGTAATATATTCGAATATATATAATTAACATAAAAAATATAGTTTTGTTTAAAGTCGTAACTAAAATATTTCAAAGTAATATTTTAATATCTAACCTTTTTCAAATATTTAAAGACCCCTGAACCATGTTTTTACAATATTGATTATATAAGGATTTATTTGATTTCCAAAAAAACCTTTGAAATGTTACTACGAAATATTAAAAGTAAGTTCATAAAGTTTTAATGGTTTTTTTTTTATACTTTAAAGTTTTAAATATATTTATTAATCTGTTTAATAACTTTTAAATACTAAAAGGGTTAAAGGTAATTAAAAACTAGTGAAATCGCTAGCTTTTAAATCTATTTATTTTCAAAAAGTAAAAAGACGATATTAGTAAAGTTTTCATACTAAATATTTTAATATTTATATAAATTAAAAAGATTTATATTATAATAATAGTTTTATTAATATATAAATACATTATTTGTTTTAATATTAGCGTTAAATAGGTTTAAATTAATTGTAAATAGGTCGTTTTAATTAATAACATCATTAAAATAATCATTAATTAATAAATTACTTTTTAATTTAAGCTTATAATTATTAATCAGTTTAAATAAGGTTTATAAAGTTTAAAACGTTATATTTCAGTAGTATTTAATTGTTATTACAAAGGTAAAGAATTTGCAGTGGAGAGCTATAGCACGCTAATCTACCTGTATGCCTTGCTAGGTGCAATGCCACACCCCTGAAAGCCACTGTGGCTTGCGTGCCATTCAACACAACTTCAGTGTGGATGCTCCAGGTTTTCTAGGGGTCAATCGTGGGGCACAATCAGGAGCAGCTTGTGCCACAGCCTCAGACCCCTATTTGGGGACATCATGTCACTCGTCCCGGAGGGGGCTTCAGTGATGACCGCCTCACATTGTCGTTGACAAGCGCTTGCAATTTATGCCCAAATCGCAAAGCAGTGGACGGCAGACGCGGGAGTGGTAATGGTGGGTGCTGAGAGTGAGAGTGGCGAGACAACTTCCAAGCACTTGGTTCCGGTGAGCTTCATCCCAGGGAATTTCGCAAATGCATGTTTCTCGTGGCTCGGGCGAACAAGTTACCTGTCCACGTTTCAACCTAGGACCTGGCTTACGCGTCGCTATGAGGTCTCGGACAGGATTCGCCCAGTTCATCAGCGCTGTACATCCGTTGAATGCTTGCACTTCAAACCGCGCCTCTTTGGAGCGGGCACACGCCCATACTGCGGCCATCACACGATGTCATACCTGCCAAGCAGTTCTGATAACAGTATGATGAAATCCTCGGTTATCACAACTCTCCATAGTTGAGACGTTGGAGCACACTGAACCTAGATTGTTAGGCATGTACCACATGTGCCTCCTGTCAACCACTGCCGTCCTCTCCCTTGCTTGGTAATGGGTGCGCCTGGGCACATGTGATACCTTCCAAACTACGCGGCAATCGCTCGATTTAGTCACAGGACCATAGTTTAGAGTACCACGATCGTCGTAGCGTGACGCTCCACAGCATCAGTGTTTTCTTGGTGCGCCTGTGACTTGAGTGATATACATCGGCCAGCTCGCTCACCGGCGGCCTCTCACTTTGGCGTATGGTGAAGAGTTTGTGAGCAGCATAAAGGGGGGTCCAATTCTCAGGATTGCAACGAGTTAAGTCAAGTCAATCTTTCAACTCACCGCGACAACACAAGTATATCCAAGCACACGCAGTCCTGGACTAATCCTGGATTCCTGCCTGTTTGGAGACACCAACCCTGGACGAATCCGAAAGCCAACGCTCACAGTTCCAACAAGACGTACAATGTTCTTCATCAGAGGGCTCCTCGTGCTGACCGGCAGCATGCTCATGACCATTACAGCTGCAGACAACTGCTACGGAATGGCGTACGAGAATAAGGAGCCAGGAGTGTGCGAGGGTCAGGAACTTGCATGGGTGATGCAGTCCGGCGAGGGGCAATCGCCATGCGTTCTTCTGAATCAACCCGCCCAATGCGGCATGGTCAGCCGCTGGGAGAGCACCGGCGGTCATTGCACATTGAGCTATTACCAAGGGGGCTGCGACACGATACCCGTTGGCTACCAGATTTGCAGCGACAGCAACGGCCCCTTCCAAACGAACTTCACCCACTTCCAAGTGGAGTGCGTCGACCCCGACAGCAATCATTGACAGACCCGCCGCTTGAAAAGATTTGATCTCGACTGGGTATGGTTGTGGACAAGAAGGCCATGGGGAGTTTGGGGTCACCAACAGACGCGAGAACCTCCAGCTGCCCCCGCAAATTAGGATTTGGTCTTGGGAGAGTGCGGGAGATGGGGGCAGATTTGAACAGACGAGTGGGCGATAAGCGTCAAGACATCGGTGATTCAAGGGGTGTTGGAGTTATTCGTCCGCGATGGCTAGTCAGTTAATTGAGCTTGATCCGACCTACTTATTGTGGCCCTCCAAGTTGCGAAGAGACGGCGAGCGACTGAGCATGTGAATAGAGATGTGGTGGTTTTATCCATACACTGTATTTGGAGCAGCGGTGTTCGGCATTCGAGTAGCAGAAGCATGACATGATCACCCGTGATGCTGTGGGAGACTTGACTCCTCCCGTAAGATCAGCATGGCTTTTGATCGGAAACGGCCGATATCAGATGCGGTGAGATTGATAAGTAATGTGTCAAAAAAGATCTTCGATTGATGTCTGTAGCCGGTTTCCCGAGCTCAACCGAACTCCAACATAGGTAATCTCCGCCCGGCCTATATGTGAAGTTGCGGCGGCGATTTGTGGTACGCCTCTCGGCGATACAGCAGACCGTCGTCATCAAAGGTAGTTGGCAGCGTCAGGAGGCCGAGACCGGAGAGTCGCAGCGCCATCACTCATGGAATTCCTTAGGTGAAAGGGCCGTGGCTTGCACGCGGACAGCTGGAGGCGCTGGATGCCCGGTACGACCAGAATGGAAGGAGTTTTGAAAGAGCCCGAAAAGCAAAGCCGGAGAAGCAGCCTGTTGACCTCAGCTGGGGGCCGCCGGTGCAAGTGGGCCGCAAGATCTGGAATCCTGGCGTGCCGAGATTCGTGATTCCGGGGACATGCATGTAACCTGAGCGGCGAAACAACCTGAAAGAGTAGTTGGGTGGAAGATTACTAGGTATGCCCGCCCAACGGGAAGTGCGGCTCGCCTTTTAAGCATAAGGACGAAGCACGCGACAGCACTTAACCGTAAGCATGGCTCCAGGATGGGTTACATCCCCCCTTGACGAGCTGTACCATTGGCCAAAGCTTGTATGCTCGTCTATACGGCTGTCATTTACTGCTCTTGGCACGAGCTTGGCGGTCGTGTTGTCTTCAGAGCGGCACTTGATTGCAAGGGCAACCGTACGTCTGTGGGAGGCCATGTCTAACCTTCCTTGCCATCCGGGAGCGATCGAATAGAGTAGGTGAAAACGCCACATATGATACGGCGTGCGGTCGTCAACATCGGCAGAGCCACCGCCCTCGAATCAGGTGAAGGGCGACCATGGCGCAGATGAGGCGACTGGGTGGGCGCAACCCCCGGCTTCACTTTGTAGATGTTCAGTTAGCATGCCGCAAACCGGCTTGGCTGCGTTATTCCATTCGTGACAAAACACATGCCGGCATTTCGACTCTGATATCCAATGGGATGCTGCTCTTAGCCGCGAGAGATACTGCTTTCATCGCCAGTTAGAGCTTTGGCACATTCAGCCGGCGGCCGTCATGTTCGTCGGAGGACCAGAGCAGTAGAAGTCTGCTCACGGACGATGGCATAACGTGCCTTACTTCAGTGTGTCTGCTGGCAACATAGATCAGAGAGCAGCCCCTCTATAATCCAGAAGCACTGAATCTCTGTCCCTCAGGTAAACTGAGCCCTTGGTATTGTGAAACATATTCGGCCTTTGCTTGAGCAGAGCTTCTAAACGCTGGGTCTATACACAGCTGCTATTCGCAGAAAAACACACGTGTCGTCTCAAGCGAGGCCGGCAATCCAATGCATGTATTCGCGATTCCAAATGCGACAGCTATCAACTTCAATACCGGCCTATAGGGAAACACTACCTCCCTTATCTTGCTAGTCTACTGGGGGGGGGGGGGGGGGGGGGGGGGGGGGAGAGCCCCTTGGCGACGTCTTGGAAGGGGTTCACCTGTAATAGAACCAGAGAAGTATAAAGATTGGCATCTTTCCTAAGAGTGGTGATCTTGTCCCATCAACCTCAACCTCAACTTCATCCTCAAGCCCACCGTCATTCATACTACCCGATACACAAGCTCGCTATTCAAGATGAAGTTCCTCGGTAGTGTCACTCTTCTGGCGTCGCTCGCCAGCGCTGCTTCCATGAAGCGCGCATCTCCCCTCAATGTCCAGCTTGAGATGGTTGGAAACAGTGCTGTCAAGGCCTCTGTCACCAACACTGGCGCCGACGCCCTTAAGGTCCTCAAGACGGGTACTATTCTCGACAAGGCACCCGTTGAGAAGGTTCAGGTCTTTCAGGGCAGTGAGTATCTCCCCATCATCATGATGGATACGGGACTTGCAATCCTGACGTGATTCCATTTAGGTGAGCAAGTTGGCTTCGAGGGCATTCGTCTTCGCCTCACCACCACTGGTCTCGAGGAGGAATCCTTCCAGAGCATCGCCGCTGGCGAGACCGTTGAGGTCAACTTCGATGCCGCCGAGCTCCACGATCTGAGCAGCGGCGGTGACTTCGACTTCGTCGCCAACGGCGCTCTCTCCTACGCGCAGGCGGACAGCACCGAGATTGCTGGTGCCGTTCCTTTCTCTAGCAACACCGTCACCGCCAAGGTCGATGGTGCCCAGGCTCAGACTGCTCGCGCCGCTTTCATCAACAAGCGCACTGTGAGTGACCCATGAATGCAGACCCTCGAGATGCCTACCTTCCGTGGCACTTTTGTGGAGTAGATACAGCTGACGGATGACGAATCATAGGCCGTTTCCATGTGCTCTGGCACCCAGTTGACCCGGACCACCACCGCCGTCAGCAACTGCAGAGCTTTTGCAGCCAGGGCTTCGGCCGCTGCTCTGTCTAACACTGCCAAGGTCAACGAGTACTTCAAGTCCACCTCTGTTGGCAGCCAGGTCGCCGCGGTCTTCGCCAGGGTGATCACGGAGTGCGGCACCACCACCGGCGGTGTCTCCGACACCTACTGCGAAGATGTCTACGGTGCTTGCAGCAGCAACGTTTTGGCCTACACCCTGCCCTCGCAGAGCTACATTGTCAACTGCCCTATCTACTTCAGCGCGTTGAGCCCCATCACGAGCACCTGCCACGGCCAGGACCAGGCCACCACCACCCTCCACGAGGTTACCCACTTGAGCCAGATTGCCGGCACTGATGACTTGGGATACGGATACGCTGCTGCGACTGCTCTATCTTCCCGAAATGCCTTGAACAACGCCGACTCCTACGCGCTGTTCGCCAACGGTGAGTGTCATTCCCCTTGCGCTCGTAAGAACCTGACTAATAATCCGCAGCTATCTACGTTGGCTGCTAAGTGCTCCAACAGCCAGGTTAATCTCTCCCGAAAGACAATGAGAAGACCGAGAGGTCTTGGGGGCGAGACGCCATGTGAAAATACAAGTATGAGTGCGATATGGGAAACTGTGAAGAGGGGACGTCCACTCCAATAGCTTTCATGTATGCATGCGCACAGAATACACGGACAGCTCATACATGTCACATCTATTGCCAAGGGGAGCTTCTCATTAAGTGCAGCCTTCGTGTTTCGAGTGACAGACTGTCGCCGTGGCCAAGCAGCCACGCCAATGAGCTTACAGAGTGATACAGTTTCAGCGTGAACCCCATTTTTTTTGGCATATTACATTCATGATTCATGACTGAATATGGACACAGAGACATAAAACCATTGCCACTGATTGTCCCCAGATAGCTCTCATTATCAAACCCTCACCTATTCTTTCCGAGGATAAACCTGACTGTGAGTGCCCACTCGAAAGCAGGACTGCCTCGTTTGACCACTATCATCGAGCAGCGGTCGCTTTCAACCACCACACGCTGAACGCTGGGATCCCCGTCGGCGTCCTCTCCGAAGCCAAAACAATCTCCTGGCAACAAGGCTTTCTTACATTCTGTGTGGGACATGAGTATGTTTGTGGGTTCGTTGAGACCAGGCGATTTGACATTGATGTAGGTATGCTTGTTCCAAAATCTGCCGACCCTTTCCAGTTGCTTTTCTGCAATACCCCTAATGCTGGGTCGGCAAACAGGGTCCTGGACCTGGCTGGCCTTCGCTTCCCTCGTGGATGTTGCTCGGCCGCGCACAAGAAAGTGTATCGTATCAAGACTATAGGGTTCGGCGTACATGTTGGTGCCCTTGGTTTTGCACACAATGTCGATTCCATCGCCGATACACAATTCCGTTCTCCGTTCATCAGAGCCAGGGAGATGCGACAGTGCCCAGGACCATTGGCTGGGAGTAAACATCAGCCGAAACTCGTCGATTATTGCCTGGGGATCCAGATCACACGCCGCTGGAAGACAAAATTAGCCAAACATCCGAGCAGGGACCCAACGCAATGAAAGGGACCAACCTTCAGTCCACTCGGGCCGTATGGCGCAATGGTCAAATGCGCCTGGTTGTGTTCTCGTTTGTGCGGTGGGCGACGAGAACAAGTGGGTTCGAATCCTGCTATGGCCCCCTTTCTGACCCGGCTTGTGCGAGTCGATAACCAGCACACGACAGTGGAGAGGCCCCATTTTATTGCAGAGCCCGATAGCCAAGCAGCTTGTCTCCACAATACCCATTCCTGCGAGGTTTTCCCCCTTGTGGTTTCCCTCGCCAGCAGATAACAAACACCTACTCCACCCACCAATGCGACATATATCGAACGGCTACTGGAACGATATGTACACCAGAGAACTGAGGTTCACTGGGTCGCTTTGTCACTAGATAGGAGGTTTTTCTGACGGAATCGTGCTTGAGTATTGACTAAAACCATCTGAACACTCCAGATTGGTACCGCTACAGCGAGGATAGGCTCGTGCGCGGATCTGAATGTATCTAATTTGACACCTCTACAACCTTGCGATGCAATGGCTCTGGGAGGCGTGGTTTGCACTACTGAGGAGCTACCCCCCACGTTAAATACAAAACAAACAAACAAACAAACAAACTTCAGTCCACTCGGCGTGCCAGGCTATTGCTTCCCGGCAACTGCGAAACGCTGTCATATGACTACTCGCTTGAGTAATCACCTGGCGTTCTTCTTCCTCGACTACCCAGTTGAGCTGGAGCCCAGCACGTTCAAGGTCGGAGTGGACTCCGGACCCTGGTGCGATCCCCGACGCAACAACTGAAATCTCAGGCTGATACATCTCCACCTGATGCCTCCTTTGCACGAGAACTTGTCCCATCTTAGTTTCTATGCGATGGACGTCAGACAGATCAATGACGACAAGCCACGAGCCGGGCTTATTTGTCGTACAGCAATATCGAGTCGGTGCTCGAACGAAGGGATTGTCCCGAAGACTGCAACTAGTCAGCGGCTTCTACCAGCAAAACAGGTGGATATGGGACGACTTGCAGCTATACCCAGACAGCGTGATTATATCGATATTGGGCGGCATCGTCTCACTGGATACGCTACAACTCTCCTGTGAACTTCCTGGTTCCTCTACCATAGCTAGCGGCCCCTTGTTGGTTTCACTCGCAGCGACTTTACGGTATCCTGCTCGAAGCCGCGGCGACGCTTTCCGATGCTGCTCAGAGCCGGTTTGAGGACTTGACTCCCCGACCCGTGGTTTCTACGTCAACATCAGCTCTGTACTTCTCCGAATGAAGTATATTTCGGTGTCCGTACCGAATCCAGGATGCTGTACCCTACATGCACCAACAGCGCAAGTGCCACTCCTACGCCAAGCCCAACGGCGAAGCCCAAGAAGGTACAAGCCGTCAGTGTACCAAGCACGATGCAGTACTCTAGCCAAGCAAGTAGACCCGCAGCACGAAAGTAGCCTCGAAATTCAGATCCAAGCTTATGAAGCATACCAGTACAGCGGCAGCTATTGTGGGAATGATGATGATGATGATGATGATTGTATTTAACGTGGGGGATCGCTCCTCAGTAGTGCAAACCACACCTCCCAGAGCCTCTGCATCGCAGGGTTGTGGAGGTATCAAGATAATAAGTACAGTCAGTGCCGCTCACGAGCCCATCCCCGTTGTTGCGGCTGTATGACTTTGGGGTCATCCATCTGGTCCTTCAAGAAAAGCTATCTATCCATTGTGGGAATGTAAGGCAGAATGAACGGCTGTATGAAGAGAAGGGAAGTCGTGAGTATCAGCACCACAAAGGATTCCAGTCGACCACCACGGGCATGGACGAAGAGCTTTGTATAGGAGAATACCTGTACCAAATACATCAGCCCCTTCAAGTATAACTGGGAGCACAGTCACTCACTATGAGGTTGGGCACCGATCCAACCACACCAGCCATGATGTTCCCAGCGGCGTTTCCCAGGAGTTCGCGATCGATATTGGTCGACGGTGTTAGTAGCGAATAGTTCAAAGCCGATATGGCAATTGGCAGATTTAGCACACCGATGAGGACCAGAACGGCAATGTTTCCCACCGAGCTTGCAATAGCGTTCCAATGAATATTGGAGAAGTCGTAAAGCTTCCAGTAATTGGCCGCAGAAAGAACATGAGAGAAGTCCATGTCTGTGGGAGCTTGGAACAGCCATCCTTCTTCCCGCAGTGACGTCAGTCCTTCTCTGTTAACATGAGATGTACAAGCAGCGCCAACCCAAAAATAAAGCTGTGAGAGACGCTATGAAGACGGGAATGTATAGTGAGCTCCGAGTGAGTCCTCTGGTGGTTCTGCTGATGACATCGGCGCGAATTGAGACCAACAGTAGTATGGTAGGGACTATGGTAGCGAATAGTAATCCGATATGTCGGGTGTTGAGTAGAGGCATGGCTACTCTATGCCAATCAGACTCCATGCTCGATGCAGGCAGGGACAGTTCGAGGGAGACCAGGAAAAGCTGCACACCAATACTCCCTATAATCACAAGCAGATTAGCAGTTGGTAAATGACCATGGGGCTATAGCACTGTACAAACCAACAACACCTGTCAGTACGGTCGTGGGGAAATAAGCGACCAAGAATCCGCATCGTAGGACACCCAGCCCGAAAAACACTACCCCCATTATCAGACTGCAGAGGGCATATGCTGCGAGTGTCGTGGGTATCAAAGCATCGCTATCCTGGCCAAGCCGCCGATGGATGTCGTGCGCGATTTGTCTTAAGAAAGGGAGCACCTCAATGAGCATCGACCCAAGCGCACCTCTGAACTCGGAGCCACCTAATGTCAAAGCAAGCTGGCCGGTGATTATGCTCACTAGAAAAATCGACATACCCGATGACTAAACATCATGAAAACCAGACTCGGCGTAACTGGGAAACACCAGCATACCAGTAGACACTAGGTCAAGAAGATTCAATGTGAAACCCAGTGCTATGGCTGGAGTGCCGCTGACTAACTTGGCCAAAGAAAGTTCGGCGAGTCTTGACCCGGTGTGCGACCCTAGCAAAATGTTCATATTGACGTGATGTGCGGCGGTGAGGCTGGAGGGAATACGGTGAAGGGTGGCGCTGAGGATCGTAAAGAGGCCATTTTCAAACGCACGGAAGCAGCAAGGATATATATAAACCGACAATTGGTAAAGGGACCAAGGAATTGGGAAGATGTCGCCTTGGTCAGCGAAACCCAACGACGAAGTCTTCGCTGGCGAATGCGTGTGGGGCGAAGCATTCTATATACGTGTACCAACTTTCTGCTGTGCAGTCATTTATGGGATTCCTGGACCCCTACTCGTCTCTGTTGGTGGTGTCAGTGCAGCTTGCACCAACACGAAAAGAGAGAAAATCTCAAATTGATTTGATCCAATCCGAGGACCCGTGTTGGAGGCTGGAGTTCGGCCCGTACACATTCCGAAGAGGCTCGGCCAATCCGTAGAGAATCCCGAGAGGCTGGGACCAGTACGTTGGTATTTTTGATGAACTTCGCCCCCTATCTTGGCCATGCCGCCCGGAGCACACACCATATTGCCTGCATACCTCACTCGGCCCCCATGCCCTCATGGCCGTATCACATGGGAATGTACGGCGTTCCGCTCTGCCAGAATCCCAGCTGACGTCCAACAGAATGCGTATGACGAGCGATCAACCGGCTACACACCACCTAGACCGCATCGATACTGACATAGCCGGTCAGCTGGACTTGGAGATCGGCGTGCATGGTGATGCCAGTAAGCGGGCTTCCATCCTCGGGGTACGGGCACCAACCCTATTGAATCTTGCAGCCTAGCCTATCAGCAGTTGTCCTTGCCAACATGTAAATAGTTGGTGTACACGCCCTGCTAAGGGCACGTCATGACTGATTGTTCGCTTCACAGCCTACCTTGACTTATCTCTTCGTCTCCGTCTTGCAGCCTAAGTTGAGTGCACATCAATGGGTATTCATGCACCGTGTAGCCTGAGTCTTGCTCATGTAGATTAATTCAAGTTTGAAGTCAGCTTGCCCAACGCTCGTGGCCGCGAAAAATTGAATGCGGACCGTAGTGCCGCCTTTAAAGCAGCGTCTATGTCAATTCCAGCTATTCTAACCCCCTTTTCCCTCTGTAACTGCCACGTGGTATCGGTCCGACTCGACAGAGTGAGTCTCTCTGATGAGCTGCAGGTTCTTTGGCTGTTCCCTGGACAATGACTACTTGGATTTGCGGTCGCTGAATATCGAATTGACAATCTCTCCCGAGCGAGTGGCCAAGATAGACAGCAGGGTATCGCTCAACTAGAGTGGGACGTACGTCAGCATTGGGTGTCACCAAGCGAAGCATTGGCGGGATACTCACCCCATGCGTTCCTTCACAGCAACCTTGAAGCCAGACGCCAGATCCCGCTGATACTTTACCCGGAGCAAACTGCACGCTGTAGTCTCGTGATACTCTTACCGGACGGTCTTTGATCTTGGCTTCGGCGGCTTTGGGTTTCAGTCCGTTGGTTGCCGGTACTCCACTGGTCTCGCCGGCCTCCGGTAACAAGGTCGCCATGTCTTCCATCATGGTCAAGTGCGATTGTCTCTTGTAGCCTGTTGCTGCGACGACCAGGTCTACTTCGAGGAACTCGTCTCCAGATGCACCGTCGCACACGTCGTTCTGTCCACAATCACCCGCTGAGCGTTTGGCCTCGCTCAGGGGCCGGAACATTAGGCGGGCTTTCCCAGACTGGCTCTCGAACCCCACAATATCGGTAGCACCCAAGATGCGATGGGGCCATTTCTTCTCGTCGCTGCCAATGTCCCGTCTCTGGTCATACATCTTCTCGTACAAGCGCTCAATGAGCTCCAGGCGGACGACACCGTAGTTGGTGCTTCGTGCATCCGCCAGCAGAGACTGCCGCAATTCTGCCGGCCTCGGGTAGAGAGAGTCAACATACTCGGGGTTGAATATGGAATTGACACTGAAGCCAGTCAGCACCAGATCATGGTGGTATAAGCCACGCATGTAAGTGAGTAGGGGTATATGAGGGTATATGAGGGTATGGATGGTGGTCATTCAATGCTCACTCACAATGGCGAGTCGTCGCTGGGCTTTAGAAACTCCGAGCGCATGACCAGCGCTGTGTGGGAATTTGGATAGAGGGTCTGGATGTTGTTGAATATCTCCGCCGCGCTTTGTCCAGCGCCGATGACGGCCACACGGTACGGAGCCTCTGGTTGGTTCAGGGTCTTTGGAACTAGATGCGCATACTGAGACGAGTGAACAACTTGAGGGTGATTCGAGGGCAGGCATTTCGGTATCGAGGGCTGTCCACCAATGGCGACGAGCACGTTTTTGGCCCGATGGGTCGTGAGGGACCCTGACTTGACATCCTTGGAGGTGACCGAGAAGGTTGATACTGGCTCGGACGAGTCGGCGGGCTGGACAGGGGATAACGAGACGACCTCGCTGCCGTACTGCACAACGTCGTCGAATGATGCGGCACACCAGCGTAGGTAATCTTCGTACTCAACCCGTGCGGGGAGAAAGGTGCTCAAGTTGGTGAACTCCACAAGCCGTCCGTTCTGGTGTAAATAATTCAGGAAGGTGAATTTGGAGGTTGGATCTCGCAAGGTCGCCATGTCTTTGATGAAGGATATCTGCATCTTTGCACCCGGTAAGAGCATTCCCGCATGCCATGCGAAGCGCGACTGTTTCTCCAGAAACAGAACTTTCGGCGGCGATGCCCCGGCCGAGTCGGATAGCTTGCCGCCGTCTATGGAATCATGGAGAGCCACCGCGACAGCCAGACTCGCCGGGCCAAACCCAACACAGATGAGGTCATGGACTTCCGCGGATGGTGTTCTTCGCAGGTGAGTTTTGTTGCAGGTAGACTTCCCGTTCCCGGCTTGAGTCAAATGGTCGATTCTGTTGGTCTGTAAGGCATGCTCTCCACTGGTTTGACCATCGTAATGGCTATCCATCAGACTGTGCGGCGCCATGGCGGAGTGCCCGTAGAGTGTCGAGCAAAGGTGTCACGACGCGAGGCGCGCCAGCAGAGACAGCGAGTGTAACCAGGACTCTGTTCACTTCGTTAGCACGTGTTCGAGTCGGTTGCAAACCTCCAGAGGGGCTGGTGGTGAGGTTAGAGAAATGAGAATACAACGTCGCAGATGAGCTAACTCTAGGCCGTTGATAGCCACGTCCAAGCACGTAAGGCGAAGATAGATGGACGACAGCTGATGAGGAGGACCCTAGAGAAGGAGGCAGTCTCTGGATCCGATGGTCCGGGGACGGTGAACGTCAAATACCCAGGTAATAATGACATGGTCGTTTCATTGCTGCGACTTGCGGCACCGTGACGCAACCTAGCTCGTTCCTGGCCAAGCCTGAAGACACAGGGCAGGATACAGCATGCTGCCAGTGAAGTACCCTGGTCCCGGGCGGCATCGTAAGTTCAATTCTGGCGCCATGGGTAAAAAGACCCTTAGGCTTGGGCGGGCTGGGCGGGCTGGGCGGGTTGAGGAAGACGTTGGCTTCTATCGTTGCCGTGAGCGTTCAATGTGCATTCATTGGTCGGGCACACAACATGATTTCTCGGAGATCCACCGCTACTGATCACCTCCACCCACCTCTGTGCTTCAGCAGGCTGACCGGCTGACCGGAGTGTCAACGGTAACAAGCCAAGTCGACCTTGGAGCTCAAGGCCATTGATGAACATAGTGTAGGCCTACACTGTAGTGCAGAAAGAGACACTTTCCTCCATCCTAGCATGTATGCCATGCACGCCTGAACAGACGGTAATCCAGGGAGCATCAACGGCCTCGACACTTGTCTACGCCGTGTGTCTCTGGCAGGAACACGTTCCCTCGGCCAGAAGGAGGCAGAGTTGATCGTTGATAGCTGATACCTACATGTACCAAAGACAGAGGTAGACTTGCGCTCACCAGGGCGCGCGGGCCGGCAGAGACAGGTGGATGCAGACGATTCGATGCAGCCAAGTGGGGGACGCCGAGCGTCAGGGGGCGACATCGGCATTATCTTCGGATCAGATAAGATGGATCTGCATGAGACTCGTTGAGGCTAGTGACGAGATGCCGGTGCCGGTTGCGGCTGGCCGGCGCTCCATTCTCTGCCCTTGTAGATCGAAAATCTCTGCATTGTTTCCAAATACACAGATGATAGATTACCCCGGGAGAAAGCCAGCCAGCACGCGCCGTAGTGTATCGCAAAGCACCCAGCCTAGCTAGAAGGTGATTCGCGGGAATGCACAACTAACCTGCGTAGCGGTTGTAGCCAAACCACATTTTGTGGGAACCTCCTGCGCATATAGTGTAGACGGCACGAGCGTCAGCTATTCGGATTCCGGGGTTGCGGGTGTCCCACTCCTGCGGGAAACGGAGGGGGGACGCGTAGTAACACTTCGTCTTGAGAGAAACGATGTGGATTCTTGCTCGTGGCCCGGCCGAAACTGCCATACCTGGACAATCAGTGATGGTGAGTCTCTGGCAGCCCTGGCTTTACTATTACCTGGGAGATCAGACGGCGACCAGCCATCTGGGGAACCCAGTTCTGGTGCCCATCGCCCATATGTGTGTGAGTGGCAGAGAAAGTCGTCCAGAGTCCGGATATGAATAGATGAGTGGAGCATATATCTGCTGTTGAACACTTGTTCCCAAGCGATGGTAGTAGTCCCGCGCCCGTTATCAATTTCACTCTCTCGAATATGCCGGAGTATCAACAGTGATATGGAACCCTGCAGATGCGTCGAAGCAGACCAAGGCGACATGGCGAGCTCGTCGGGAGGGTGCACCTACACCAGCCATGCAATAGATGGCAGTGCGCAAAATTTTCTTCTTGCATATTGTCTACAGCCGAGGAGGGACAGGTCACGCCGGTGTCGATGGAGAGCACCGGTGGAGGCGGCTCCAGAGTCCTAGAGGTCAGGTCCACTCTGATGGATGCCCAAGAAGGGCCGTGATGATGATGATTGGGCGATGAGATTTTATCTGATGATCTGATAAGATCATGCTGGATCATGCTGCATGCACCCATGGATCCCTGGATACTCTGGACCATGGGCAGCAACGACGGGCTTGGCGGCGCTGGGGTGCTGGACCAGTATCGGACCAGCTGACCAGGTCAGGAGTCAAGACTCATGGAACTTCTCAAGTCTCAAGCGGGAAGGTAGCGAAGACCGGCATTGGCAGGTTGTGTGCCTAGTCTGTCACTTCTGTCAAATGAGTAATAGCGTTATGGGTCGTATCTAGCGGCGAGAGAATGTCGGAGATGAGTCCTGCTTTTGAGGGGTTTTCGAGAATGGGTCGACGACGCCTTGCAGCCCTGAACGAACTGTTCGAATGTGACCGCGGGGGCATAACGATGCACGAAACAGGAGCTTTACCTCGCTGAGGCAGGCAGGGTATCAGTGAGACTGCTATAAGCGAGCGATGCAAGAACGCAATCAATCTCATGTGATGTGCTGCTGGTGCTCTAGGATGAGAGAAGAGTCCTTGATTACTTCCCGTCGACGACGTTTCAAACAACCTTATCCCTTTTGGGAATCCAAAACGCCCGACCTGTCAGACAGGATATGCAAGAAACCTTCCATAGCCTACATAACCACCTTACCATCTTCTCTCCCCCATTTCTCAACAATGGCATAGACAATATGTTAGTTTTTAAACATCGATCAATCCAATATTGCAAGCGCTTTCTTTTAATATTTTCTGATTATGTTATCAACGAGTGATAGCGGGGATATTCAATTGAGAGTGGCTGTTGTTGTGGTGTGGTGACTGCCAGAGCTGTGCTGTCTGCCTGTCTGAAGAATGGACACTGTCGATACAACTGAGAGGCAAAGCTGGGCAGCTGGAGTCACTGCTTAACATGCAGGTGCCAGGTGTACGACAGCAAGAAACACAGTGCCGGTTGAAAGATCCGGGCTCTAGCGCACTGTCCATGACCGCGCCTGCCGTCGCTGGACGTACGGGAGTATCCGCTACTCTCTGCACTAATGAGCCCAACTATTAGGGCAGTGTGCCTGCAACTATCTGGGCAGTGTACCCACTTATATCTGGAATTAAGCCAATCAAAGCGCAGCGTTTAAGAAGGCATGCACTCTGTCGCCCCTTTAGATTTTTATTATTATGGTCGACTGTATTCGCCTTTATTTATTTAAATTAGTTAAATCTCGTTAATTGCTTATATATTACTATTAAGATTATGTAAATGCGGCCTGTTTAAAGCTTTAATTGGTCCGTTTTCGCCCTTATTTACGCTTTTTCTTAACATTTATAAAATCAACTATATTTATTAATGTGACGGTGTACAGCTGTATCCACCTGGTTAGATGCTGAGTCATCAGGTCACGTGTAGATTAGCCAAGGAACGGGACCACCACATAAGTTGGGTATACGCACCACACTTGGCTGGCTTCTCTTTTCTTCCTCACCTTGTTATTTTTAGAATACAACACCAGATTCCTACACAACGCCGCAGGCATCGTGACAATTAACACGTTATTAATATTAATGTAGTTTCTTTCTTTTTAAACGGGTCGTTATCGCTTTAAATAACAGTTAAAATAGCTATTAAAATAGCTATTTATTACTATTATTAACGGAGAAAAGTAATAATATTTTAAATAAATGAAAACTTCGTGTTATTATAAATAGCTTTACAAGTAATACCTTTATAAACATTTTTTTCACGCGTAATACCTTTATAAATAGTTCTTTTAATGATATTTTTTAACGTATAATACTTTTATAAGTGTAAGATTCTAGAAGGGTCACAAGCCTTGGGGGTGTGAGCAGTCGCTGCAAACGTTGTTGTCATTCTCAAGTATGCTTGGCAGGGCTATTCTACAGCTAAATACTATACTGCACTATACTAGGGTAGATCCACTGTTCCTTTGACAGCCCCCTAGTGGGTACTGCATCTAAGGGCACCATATCTGGGATCTAACATCTGACAATAAGTAATATTTTTACGCGTGTTATAAAGGCGATTACAAGGTCTGCTATGCGTTATTAACTCAATAACGCCGATATTTTAACCTAGTATATTCCTTCTTTTTTAACTACTTGTTATAATGGTTATAATAGTTATCACACTTCTTTTTTAAAGGCGCTATAAAAGGCGATTATAGCTATAATTACGGCTAGGCGTTGTTTGATTATTATCGTTATTATCAATATCTGTTATAAACTTTTACTATAAAGGCTTTTAACGTAATAAAGGAATAAAAGCACGACGTTAGCGGTAAATATTATAGTATTACTTTATAAGGTAAAAAAACACTTTTTAAAAAATAATCGATTGTCACGATACCTGCGGCGGTGTATTGGAATCTGGTGTTGTATTCCCAAAATAACAAGGTAAGGAAGGAAAGGAATCCAGGTGTGCGTGCACCCGAATAGCTGCAGCACATATGGTGGTGTTCTTATCTAATCTACATGTGATCTGATGACTCAGCATCTATCTATCTAGGTGGCTACGGCTGTATACCGTCACATCGATCTTTTAAGGTTAAGGTTTTAAATGCCGTAATTTTTACTTTTTTATATAGTATTTTAATCGTAAACGACGCTTAAACACGTATATACGCCGACTTTTATTAGTTTTTTACCTTTATATTACTTAAAAGTTATAATTCGCAGTAAAAGCGTATATAAAGTTTATTAAAGTCTTTGTTAACTCGTAAGAAAGTCTGCTTTATAAACTATTATTAGTAAGGTTAAAAATAATATTACAAGGCTGGTTTATAACGAGTTCGGCGCTTTAAATCAAATAGCTACGTTAAAATTAAAGCTTTTTCTACTGTATTCATAGACGCACGCGCGTATATATAGATCATAAAAGAGCTATAATTATAATTATAACAATTAAAATCTAAAAAGCGAAGAATATACGCTAGTGGTTGTGTAGGTGCACAGACCACTAGGTTACGGGCTTTAATTAGCTTAATCTCAGATATAAGTGGGTATACTGCCCGGATAGTTGCAGGCACACTGCCCTAATAGTCGGGCTCGCACTAATCTACCCTTCAGGGCTCTTAGGCCGAGCATCGCCGGGCTTCAATTTCTAAGGTTGTCGTGGGCACTGCGTTCAACTGGGCACACACCAACCTGCGTACCTACTCGTACCACAATCCATAGATTTGACGAGCGCCAACACGACGAAGCTACGTCGTCCATCAGTCTTGTTCGGGAACTCATATTCACTTGCGTCCTTCTTATATACCTCTACACGTCACGGCACAGGTCATACGGCGGGCAGCGGACCCGTAGTGATCACGACGCGCCTGGACAAGGTACCTTTGTCCCGGCTCGAAATTACCTCACCTTCTTCACCGGACGTCAAGGCACATAGACCTTAGATGCAGATAGCCTTGTGCTGTGATCTGCCGAATCCAAGAGCTTGGTATCGCAGTCAGCTACCTGCAGCAGAGGTAGGGCGATATGCATCTTCATGTGCGTGTCTGATTGGCTCATGGTCTCAGGTTATACACTTCGTCACATCGCCCGAGACGAGACACGGCATCTCCATTGCCTCTGCAGAAGCGGGCGACTTCCGGCCGGATTACAGCTTCCAGTCCCTAGCCGTCTCTCGAACGAGCGGCAGCATTGTTTTCCGAGCTCACCGCAGCATGATAGGACCGCACGCTGCTGGAGTGCCAAGGCGAACGTGACGCGAGACATCTCGCGCAGTGGTCCCAATGGCACCAGCACCAGCACCGCAATCCGAGGGTCTCTCCATCTTCAACGCAAGCCCTAAGACGCTTGGGGGGCCGGTGCTTCTGCACGACCTGGTATCACTGTCCGACATTGATGGCACACCTGCTATCGACTTCCTGTCTGCTCAGGGAGAGAGGGTCAAGATCCCCTATTCCCAGCTGCATGCTGCATCCGCTGCACTGGCTTCTCATATATCAAACGTCTTGGGCTTCACGTCATCGTCAGGTACTCCAAAGCCGTTGGTAGTTCCCATCCTGGCGCCTCAGTCACCTGAACTCTACGTTGCTCTTTTTGCCATCTTGAAAGCTGGTGGCGCATTCTGTCCATTGAACCTGGATGCCCCGCCTGAACGCATCAAGTTCATTCTCAAAGATGTCGGCGCAAGCGTCGTTCTCGCGAGTGGCCGCCTGGTCTCCAAGGTTCCCACCGTTGATGAAAGTGTCAGGGTCATATCTATTGACAACGTCCTTAGCCCTCTAGCCTTCAACACCCGCCCGTCCCTGCCCGCCAGGGAAGCAACACAGGATGACCTGGCCTATGTCATGTACACGTCTGGCTCTACAGGTACACCCAAAGGAGTCGGCATTTCTCATTTCTCTGCGACGCAGGCTTTGCTTGCCCATGACCGCCATATCCCACTATTCAAGCGCTTTCTTCAATTCGCGGCCCCCACATTCGATGTTTCTGTCTTCGAGATCTTCTTTCCGCTTTTCAGGGGAGAAACATTGGTTTGCTGCAATCGTGCTGAGATGTTGACTGATCTTCCTGCCATCTTGCGCAAGATGGATGTTGATGCTTGTGAACTAACGCCATCCGTTGCCGGCAGCCTGCTGAAGACGAGAAGCAACGCCCCTGGCTTGCGGCTACTGCTCACCATAGGGGAGATGCTCACCGAGCCAGTGATTCAAGAATTCGGTGGCGACGAGCACCAGGAGAGCTTACTCTGGGCCCTGTACGGGCCTACCGAAGCTACAATTCACTGGTATGTAATAGCCTTGTCGCATGCTCTGCTACTATACTTAGAAGTTCATTACAGCACGTTGCAGTCGGCCTTCTCGAAGACATCCGGGCGGAACTCGATTGGCACCTCTTTGGATACCGTGTCGGCATTCATCATTGATCTCCCAGGCGACCGTAGCGCTTCATCCCAGTTAGACGTCCTCCCATTCGGCCATGTTGGGGAGCTTGCTGTTGGAGGCAGTCAGCTTGCCACGGGCTATATCAATCGACCCGAGCAGACCTCTGCCTCCTTCATTGACACGCAGTGGGGTCGAATATACAAGACAGGGGACAAGGCCAGCATGCAGCCAAATGGAACCATCCAGTGTTTTGGAAGGATTGATGATGCGCAGGTCAAGCTGAATGGACAACGACTTGAACTAGGAGAGGTCGAGCATGCTTTGTTAAGAGTACCAGGGTGTCATGGTGCATTTGCAACAGTGGTCTCGAATGCATTGGTAGCTTTTGCCGCAGTTGACAGCAGACCAGACATGCGGGAGCAGCTTTTCGCCGGATGCAAAGCCTGGTTGCCATCCTTCATGATTCCCTCGGAAGTCATGACCATGGATGCTTTCCCACGGCTACCCTCGGGCAAGATCGATAGACGAAAGCTCGTTCAACCTTACGAGGCGTCCACGGGCGGTTCTCTAAATGCTGACGTGGAAGGCTATTTCGAGAATGAACAAGAACGTCTTCTTTGCGAGCTTGCGAGCCAGCTCCTTGCTCAGTCAGTGACCCCTTCCACCCGTTTTTCGTCGGCAAGGCTTGACTCCTTAGCGGCTATTGAGTACGCGTCTGCGCTGAGGGGCATGGGGATTGATGTTGACCCTATTGATATCCTGAGTGCGCGGACGCCCCGGGATCTCTGGCGTTCAACACAAACCACAACCACCTCAGCAAGCCGCAATCGTCTACCCACAAGTAGCAATTCGACAGAACAGCGCCCTCCAAATCAAATCATACATCTATCGAATGTGGACGCGTCACCCGAGCCAAATGTCAATCAGATCGAACGTGTCGAGCCGTGCACAGCGCTCCAAGAATCGATGATTGCGGAAACCCTCAAAGACCCCAGACTCTATATCAACCAAACCGAACTTCGAGTCCCAGGAACGGTCGCCTTGGACTCCATCCGGTCCTGGCTGGTGGATCTAGCGCAGCGTAACGAAATCCTTCGGACGGGCTTCGCGTACTCTGAAGACAAACTGTGCCAGATTATCTGGAAAACATTCGATAACAGTCAGCTCGTGGAAACCGAAGACTCTGACTTCTGGAAACCTACCAACACCGAACTTTTCCTTCGTCGCCCCCTACGGATCAATATCAAACTCTTTTCCGTCCCCTCGCGATCTCATGTGGTCTTACTGACCCTCCATCATTCCATCTACGATGGCTGGACCATAGACTTATTGACTGAAGATCTTTCGCGCTTGGCAGGTGGGCAGCAACCAATCGAGCGGCCGCAGTTTCAGGACGTCTCTGCCTACCTAGTGGGGACGTCAGGTACAGAACCGATAGATTCTAGGGAGTTCTGGGCTGAACATCTCCGCGACAGTAGCCCTGGGCCGGTACCCAACTTCAAGACTGTCAGGGTGATGGAGCCCCTGATAAGATCAATTTCCGAGATAATCCCCCTTGAGCCCGCTGCGGCCAAGGACGCTGTTCTACAATCATCTGTGGGCCCTCAAGTTATCTTCCAGGCTTGTCTGGGCTGGCTATGGGGGGCACTCAATGGTACTGAAGATGTCATCATGGGCTCTGTTTCTTCGGGCCGAGCTCTACCTATCGCTGGGATCGAGAAGATCATGGGACCATGCGTGGCCACGCTACCTCTCAGAGTCAACCTCGGGCGATTCCGGACCATCAGGGAGTTCCTGCAGAGCATACAGGCAACCAACCGAGACACTCTTCGGTATGGAAGACTTCCGCTGGTCGACATAAAGCGAGCTGCAGGCTTGGCGACCACGTCGAAGCTGTTCGACGTCATTTTCGCATACCAAGAAACACTCGCCAGTCGCAGACAGAGCTCGAACATCGTGCGAGAGACTGGGCACAAGGATGCTGTAGAGGCCAAGTTGCTTGTCGAAGTACAACCTCTGGAGAAATCCTTCCTCTGCCAAATGACGTGGCATACGGATGTCTTCTCGGAGACCCAGATCGGTATTTTCGTTAGACACCTAACTCATTTGGTGGACTACTTCATGCGTCATGACGATGCCACAATTGCTAGTATACCGCATTCCTTTCCCATCGAAAATCTCTCCCGCTACAATCATGCTCCCAAGCGCATCAAGACTCTCTCGAGCTTGTCTGGACTCGTGGAGAAAACAGCGTCACAATACCCAGCCAAGAATGCGCTTCAGTTCAACTCATCATTCCGCGCGTCTGAGGTCGGATCGGAGACATTGACGTATTATGATCTCAACTCAAAGGCGAATCAAATGGCACGCTACCTTCAACAGAATGGCGCCTCACCCAGAGGCATAGTTGCCATTGTTTTGGACAAATCCCCGTTGCTGTACTGCAGTATCCTGGCCATACTGAAGACCGGTTGCGCCTACCTACCGATTCTTCCCACCACTCCAATGCAGAGGGTACTGCTGATTCTTGAACAGGCTCAACCGCAAATCTGCTTAGTTGATGCAATGACCTGCCCCTTTTTAGCGGCAGAGAAAACCCCCTGCAGCATCATCGACATTAACTCTCTAAGGCTACACACTTTTCCCGATGCCAACCTTGACATATCCGGGAATTTGTGCGATCTCGCCTACATCATATATACCAGGTAGGCGAATCCACCCTCTTTGGAATATGTTCATGAAAGCTCAACATCTTTCCGCTAGTGGTACAACTGGCGTGCCCAAGGGTGTTTCCGTCATGCACGGGAATATGTTGAGTAACATCGAGGTCCTGTCCCGCATCTACCCTCACGATCCATCTGACAGAATGCTTCAAGCCTGCTCTCAAGCGTTCGACGTGTCTGTTTTCGAGATCTTCTTTGCATGGGCAAACGGCATGTGCTTATGCTCAGTCCCGAATGACGCGCTCTTCGAAGATCTCGCAGGGGCGGTCCGGGCCCTCGGTGTTACCCATCTGAGCATGACTGTCACGGTGGCTTCCCTACTAAATCCAAGCCATGTGCCCAACGTCAAATTCTTGGTCACTTCTGGCGAGCCCATGACGGACGAGGTTCTCGAAACGTGGTCTACTTACCTTTACCAAGGTCGGCCGAATCCAAGCCGAACACATTATCAATGAAGCTAATTCAGATCAGGATACGGTCCCTCGGAAACGACTAACATCTGCACTGTCAGAAAGGTTGAAACAGGTGACTCGTCACAATTCTTAGGGTGGTCTTTCGACAATACTTCAACGTTTGTCTTCGATCCCCAGTCAACAGACCTCGTTCCCATAGGCTGCGTAGGCGAACTTTGCTTCGGTGGCGACCAGGTCGCATCCGGGTATTTGAAGCTGCCCGAGACAACATCCGCCAAATTCATCGACCATCCGCAGTACGGACGCATGTACCGATCTGGAGACATAGGCCGCATGCTGCCAGACGGTTCTCTTGTGATCCTCGGGAGACTAGACACCCAGGTGAAGCTCCGGGGTTCAAGAATCGAGTTGCAGGAGATCCAGGCAACTGCCCTGAGAAACGGTAATGTCAAAACGTGCACAAGCGTGCTCGTTACTCTCAGGGGCACGGGTACACAGCAACTCGCACTGTTCTGCGTCCCTGCCGATCATGAGCCCACAAAATTTGGTCTACTGCCTCACACTGATTCTCTCAAGCAAATGGTGGTCGCTTTACGACGAGAACTTCAGGGAGCCCTACCAGGTTACAGCGTGCCATCTTTCATTGTTCCTATATCCGCGTTGCCATTGACGTCGTCTGGGAAGGTCGACGATGAAACCCTACGTCGTTCTGTCGATGAACTCACTGGTGACGCGCTCAGTTTTTGCAGCTCCGCCCAAGACGAAACGGAGGACATGTCAGAGTGGAATGCGATAGAGACTCTAATCGCGGAAATTCTCTCAGATACCCTGAAAGTGGACAAGAACGCAATCAGCCGCTGGTGCTCTTTCGCAGCACTTGGTCTAGACTCCATCACTGCCATGCCCATAGCCCGCAAGCTCCAATCGGCGCTCCAAAAACGAATTCCCTTGTCTCTGGTTCTCCAGAACACTAGCATTGGGCGACTTGCCTTGGCAATCAGTGAGGTTGAGGTCCCCGTGGACACACGGCCGGGCGGTCCTTTACTCCCAATGAAGCTTATAGAAACTGTGCGCAAGCGTTTCACCGACGCGGGAACACCAGTACGAGACGTGCTTCCTTGTACTCCATTACAGGAGGCAATGCTTACAGCATCTCAGTCGTTGTCGGCTGGACCTTCTTACTACAATCAGATGCTTTTCCGACTTCACGTACCATCTGAAGTGATGATGAGGTATTGGAATAGCATGTTCCAGCGACACGACATCCTGCGAACCTGCTTCGTGACAACTGATGACGTCCGGTATCCCGCCGTGCAGGTAGTTCTGGGTTCTCACGTGCCTACATGGCAGGTCCTTGAAGCAGACGCTGCGTCGCCTGGACGGCGGGTAACTGAGCACGTGAACTCGATCCTGAAGGTGGTTGATTCGGGTGAACCTCCAGCGTCGCTCGCAATCGTCCAGTCGAAAGACTCCGGAGAGTACCTTTCCTTTGTCTGTCACCACGCCATCTATGATGGCATCTCGATGAGGATCATGCTCTCGGAAGTCGAGGCACTACATCGTCAAGAACAGCTGTCAGCACCCCTTCCCTTCGAGACATTCCTGCGGGAGACATTTCGTTCTCCTCCCGGGACGACTGAGTTCTGGACGAAGCATCTCCTTGGCTACAGCCCGCGTCGCTTGAGGCAGATGGAATTCGAGGACGACTCGAAGTCGAGACTGATATCTGCGAGGGCATCTACCTTCTCCTTGGTATCTCTCGAGTTGCGACTCAAGAAGTTGGGTGTTTCGCTTCTGTCACTTTGCCAAGCTGCATGGTCCATCACGCTTTCGATGCTGCAGAACAGCAGCGATATCTGCTTTGGCAACGTTTTAAGTGGCCGCTCCATCACCATGGACGGCATCGATACTCTCGTGGCGCCATGCTTTAATACCATACCAGTTCGGTTGGATCTGTCTGACTCTCGATTCCTCATCGAAGCCATGAAAGCGTTCCAAAGTTTGAATGCCGAGACGCTGCCATTCCAATTTACCAGTCTGCGACATGTACACTCCCAACTCTCAGCATCGTCACGCTTATTCGACACGGTACTCATTCTTCAGCCAGAACCAACTCCTTTGGACGAAAGTCTTTGGTCTCTGGAGCAGGAGGATGGTGCCATGGATGTGAGCTCAATCTAAGCTGCACCGCTTCGCCATATGTAAGCTCATGTGTATGTAGGTTCCGATAGTTTGCGAGGTCGTTCCTTCGAAGGTCGACGATGCTTTGATGCTGCATCTCCATCGAGACCCGTAGGTCATCGTCCGAATTTTGGTACCACGTTCGCTGCTTACATGGTGCTAGGTCATTGTTCTCCCACCAAACTCTATTGACGATTGCCGAGATATTCTGCTGTGCTGTTGATACCAGCTTGAGGCACCCTTCATCCTACCTACTTACCACAGCAATGCTGCCCTCCCAACTGCAAGACCAACTTGGACAATCATTCTTCGAGTCAATACAAGAAGATAGGCTTTCCCAGGTGCAGCTTACCGCAGCGGGTGAGGACTGGAGCCCGAAGGAGACGTCGATTCGAAAGGTGCTGTCGAAACTGTCCCAGGTTTTCGAGGAGAAGATTGAGCGCCATACACCGATCTACCGCTATGGGCTGGATAGCATCGCTGCCGTCCAGTTTGCTACACTTCTCCGACGAGAACAGATAGCCGTGTCCGCCCTAGACATTCTCGAGAACCCGACCTGCGCAGGGATTGCGTCATGCGCAACAAGGAAACCAGATGCCCCTGAATCCGTCTCTTATGACTTCGACTGTTTCCAAAGCCAGGTCAGCAGCGACTTACAAAAGGCTGGAGGCCTGAGCAGCGATCCCGAGGCAGTTTTACCGTGTACAGCCACACAAGAGGGCATGGTCTCCCAGTTCCTGGCGTCCAAGGGAAGATACTACTTCAATTACACGAGTTGGTCTTTGGATCCTGAGCTGGGCTTCCAGCAGGTTGTCGACTCGTGGATTCGCCTTGCTGCCCGTCATCAAATACTCCGTACTGGTTTCGGGTCCGTTGACCACCAGGAGAGCTCCTTTGCTATGGTGGTCTACCCTGAGACGGGCCTGCATGTTCCGGTCTCTTTTCATCAGTCTAACTCGTTCGATGTCAAGCTGTGGCGCTCACAATCAGCCGCAAGCGCATTCCAGTCGCTTTCGCGGCCACCTTGGCGCGTAGCTGTTGTCAAAGATGAGGGTAAGGCAGAGTCTGATTTGTTGACGATGCACCTCGCGATTCATCATGCTCTATACGATGCATTCTCGTTACGTGTCCTTTTAGATGAACTGGCCAGTATCATCTCTGGTCGCAAGGTTGAGGCCCAATCGTCCATCCAGCCAGCTTTGTCGCACTATTTCAGTTCAGTGCACTCCTCTGAGCAAGCAGCTGAAGCATTCTGGAGAGGAAAAGCCGACCAGGTCGTGGTCAATAAGTTCCCGACCATGACGCCGCTTCACGTTGACAGTGCGATTTTCAGCAGCATTTCCAAGTCTTTTAGTGTGCCATCTCGGGCTCTTCGGCTGGCTGCTGCTGACGCCGGGGTGACAGTACAAGCTGCGCTTCAAGGGGCTTGGGCTCGACTACTGTCTGCTTATCTAGGCGAGTCATGTGTCACCTTTGGGGTTGTGTTCGACGGACGTACAGCTGGCGTAGCAAGAAGGACAACGCTCCCAATGCTAACAACCTTACCTGTTCTGGCACGGAATTCTGCCTCAAATACAGAATTGCTCCAAAGTATGGTTCAATACAATGAAGTTGTACGACGGTATGAACACACGCCTCTGCCTCAGATCCAAAGATGGCTTGGGCGGCCCGATGGCCAGCTCTTCGACACGATCCTCATCTATCAAGTGTCGGAAAGGCCTACCGTTAGCCTGCCGTGGACGGTGCTCGAGGAGATCGCATCTGTAGACTATGCACTCTCATTAGAGGTAGAGGAGTCGCTAATGGGTACGACCCAGCTCAATCTCAGCTTCGACACCAACAAACTCCCGCATGAACAAGCTAGTATCCTTCTTGCTCAGTTTGATGCCATATTGGGTGATCTCATTCGATCTCCCAAAGGTCATGCCATCGACCTTACGAAACGTTCGCCCTCCCTGTTCTCCATTCTCCCAGCGGAGTGTCAGCAGCTTCCGTCCAGTGCGCAACTGGCGCATCAACTCGTCGAGCACAGCGCGCAACGCATGCCACACGCTGTAGCGCTCGAGTTCGCCGATGGTATCAACGACGCCGTCCAGTCTCGGCAGTGGACTTACCGAGAACTAAACGACATGGGGAACCGGGTCGCCCATCTAATCCTCCGTCAGAATATCCCGCCGAATAGCATAGTTGCTACCTGTTTCAACAAGTGCCCCGAAGCTTATTTTACCATCTTGGGAATCCTCAAGGCAGGATGCGCATTTCTATCGCTTGATCCATCGGCACCTATGACCCGGCACGAGTTCATTCTGGCCGATTCGGACGCGACGTTGCTGATGGTTGAGAACAGGTTGGCCAACCAGAGTTATCTCAACGTCACCCCGATGCTTGTGGTCAGCGAAAAGTTACTTGATGATGTTACTCTCGATCACGAGGGTGTTACACGCAAGGTATCGCCGTCCGATACGTGTTACTGCCTTTACACGAGTGGTACTACTGGTGCTCCGAAAGGTTGTCTGATCAGTCACGATAACGTTATCCAGGCAATGGCCGCCTTCGAACACCTCTTTGCTGGGCATTGGGACTCCAGATCCAGATGGCTCCAATTTGCCTCGTTTCACTTTGACGTGTCCGTCTTGGAGCAGTATTGGTCCTGGTACGTCGGCATTACAGTTGTCGCAGCTCCAAAGGACCTCGTCCTTAGTGACTTGGCCTCGACGATATCCAGACTTGCAATCACACACATAGACCTCACACCCAGCCTGGCAAGACTTGTTCAGCCTGACGAAGTGCCAAGTCTCTGCAACGGCGTCTTCATCACAGGAGGGGAGCAGCTGCGACAAGAGATACTGGATGTTTGGGGACCTCAGCGAGTCATTTACAATGCATACGGTCCAACAGAAGCCACTATCGGCGTCACCATGCGTCAAAGAGTGCCACAAAACGGGAGGTCTTCGAATATTGGAAGTCAGTTCCCTAATGTTGGTACCTACGTCTTCGAGCCGGGTACCCAGGTTCCAGTCCTCAGAGGTGGTGTCGGGGAGCTATGTGTATCTGGACGACTGGTTGGTAGTGGATATCTGAAACGCCAAAAGCTCACCGATGAGCGGTTTCCCACACTAGAGGCATACGGCGAAAGGGTCTACCGTACTGGTGACCTGGTTCGTGTACTCCATGATGGATCTTTTGATTTCTTGGGTCGAGCCGATGATCAGGTCAAGCTTCGCGGTCAGAGGTTGGAAACTGGCGAGATCAATCACGTCATCAAGGATGATCTAGCCCATGAGATATCTGACGTGGTCACTGTGGTCACAAGGCGCGCTAAGCAGGACAGAGACCTTCTTGTGTCCTTTATATCCCCTTCCGTGAGTACAGGGTCCACTGAAGACCTGATAGTCTTTCGTGACAAGAGCCATGTCGACCTATCTCGACGGGCATTGGATGCGTGCAGAGGGCGTCTTCCGGGGTACATGGTTCCTACGTACGTCCTTTGCGTGCCGTTCCTTCCTCTGTCGCCAAACAACAAGGCAGACACCAATCGACTGAAACAGCTATTCGCAGACCTGTCCCAGGACCAGTTACGCGATATTGCAGTGCTCTCTGCGGAAATCCATCGAGCACTCAACGAGACGGAACTGGTGGTCTCAAGGGCGCTGTGCGATGTTGTACCAGCCGAAGTGAATGATATCTCGCCCTCGTCCACGATATACCAGCTGGGCATCGACTCAATCACTGTGACGAGGTTGGCCAGACAGCTTCGCGTCTTAGGATTCCCTTCAGCAAGCCCTTCCCTTATCTTGCGACATCCCCAGATCAGTCAACTTGCCCGAGTTCTGACAGCAAACACGGCAGATCCTACCAACCACGCGCTCCAGATCAAGCAGTCAATTCGTGCGCTCTGCCACAAACACATCGCCATTGCCTGTAGAGATTTGGAGGTGGACAAGACCGAGATAGAATACATCGCACCATGTACTCCTTTGCAGGAGGGTATGGTCGTCAGATCAAGAGTCAAGGGAACGAAGTCGGCCTACTTCAACCTATTCGTGATTGATTTGGACCCTCAAGTGTCTGTTGACCACCTGAAGACGTCCTTCGAGAGACTCGCGGCGTCGTTTCCCGTCCTAAGAACGGCTTTTCTCGAAACCACTGATGGTTGCATCCAAGTTGCTCTCAGAAGCCAGACACTGCCGTGGTCAAATATCGAGAACTGCAGTGCGTCATTGGAAAAGACCATCGCAGACCGCCGCCAGTCTTGGATACAGAAGAATCAGCCTATTCTACGATATCCGATCGAAGTTGACTGCATCGAATTGGGTGGTAAACACGTGTTGGTGCTGCGACTCTTCCACGCTGTCTACGACGCTCACAGCTTCGAGATGATCCTTCGCAATGTGAGCGCAGAATACCACGGGGTCTCGTACACATATGGCCCGGCATTTGTGGACGTGCTGCCCGAAGGTCCGCTCCTCAATCATAACTATTCCCGTCCATTCTGGGAGTCGCTGTTCAAAGATCATTCCTTTCAGCCGATGCCAAACCTGGCCTTTGAGGCTGACGCTGGAGATGTTTTCACATCTCGTATGTTCCAAGTCAATGGCCTCGAAGCTCGACGCAAGGCGCTGGGGGTAACGCACCAGACCATGCTTCAAGCTGCTTGGCTGGCAACCCTACGGCAGTACTTTAATCATCCTCCAACCCTCGGCATAGTCTTTTCTGGAAGATCTCTAATGGTTGATGGTATCGACAGCGTGGTCGGACCCATGTTCAATACTCTGCCTTTTAGAGTTGACTGTCCGCATGGCACCACTTGGGATACAATGATTCAGAGAGTCCACGAATACAACACTACCGTCCTTGCATTCGTGCATACGCCGCTGCGAGACATTCAGAAATGGTGTTCGAAAGGGCAACCGCTGTTCGATAGTATATTTACCTTCGATCGAGAGGATACCTTTGGAGCTGAGGCGCGTAGTCCTTGGTGGTGTTCTATTGATTCCTCCGGGCAGCTGGACTATCCATTGTCAGTTGAGGTTGTCCTCACCTGTGAACAGACCCTGAGGGTCACAATTGCAGCTCAAAGCGAGTTCGCCGACTCGACTGCAGCTGCCTTTCTACTCGACGAATTTGGGCAGTCATTGGAAATGCTGGCTGCTTCAAGTGATACCACGCACGTACCGATGTCGCGCAGATCACATCATGATGGAACGATCGCTTACCTGTCTTCCGGAACGTCAGACTCACGCTCTTCCACTCCCACCACGCCGAGCACAGCTACTACTGCGTTCGTCTGGGAAGGGCAGGCTCAAAAGATTCGGCACCAGTTTGCCTCACTTGCTGGAGTAGACGACGAGGACATTACTGAGACTACCAATGTCTTCGAGCTGGGCCTAGACAGCATCGACATGATCAAGCTTTCAGCTAGACTGAACAGGCTGGGTTTCAAAGTGTCGGCGAGCACCCTCTTGACGCATTCGACGATAGAGAGTATTCTACTCTTATTCAACGAGACTACTGCTGATGACGTGTCACTGGGCGACTCGGCAGGCTTGAACAGCACCATATCGCTGATGTCGGCTTCTCTTGCCCGAACAGTTCTGGACTTTAAAGACGTCGAGGCCGTGCTACCGCCAACACCGTTACAGGACGCCATGGTTGCGGACATGCTGCTTTCTAATTTCCAAAGATATTTCAATCATGATGTACTGGAAGTTCTGCCAGGAACAGATATTGACAGGTTAAAATCGGCCTGGGCGACAGTATATGCCAGGTCACCGATTTTGCGAACGACGTTTGCGGAGATCGATGACCCCAGAGTTCCTACCGCGTATTGCCAGATCGTCAAGAAGGCTCGCCTCGGTTTCGAACCAAGCACGAAGATATCTAGCCTGGATGACATTGTTGCAATCACCGACCGAGCCCGAGATCGGGCGGCAAGGGCGAAAGGCACTTCCGATTTGTTACAGATACATGTCGCGATTATGCCAACCAAGACATTCCTTGTCCTCTCGGTCGCCCACGCCTTGTATGATGGATGGTCTCTGGATATGCTTCATACGGACGTGCAGGCTGCGTATGAGGGTGATTACAGAGCACGGGGACAGTACAGGCAATACCTCTCACGGCTGCATTCCATGTCCGGCTCCGCAGCCACTCGTTTCTGGGCTGACATTCTTCACAATGCCCACCCAACGCTGCTTGGGAAAGCTCGTGAAACTCCAAATGGGAGTCAAAGGACCATACACCGACTCTCAGCTGTATCAGAGTTGGGGGTGCTGGATATCAAGGCACTCTGCAAGAGGTATCGTGTCACGCCACAGGTCCTTGGTCAAGGGTGCTGGGCTGCAGTGCTGGCTACATTGTCGAAATCTCTGGATCTCGTATTCGGCGTTGTGCTGTCTGGACGAGACACCGATGAGTCACAAGACCTACTGTTTCCAACCATGAACACTGTGCCTTTAAGAGTTGTGCTTCACGGGACTGCCACCGAGTATCTGCATTACGTGCAAACTACAATGTCGAGTGTCATGGAGTATCAGCAAATCCCGCTGCGGGAGACCCAAAGGTTAGCCCGCGTGGAAGGTGAGCCGCTCTTCAATACGCTTTTTCTCCTTCAGAATGCCAAAGCCCGTTCGAGTGACGATAGACAACCTCTTGTCAGATCGGTCCATTCGTTGTCAGCAGTCGAATATCCGATCTGCGTCGAGATGGAACTCACAGGAACATCCGTCGCGTGGCATGTGGCTTGTGATGACGAGTATGTATCGTCGCACGACGCCGAGCGAATATTGGTCAAGCTTGAAGCCGCGTTGCATTTCTTCGCCGCAAGCTACGCAGATCAGGTCCTCGAGTTCGACGAACAGGGGGGTAGTGTATCTGTGTGCCGTCTGGAAGCCGTGCAATTGATCAACAGCCCACTGGAAGTGAAGAAGCCAGCCAAAAAGAGCCCTTCTCAAGGGATGACTGCCCCATTCGCCACATTGGGTACTGTCATAGACGTTCTCTCTGAGATATCCGGGTTCAGTCGAGACGCTATCAGCCTCGACCATTCTATTTACCATCTGGGGCTTGACTCGATCAGTGCTATCAAGGCTAGCTCCATGTTACGCAAACGTGGTCTCGTGGTACCTGTCAGGGAGTTGCTGAAGGCATCATCAATTCGTCAAGTTCTAGCCCTGCCAGATGTCTCTGTTCATGGGACGACCACCTCGCCTTCAGATATTCCGACAGACCTCAGCTTGCCTCTCGACGGCGTTGGTATCCCCTCCTTGATCGACAGGACTTGTCTGGATTCTGATTCTGTTGAGCGAGTACTACCGGCTTTGCCTATGCAGGTACACATGTTGACCACCTGGCAAAATACTCATGGTCTGGTATTCTTCCCCAAGTTCACTTATAAGCTTTCTGGACAGGTAAGCCACGAGACGGTTTCGAATGCTTGGGCGGCTATCGTCGACGAAGTCCCCATTCTACGTACCTACTTTGTCGCGTCTCCCTCCCTCCAGTCTCCCTTCGTCCAGGTCGTTGCGAAAGCCAAATCGCTGAGGAACCGCGCGATAAACCCATTCATAGCAGTCGGGGAAGAACAATGGGAGTTTGTATACTCGGCGACACCTTTCGCTCTTATACGGGTCACGAAACAGCAACTGGGGAAGGCGGAGTTGCACCTCCACCTTCATCACGCATTATATGATGGAGTCAGCCTGCCAGTCATCCTCAACCGATTGAGGGATCTCTGTGGCAGGTCTTCTCCAATTTCAGTTCAACCCGATGACCACAACGCATGGTGCAGCTTCGTTTCGAAGCACGTGAGTTCAGATCTCAGAGCTTCCCGGGAGCAGTTCTGGACCTCCTACCTTCAAGGTGCGGTGCGGACGATGCTGCTTGACCAACCGCAGCCAGCCCAAGTCCAAGATAGTCGACGAGTCTTCGAGTTCAGACGCGATGTCGTCAGTAACGTCGCTACGCTAAAACATACGAGCGCTGCCATGGGCTTCACGCTCCAGGCACTGTTCTTTGCCGCATACTCCAAAGTGCTCGCCAAGTTTCGTCGCCACGCCCAGCATCTGGACAGCGACAATGTCGTCTTCGGCGTGTATGTCGCCAATCGGACCAGTCATCCTGGTCTCGAAGAATCACCACTTCCAACACTGAACATTATTCCTCTAAAGGTCGACAATCCAGCTAGTCGGAGCATTGACGCTATAGCCATGGATATTCAGAAAGATCTGCTCGACATAGGCAGTCCTGAAAACTCCACGGCCGGCTTATGGGAGATTCACGAGTGGACCGGGATACGAGTCGATACTTTTGTCAATCTCCTGTCTCTCCCGAAGACGGTCGACGATGGCCAAGGAGCGGTGACGATCAGCGAGGCTAACGACAGTGTCTCTCGGTCTTCTGGACCCGTTGATATCACATCGTACCTAGCGGGCCCAGAGATGGAAGCGCTTTCGCCTAACCGTGTGATGGACTCGTATGTGGTAAGTCGCCTTATTCAGTCATGTCTATGACGTTACTACCCCTTTGCATGAGCATTCGCCTCGGTAATAGTTCGCTAATCTCGTCGCCTGGGCAGGATGCGATCGACATCGAAGTGGCAGTTCAAGCGAATGCCTTGGACATTGGCGTTTTCTGTCACCATCACTCCTTCACCTCGGAAAACGCTGCGGAAATGATTGAGGACATCGCATCCACGCTAGAATCACTTTGATGCCAGCACAGTCGAAGACGGATGTTGGAGTTCTGTGTCACTAACAGAGCCCAGTTCAGATATACCAACTGTAGACAATAGACCGCGCTCATCGCAAGGCTCCTTTCGACCAAGTGCATTCTCGTCTCCATATAGCCCGCGTAAGAAAACTACCAGAGCAGTCATATCTGGGGCATAACAAAGGTGTCATCACGGCACTAGCCTATTCCTGAAGGTGTCAGTGCCTGCAACTGACTGGAAATAGGAGAGCTTCCTCAACTCTCGTATCTCTCTGGAGACCTAGGTAGGTAGGTAGTCATCAAGGTTGCGTTGAGCGCGAAGATCAAGTGCGCAGCTGAAGGCGCCTTCTTAGAGGGCAGCCGACGCAGCCGACGCAGCCGACTTTACTGCACGGCGCGTCAGGCGTCGAGCGATCCATGATTAGAAACGCCTTCTCAATGAACAGCAAACGGGAAATATTCCGCCCAATTCCCTACGCGCGATATATCAAAGCCACATATATGTCCACTGGACATGGTACCGGCTTCGGTCCTAAGTTCTGACGAGCACGGCAACTAATGAAGGCGCCGATGGGAGCCCGGGGCTGACGTGACGCAACAGGGAGTCCCTGATTGCAGATTTCCATGACCCGTGCGTGCTGGTTGCACCCGCGGGGCCACGAAAAGCTGCCAAGTTACACTGCAGTATCATGTTGTGACCCAATATATCAATACCGTAGCATACAGAGTGTAGTCTATGTGGTCGCATGCGAATCCGTCTTTGCAATATTGCCTTGAGATCGTGATGTGACCAGTCAAGACGATTCCCTGGTTTGCCCGAGGGAAGCAGTCGACGAGCTGCTCGTATTGTACTGCGCAGGCAGGTAATCAATCAGACGGGCAGAAAGCTGGATGCGAACGGCCGATTCGCACGCCTTTGACCAAGTCGAACTGTTGAGGCTGATACTTCAGTTGTCCTTCTGTTCTGGGAGGGCCCGCAATGTCGAGATCAAGTGCCAAGTGCCAAGCGCCGGGATGGGGAAAAGGGGGTGCACAAAAACATCGATAGACGGACTTCCACATTCGGAGTATCGACCTGCAGGCTGGTAGTGGTAGGACGACAGACGATAGATCTGAGATGAACAAGCTCACTGCTCACGGGTCCCGCGCTTAGCCCCTGTCCATCTGCCGACCGCGAACCTTCTCGTGACCCTTATCTCAACGTCCTCCAAGCCTTCTTGCAGGCGCGCCGTTGCAATTGGCAGACCCCGGAGCCGGCGATGTCGGGGTGGATGGTGGAGATGGCGACATGGGTCAGAGGCTGGTCAGTCGACTGCCAAGGCTATCTAGGCCGTGAGTAGAATGTGCCATGATCAAGAGGCATTCGCCAAGCAAATCAACACACGAACCGTCTCGAAGCAAGAGTCAGTCAGTCCTATCCTCAACGGCCTTGTTGCTGACTGCAGCAGGCAGCCCAGCTTGCCAGGAAGAGGCAGCTACTACGAAGCCGATCCGGCAGCCCCCCGAGCGACGAGCGTGCTTCTGCAGACTTGGCGACCTCGACGGCGGTGCGGCGCATGTGGTTGCTACGCTGCGAAGCGAAGACTGCAGTCCAGGCAGACCTCGCGCGTTCATGGGCGCAGACACCCCATGGAGTCGGGTGTCTTGGGAGTTCACCGCCACTGGAGCATCCCGAACCGGCCGGTATCTTGATGTTACGGAAGGCTGGCCTCATAGAGACACATCTTGAAGTTGTCGTCGGGTGCGATACTCAGATCACCACCATCCACACCTGAAGACGTGGTCCTTCGTGGCCCTTTGGGACTGGACTACCTGGTTTGCCCTGCTGCCCTGCGCAAAGTGATCGATCGGGCTCTTTGGATGGTGGTGGTTGGGCCGACTATCATATGCCTCGTCCGTCTGCGCCCTGTATCAACCACTCCGATAACCACTTTCCCTTCGTGGACTCGTATTACCACGAGCTTTCCCCCGGCGATAATACGGCCTGCCAATAAGTTGCCGATCCCTACACACCTCGGGCCCTTTGGGGCAATCTCGCAGCAGAATTGTTCGAGCAGTGGCACGCGACTAGAGCTCTACGGAGCAGAGCTACTATACGGTCCCCGTCCCAGCTGACAAACACCGGGATCATCAGCGTCACCGTCCCCGGCTCGAAAGAGAAAGCTCAGCCGCCCCATATGGCGAGATCTGGAGCTTGGCTACAGCTTCAAGCTTGCTATATAAAGGTCGGTGGCTCGTCGCCATGGAGTCAGCCTTAGCTACAGCAGAACAGGCGTACTTGCTTGTTCCTTAGAAGCCCGCCTGACATCCACGAGTTCTGTCGCTCTTCAGTTGTCACCATGCGCTCTCTTCTGCTGCTAGGCCTCCTTGGGGCCTCGTTGCCTGTTCACAGTCATCCCACCCAGAACTTCAAGTCGAACCTTCGACGCCGGACGGTAGACCTCAACGCGTACAGGCTCACGCAGGTTGCCGAGTACAGCAGCAAGGCCGCGACAAGCGCCAACCCGGCCGTCCGTCTCCTAAAGCGTGATTCGTACGTCGATACCGCGACCGAGCTCTTGAAGAGCGTTGTGCCCGAGGCCACGTACCGCCTGGTCAGCGACCACTACGTTGGCAACAACGGCGTCGCCCACGTCAACTTCAAGCAGACGGCCCACGGGCTCGACATTGACAACGCCGACTTCAATGTCAACGTGAGTATCCTTTTCGAATTACAGTGATATGAAATAGGCTCACACGCCCCTAGATCGCCGCCGACGGAACCGTGTTCTCGTATGGTAACTCGTTCTTCACGGGTGCCATCCCCGAGGACAGTCCGCTGAAGAAGCGTGCTTTCTCGGATGCCACGCAAGCTCTGACTGGCGCGACCACGATCCTAGATCTGCCTGTCACCGGCGAGGCAACAGCTGAGCCCGTCGAGGGCACCGAGACGTACGTGCTCAAGGGAACTTCAGGCGCACAGAAGGACCCGGAGGCTCGCCTAGTCTACCTGGTCAAGTCGGATGGCGACCTTGCTCTCACCTGGAGAGTCGAGACTGACATTCTCGACAACTGGCTGCTTTCTTACGTCGATGCGGCGACGACCCAGGAAATCCACGGTGTCGTTGACTGGGTTGCCGAGGCGACCTACGAAGTCTTGTGAGTCCTATAAGCTCGGTCTAAACACTTCCACAACTGACAAGCGCAGCCCATGGGGAATCAACGACCCTGATGAGGGCTCCCGCGTAGTCATCGAGGACCCATGGGACCTCGAAGCGTCCGAGTTCACCTGGCACTCGGACGGAAAAACAGAGTACGATACCACTCGCGGCAGTAAGTTTTCGCCCCTACAACTTTCTCTTACCTCTTTTCTTCCGCGGCTTCCTATCTTCATGCCACTTCAGGCATTCAACCGCAGAATGCACATTCCCGTCTCTCATATAGCTTTTCAAGTTCCCCTGCACTATATGCAGACCTTGGACTGACGTGGATCTCTCAAGACAACGCCATCGCGCAGACCAACCCCGACGGTGGAAGCGATTACCTCAACAACTTCCGCCCTGAGAGTTCGACACTCGACTTCGAATACGACTGGAGTGCGAGCTTGACTCCGCCATCGGTCTACGCTGATGCCTCGGTTACGCAGCTTTTCTACACGGCCAACACGTACCACGACGTCCTGTACGACCTTGGTTTCACCGAGGCCGCCGGTAACTTTGAGACCAACAACGACGGCCAAGGTGGCGTTGGCAACGACTTCGCCATTCTCAATTCTCAGGACGGCTCCGGAACCAACAACGCAAACTTCGCGACGCCCCCCGATGGACAGAACGGGCGCATGCGAATGTACCTCTGGACGTACTCCACGCCCCAGAGAGACTGTGCCTTTGAGGCCGGTGTGGTGATTCACGAGTACACCCACGGAGGTAAGTGACAGCGTTGATGACCCCTGACCCCTGACCCCTGACGAGGCGAGGTTTCGGCCGGCTGAGAGTTACCGCTTGAAGTGTCCAACCGCCTGACCGGTGGCCCCGCCAACACCAACTGCCTGACGACGACCGAGGCCGGGGGTATGGGTGAGGGATGGGGTGACTTCATGGCGACGGCCATCCGGCTGAAGGAGGGAGACACTCGCGAGACCGACTACAGCATCGGCGCGTGGGTCTACAACGACCCCAACGGCATCCGAAACTACCTCTACTCGACCGACCTGGACGTGAACCCGTACATGTACACGACGCTGAACACGTACGACGAGGTGCACGACTTCGGTGAGGTGTGGGCGACGATGCTGTACGAGGTCATGTGGAACCTGATCGACAAGCACGGCCTCAACCTCGACGCGAAGCCCACCTTCGACTCGGCCGGGGTGCCGACGGATGGCAAGTTCTTGACTATGAAGCTCGTGATTGACGGCATGGCCATGTGAGTGATGCCCATTGCCCATTGCCCACTCCCCACCGGCGTCCTTGACAGTTCTTGACACTGATGCCCCTTGTTAGCCAACCTTGCAACCCCAACTTCGTCCAAGCCCGAGACGCCATCTTGGACGCCGACGATGCCTTGACGGGCGGTGACAACGTGTGCGAGATCTGGACGGCATTTGCCAAGAGAGGTCTTGGAGAAGGTGCCGTCTGGTCGCGGACCAACCGCATTGGAAGCAACGCGATCCCCAGCGGCGTCTGCTAGAGGTTTTTTCCAACGCGTGTACATGCCTCATACAGCTTGTCGCGAGGTCTTTGGTACGGCAGTAAATTAGATGGATAGCATGCATACAGGGCCTTGAGAGACAATAGATGGACAGGTTTTTTAGACATGAGGAGCTCCGTTACACCTTACTTTCAATGTAGTTGTTCAACTGCGATGGGGAAGGGCAGCTTGATGATACGTGTCCAATGTAGAGAGTCGGTTTTTGGCTGGCAGAACACAGAATCACGTACTCAATTTAGTGGTTTTCGTGGGGCATAATGTTAATTATGTCTCTATGTGCATAACTTTGTATTACATAAGTTCTACCTACTTAGTCTTTTTATGTCGCGGCGTTGCGTCATCGTGCCTGTGCATCCCGAGGGTCACTCTCGCAGTCTCACAGTCTCACTCTTCCATCTCCAGCTCCAACATTGAACCGCGGCAAGCCCACCATCATTATCCAGCGTGATGCATCGTGAAGCACTGTCCTCCAACGTGTGGACAGCAAGAATTGCCCTTGCCCGGTCATACGCGAGTCAGCCGCTGACGAAGCTCCCCAGCCCCAGCCGGGCCAGCCCCAATCATCGCGTCAAACTTGGGCGACGAACCATGACGCGTGGACCCCAAGCCGCAGCCGCCATTCAAAGACGAGCAGTGGCTGGTTCCTTTCTCTTCAAGATCCCAGGCGGCGACGAGAAACAGGCCCGGGTTGCGCTGTTCAGACGAAGCGCCAAAGTCCGCACATACCAGTATGACAATTGGACAAGTGGACAACTGCAACAGCTTGTGCTGATCTGCAGACTAGGCACAAGTTGGCACCCTTGTCTGGAAGCGTCGAGGCCGAGGATGCCAGCCCCATTGCCACGGCCTTGCGGGAGATCCAAGAGGAGACCACTCTGACGCCCTCGTCACTCGAGTTGCTCCGGGTTGGGAAGCCCTACTCGTTCACCGATGAATCCGTCGGTCGCGAGTGGACAATCAACCCCTTCGCCTTCCGTCTGAAGGATCCCACAGAAGGCGGGAAGGGCGAGGCGGGCATTACCCTCGACTGGGAGCATGACGGTGTTGAGTGGTTCGATCCGCTGCAGGTGAAAGAGTCGGACGAATTCGGTGGCGTACCAAAGCTTGTCGACAGCCTGCGAAGAGTGTGGCCCGAGCACGATCTCGGCTCCCATGCTGGCAAGATCCTGACCGATGGCCTGCAAAATCTGCGCAACGATCATGAGAGTGGCGCAAGACAGCTGGCCGCCTTTGCCATCTCCATTTTGAAGAACCTAGTCAACCACATGGACTACTCTACGCCCGTCGGCGAGCTCTGGTGGGCTAGGGTACGGATGGCCGCATGGCACATCTGCAAGTCCCGCGAGAGTATGGGTGCTGCTATCACCAGCGCTGTCGTGAAAGCGCTCGATAGGATAGAAGCCATATATCTTCTCCAAGACTTGTCTCCAGAGGACAAGGTTCGACGAATGGTCGAATCAATGGATAGCCAGTTGGCCGAAAGGCTTGCCACGACTGACCACATATGCGACTCCCTCGTTGAATTCCTACGCCAGCACGTGCTCCACGGAACAAATGCAAAGGAGACCCTATCCGTCCTCACCCTTTCTTCCAGCTCCACCATCTCGAGCTGCCTCCGGCGGACCGCTTCAGCCCTGGGCCTTTCCCTTGACCTACGCATCCTAGAATCTAGGCCTCTTTGTGAGGGTGTGACCCTTGCTTCGAACTTGCTTGAAGCAGCTCAAGATGAGGCGGGATCGCTCATCTTGATGCTCTACTCTGATGCCTCCGCGGCTTCCGCTGCCAAATCAATTGACGTGGTTGTGCTTGGGGCAGACCGTGTGAGCACAGCTGGCGATGTTAGTAATGTGAGTCAACAATACATTCGTCGAAAGGAGTCAAGTGATCGAAATGATACTCTGGACAATGACCTGGCATAGGCAATTATTGCAGTGCAATTGAAAGGAACAAACACCGGATTGCTGCTTATGCCACTGCGGAGTATTCTTTCGGCGGCCTGATTTTGAACCTGTCCACATCCATGATGGGACCGTCCGCCTATCCCACTCCGGTTTTACGCGAATAGAGACAACTTTTCTTCCTCGTGCTAACTATTTCATAGAAGATTGGGTCGCTTCCTGCCGTCCTCAGTGCGCGGCATGTTGCGCCAAGCGCAAAGGTCGTCGTGCTGAGCGAAACAGACAAGATCGCCAACCCTGGCCCGATGGATGACCATGAAGCAGAGAACAATCACCCAGCAGAGCTGATGAAAGCTTGGAAAGGAGTTGTCAAAGGTGCCCAAGCGATCGAAGATGCCTTGCAAGAAGGGCAACCCGCTCGCAGCCACGGTCGTCGCGAAGTTGCTGTCAGGAACACGTACTTTGAATGGGTTCCTGCTCGATTTATAGATGGATATGCCACCGAAATGGGCCTTTGGAACACCAGAGACATAGAGGAGCAGTCTCGTTGGGTTGGCGGTGAGATGAATAGATTTTTCAAGGACTTATGAGCTCCCTTCATATCGACACGCGCGGATGAAGATTACGAAGGGTGATTGACTATCTGTCACATTATGTGATAAATACGGGATTCAGATACCAACATTTGGACTGGTGGGCATCTCACGCTGTGCGACCACGTGACCATTTGTCCTTACGAAGACTGGAACAGGAACTTGGTATAAAGTAGAACATTCCCTCTTCGTTCTATCTGCGATCCCGGCTCTTCTAAAGACACTGGTGATCATAGAATTCAAGGTCGTCGTGCTTTATCCAGTTTGAAAGCTCGTGGAACAATGCGGTATTTTCACCCGGAACCAGTCCCTGGATTGGGGTCAGGTACGTAGTTGCGTCAGGGTTCACAATGAAGCCAACGTCGTATCCCGAGGTTGTCGTTGTCGTTGTTGCTGCTGGGTACCGTCCAGACTGAACTTGAGGGAACGAAGTCGAGCTGCTCTTGTCTCCCCAATCCGAGTTGTTGTCTCTCATCCCTTGGACAAGGTCGTTGACATCCCGCAGCACTCTCGCACAGTCTACTGGATAGTTACTCTGCCCTAACGCCTCCCTATCGAAGCATTCGATGGCGAAGCGCACGCCTGAAGCATCGTTACGCTCCCAACGATCGAAGAGCAGCTGGTGCAGGAGAAGGATAATGGCTGCGTTAAAGATGTTATGCAGGCCATTCGAGAGCAGTTTTCGTGACCTGGTTGACTCCCGAATCCATCTTCCCAAGCGCAAGTTGCTCCTGGCAGCCGTTACACACTGATCGAAATGGGCGCGTTGGGCGTGGGAATGGTGGGTCTTATGGTTGCGCCTGGTGTATCGCTCGGCGACAGCCTTCTTGACCGCGACGAAGAAGATGGGTCTCAGGGTGAGTATCACAAGCTGCGAAGTGTCAGTGATAGCGCGAGTGTCCATAGACGAGTTCTCAAACACTTGCCTGATTGTAGAAAATGTGCAGCTCACAGCACGCGCGGTCTTTGCTGAGTTGGCCATCCTCCAGCTGAAGCTCTGTTGGCAACTTTGCAAGAAAGTTCGACAATAAGGAGAGCGCCTCATCGATCCGCGAGCCGGTACTCAGATGCTGACGATCCCATGGAGTTATACCATAGACGTTCTCGACGATGTCTGTGACGAGAAGTTCAGTGATTCCAACAACCCCAGAGGCCCTGGACACGGCGAGAGCCAAAGCCTGGAAATGGAAAGCAGCTTACAGCCGGATATTCTTGACAATTCAACATGAGCTTTCAGTCCGATCGGGGAAGGCATGCCGCTGGATGACATTAGCAACGCAGGTGGTAGCACGCCATTTGACTCACGGGACTTTGCTGGGCAGTGGAAGTCGAATCGCCACGTCGAGGATATTGGGAGGTCGCCCCATGAGAGAGCTCAGCCATCTATGACAGGTCAATAAGGCCTGCCGTAGAATACACATGTCAGTGTCACTTACCTATCTAATATGTAGAGTGTCCAGAAGGCTCTCTTGTTCTGCTCATCTGGTATCCAACCGCGGTGCACCCCTCCAAAACCTGCGAGTCAACCTGGATTCTCTGCATCTGGGATGCACGTTGTGTGTACCTACCATGCATGATTGCGATACGCATGCCTAGGCTGACGTACATGTAGGCAGCGTCCCGCCGGTTGACCTCCACGAGATAAAATGCCATCAGGGCAAGAATGGGTATGTCATAAACCGCATACGCTGTGGTGTCTAGTGAATTGCCCAGGAGGCTTCTTGCCCTGGCGAAGTGCATCTCGCCAACCTGACTGTATGTGCTAGACTTGGCAGATGTGTCTATCTGACCAGCCAGGGCGAGCGCGGCCTGAAACAGGGCGACAACCCTCAGCCTCGGCGCGCTCAAAGAGTCCATCAGCGGGACGTCGTCGAGGCAGGCTGCATCAAGTACTCCCCAGTAAAATATGCCTCCCGAGTCGAACTCTCCGTTGCCATCCTGAACGAAATATCGAAGCTGGGCCATCGTATCAGCCATCTCGGCCTTTGCTGGGAGCCACATAGGATCGCTATCAAGCTGCGTGGTTAACGGGCGTGAGTCGTGGGTCTGGTAACGGCCTAGAGACCCAAGGAATGTCGACTCCTCGGTGTTCCCTAAGCGAGGCCAGGCAAGCGGGTATATAGTCACAACGAATTCCTTGATCCGATCTAAGAACGTTGCACCAGATGTTGATCCTAGATATCGCACACTGGCTTCTCACGTTAGCGATCAACCATTCAGAGAGAGCAGCAATGCTTAAGATATAGAGTGAACCCAGACTCTACATCTCGCAGACGTCTTGGGCCTGAGGGTTTTCGTTGGCATCAACACATCATGAAGATGCCTGACAGGAGACAGGCCAACTCGACCTGTCACACCCTCACGGGATCGATGTGATTAATCCGGGAGGAGTGGTTACGGCCACCGCGGTACTTATCCCAGACACACAACTACTACCACTGTATAACCTCTGGGCGCATACTACATGCCATTATGAATGTCGACTTACGTTCCATCCGGGTCACTGAGTAAACGACCTTCGTTCGGTGTCGACTCCTCGTCCTGGTCTCGAGCTTGTGCACCATCCGGTGCGCTCTCGGCATCGGTATCGGGTGTGGTGCCCAACGATGCCGCGCCAGCTAGGACTTTGGTCCGATCAGCTGCATCAGGGAGCAACCGCTCTAGACACTGCTCAAGCCTCTCGCATCGGATCCGAAGCTCGTCCAAGTCCTGCGGTCTCGAGAGTCAATGAGATCAGTTATAAGCGGGCGTGGCCTGACTTACGCATCGCGGCACGGTGACTTTCTCGACGGCAGCCGGATATTGGCACTCGCGGGATGCGGCCCGGCACTGCTGGCACGGACGCTCGCCGGAACACTTGATACGCTTGACATTGCAGCTGTTGCACCTGTGACAAAGCGGACTCGTCAGCACACCGGCCACAACTCCTATAGCAGCAGCAGGCAGGACTCATACGCGGCCGACACGCGCTTACGGTGCTCTGGCGCTACCTTGTGCCTTCTCTGGTTGACCGGCAGGCGTTGCTGACGTGCGGCGCGGTCGGAGCCTGTGTTCCTCTTCATTGAGGTTGTGAATTGTGTCGACCTTGGAGCAGCAAAAGTCGGGTGGTGCTGTCGTCACCCCTTTCTGTAGGTATATTTGCGGGGAGGTCGGGAAGTACGCAGTTGACTGAAGAGCCAATCGTCACCCCTGAGTCTTGGCAAATGATCCCTAAACTTCATGTGCTTGGGTCGACAGGGGGTTTATAATTGGTCGAGCGAAAGACAAAACGATTCCGATCATTCAACGTTGGTGAGGATGGTTATGGATTGAATACATGTAATCTGGTCCGGATGATGTATATGCCGGCCTCCTAACTACACTCGAGGTACTTATAGAGTAGGCACCTCGCATAAAGTAATGTTGTGATGTTTAATTCTCATCCGCATGCTTGCACCTCTTCATAAGATGGAAGCTTGGTCGTTCCAATCATCAGCCCTCAGCCCGGGAGTATTGCTGCTGTTGGATTTCCCCATGACAAGTGAGTCCTTAACCTAGGTAAGGTAGGTAAGGTAGGTAAGACATAATCAAGGGTGCTGATGGGCTGGCAGACAGCTGGTTAAGGCTATGGCAGCTGACCTCCCATCTCTAAACACCGAGCTGCCGAGCCAGCGGCCTGGCCTTATCTTATCGGCGGGTTGGGTCACTGGAAAATTATTTTCTTCAGCCCCACCACGACGAACCACGACTGACCTGTGCCCGTCGATTTTCACTTTTTTCCACCCACGTCCAATTCGCACGCCGACGCAGCCTGGGCTGCCTTTCTGCCTTTCTGTCTTTCTTCCTTTCTTCCCATGATTCGAACTTAGGTTCTTAATCGTATCTTCTTTCTTCCCCTTCCTCTTCCCATTTGCGCGTGTGTACGGGCAGCTTTCCATCGCGGAAGGGGAAAGAATAGAAGCATCAATCCTTCTCGTCCTGCCTTTCTTCTATCTCGGCCCTTCCCCTCCCTCCTCCCCTCCTACCAGAGACAATCACAGTCGTCCAGCGCTTTTAGGAGTCCGAGGCGTCCACCCATTCCGTTTCCGTTTGTGTCGTCTCAGACACAGGGCTGTCCAACATGAACCAACAAAAGCTGGTCGAACTGCTGCAGGCGTGCCAGATTCGTGAGTTTGACCCTTCGTTCTTCCTTTTGACATTGGCCCTTGTTGATGTGGCTGTTCATGTTGCTGACCCAATTTGCTCTCGCTAGCCAACACCCAGAAGGTCAAGGCTGCCACCGCCGAACTGCGCAAGAACTTCTACCCTCACCCCGACTCCCTGCTCGGTCTGCTTCATGTCATCGTCTCGCACCCGGACGCTACTGTGCGCATGCTTGCCGCGGTCCAGGCCCTGCGACTTGTGCCCAAGCACTGGGACAACATAGATGCCTCGCAGAAACCCGCCGTCCGCGTCCAGCTGCTCCAGACCATCGTGACGGAGCAGGACAAGAAATGTCGCCATGGCCAGTCGCGTGTCATCGCTGCCATCGCCTCCCTCGACTTCCAGAACGACGAGTGGGCAGACATGCTTCCCTCGGTCATCCATTTGGCCACCTCCGATGATGTTGCCCATCGCGAGGTTGGCTCCTACATCATCTTCAGTCTCGTCGAGGCCGACCCGGCCTACTTCGAGGATCACCTCCCCAAGCTGTTCGAGCTGTTCACAAAGACCCTCCGAGATCCGCAGAGCCGTGATGTCCGAGTCAATACCATGATGTCCATCAGCGCAGTGCTGATGATGGTTAATGCCGACGACGAGCAGTCGGTGAACACCATTCAGGAGTTCGTGCCCGCCATGGTCGACGTCCTCAAGGATGCCGTCCAAAATGACGACGATGAGAGAATACAGCAGTCTTTCGAGGTCTTCCAGTCCTTCTTGGCTTACGAGTCTGCCCTCGTGTCTCGCTACTTCAAAGACCTAGTTCAGTTCATGCTGGACCTGGCTGCCAACACTGACGCCGATGCCGACGTACGTACGCAGGCTCTAGCCTTCTTGGCACAGTGCGTGAGGTACCGTCGCATGAAGATCCAGGGTATTCCGGACATGGGCTCCCAGCTCATGAAGAGGAGTCTCCTAATTCTTTCTGAACTGGAAGACGATGATGAGGACGACGACATGACTCCTGCGAGGTCTGCTCTGACCATGATCGATCAGCTTGCGAGTGATTTACCACCGCGGCAAGTCATTGTCCCTCTGCTTGAGGAGTTGCCCAAGTATGCGAGCTCCGATAAGCCTGGTCACAGACGGGCTTGCATCCTGGCCCTTGGCAACTGTGCTGAGGGTGCGCCCGAGTTTGTCTCTACCCAAATCGCGTCACTTATGCCCATGGTTCTTCGTCTACTCCAGGATCCTGAAAGAAGCGTTCGTTACTCTGCTCTTCTCGGTCTGATGCGGCTGGGTGAGGACTTGGCCGACAGCATGGCCCCTCATCACGATGCCATCATGACCGCCTTGGTGCTGAATCTGGATGCGGCAAGCAGTGACCCAAATGACAAGAAGAACACCGAGGTCATCCGCTCCGTCTGTGGTGTTATTGACGCTCTGGCTGACGGCTTGGGATCTGAAATCATGGGCAAGTATGCCGATAGCATGATAAACCGCGTTGGAACCTTCCTGTCACATCCCGACTCCACTGTCAAAGCTGCCGCATCAGGTGCCATCGGGGCTATCGCCTCATCCATCAAGGGCGCATTCGTCCCTTACCTGGACCAGATCATGACGGCCATGTCCGCTTTCATCATGGCCGAGAGCGGTGACGAGGAATTAGCCTTGAGAAGTGCTGCATGCGATTCCATGGGACGTATCGCTGTCGGCGTTGGTGCTCAGGAGTTCAGCAGCTTTGTCATGCCGCTGTTGGTGTCAAGTGAGAAGGCTCTTCATCTTGGCAACCCTCGTCTGAGAGAAACCACTTTCATCTTGTGGAGCCAGCTTGCCACCGTATACAATGGCGACCTTGGAGACTCACTTGCTGGCATCTTCAAGGGGCTCTTCGACAGCCTTGAGTTGGAAGAAGAGGAAGTAGATCTGGACCTGTCTGAAGACCAGCAGGGCCTTGTCGACGAGGAGATAGTCCTACAAGGGAAGCGACTCAAGGTGAAAGCTGCTGGCGAAGCAGATGACGAGGAGGATGCTATGGATGATGACGACGAGGATGACTGGGACGACCTCGTTGGTGTATCGGCTCAGGCTATGGAGAAGGAGATCGCCCTCGAAGTCCTCGGCGACGTCATCTACGCCTCCAAGGAGAAAAGCGCTCCTTACATCGAAAAGGCTGTCGAGCTCGTCACTCCTTTTGCGGAACACTCGTATGAAGGATGTCGGAAGACAGCTATCGGCACCCTTTGGCGGACCTATGCTTGTGTGTGGGAGGCCATGGAGCAGCAGGCAGGACGCAAATGGGAAGCTGGTCTGCCTCTGAAGTTCGAACCAGTCGCCAATATCATCAAACTTGGTGAGATCGTCAGCACGGCAACTCTGCAACTTTGGCAAGAGGAATCTGACCGGTAAGTCTCGTCCCACCTTTTTTCTTTCAGATCAACATCTACCCTTCGAGCTCCAATGATGACTACCTTGCGTTATACCCAGCTCACTCAGACGCTATATGCGGTTGCTGATAACACGTTCGTACTAATCACATCTGACTTGGCTCACCCCTGTTTCCCAATGAAACCCGCAGACTTATGGTGTGTCAAATGCTGACGAGTCGCCTAGGGATGTGGTCACGGAGATAAACCGCAGCGTTGCTTTCACCCTCAAAGCTTGCGGTCCGGCGATACTGGGCCAGCAGGGCATGATGGAGCAGATCATCACGGTAATAGGTACGATTGTCACTCGGTCCCACACGTGCCAGCTAGACATGGGCGACGAGGATGAGGATCAAGACCCTTCTCAGGGAAGCTCCGAGTGGGATTGGCTCATCATCGATACGGCACTGGACGTCATGATTGGGCTCGCCTGCGCGTTGGGACCCCAGTTCGCCGAGGTCTGGAAAGTCTTCGAGAAGCCGGTGATGAAGTTCGTCAGCTCCAACGAAGCCATCGAACGGTCAACCGCCGTCGGCGTGGTAGCTGAATGTGTCGCCTACATGGGCAGCGCCGTCACGCCATACACCTCGAATCTGCTACGGACGTTGCTGCACCGCCTTTCGGATGAGGACAAGGAGACCAAGTCCAATGCGGCGTACGCCACCGGGCAGCTCGTGTTCCACTCAGAAGACGCCAAAGCATACCTTTCCAGTTATCCGCAGATAATGGGCAAGTTGGAACCTCTATTGCAGATCAAGGACGCTCGCCTACAGGACAATGCTGCGGGTTGCTTGTGTCGTATGATTCTGGCACACCCAGATCATGTTCCCATTGCCGACGTATTACCCGCTCTGGTCGACCTGCTTCCTCTCCGGGAGGATTACGAAGAGAACAAGCCGGTATATCAGTGCTTGCATGAGCTCTGTAAGTCTGACTTGACATGCTGTCCCTTCTCTTTGCAACCCAGGAGAAAACTTCTCAGATTCCCGTACTGACTGCCATGCTATCTGCAGATGTTATTTCCAACCCTACCGTGCAGGAGCTTACGCCCAAGCTATTGCCTATCTTCCACAAGGTTCTCAGCCCACCCGAGGAGCAGCTTGAGGAGGAGACGAGGGAGGTGGTGATGGAGATGGTTCGGATTCTCACCAAGTAGAGTAAGGCTGGGACAAAATGGGGATGGACAGGCTTTTAAGGGATACCCGTTTCTTTCTTGACATATATCACGGAACGGAAATGACGGCATGAGATGTATGAGTGAACGAATGACGGTGAAGGGCGTGGTCAGATAGTCCTCCACGTAGATGATTCCCCCAATGATAGATGCGTCTGCACCGGACGATTAAACAATCTTCGCTGCTTTCTGCCAATGTGCTTCAGAGCAACCGCCGTGTTGGATACAAATATGTTTAGTGCTAGGCTCTGCCACACTCTGGTTGCAACCAGGATGAATGGAACAGCTCTTTGTCGCTCTTGAAACCGCAATCAATATCAACGAATAGATACGCATTATCCCGGCAATACGTAGCTGGCAGTGCCCACGGTGACTGCAGTACTGACACCCTCTACCTCAGGTACGTAACATCGTCGGTCGTCTTGGTATTTTGGCAACTTGTAATGGCATGTACGTGACATGCGGAACACGAGATTGAGCAAATAGTAGTCAGAGTCTCTACAACAATCGAGCTTAACTGAACGGATAGCCTCGAGGTGCCGACGCCACGTTACATTAAGTGCTCCGCTGCGGCCTGTGCCCGAGTGTGGGATCTGTTTTCACTGTTCCGGTTTGTCGACTGTGTCTATTACATGACTGTAAGGCCCTGGGGTGATGGCTCCGTGTTTCTAGCAACTCATAGCATCATACCGCCGTAGCGAGACAGACACGGGTAACAATCGAAGACAAGCAACTCGAACTGTTCAATCCAAAGCCGCAATGTGCGTGCGGGACGTGACCGTTATATCAGGCGAGTAGGATCCATACTCCGAGGTCAAGGACGGAGGCTCTCATTGCGAAGTGGACACAGCCTCGGGAGGCTTCAGGCATGACCAATGCAAGTAGATGTGCACTTTCTTCCTTTCTCAGTCGGTTTCGCTGCGCTCAGGTAACGATGGAAGTGCTCGCTGGATTTCTTGGAGTAGTGACTCGAAACCCTTCCAGCGACATTTCAGCATTACACGGGCGAGCGAACAGCTTGCACGCATGGCGTTGTAGGCGACTGATGGCTAGGGTATTGTAGGGGTGGCCGAGACCTCCCACGCCTCTCAGATTTGATAGAGCGAAGAATACGCGGTAGCTGACGGTAAGTTGCTGTTGGGAAACTCGTGCCGATGATTTGCAACGAAGCACCGTGTCCAACGGTAAATAGTTCGCATGGTTTTGAGGAACTGGTCTCGTCGATTTATCACACTCGCGTTGACGACAAAAAGTCGCCGGCAATCTTCAAGCATCGTTACCTTTGTTAATCTAACAATAAGCGTGTTCTACCAACACTCTAAGCCACCCCCCCTTCCCCCGAGGCTGCCTCACATGGCCTCTCATACGTCGTAGTGAGCACTATCTTGGTGGGAGCTGGGTTCAGACACTTGGCGTCCGGGGAGTATTACAGATTGGGATGTATACCACCATCTATTACCTAAGTAAGGCGCTGAGCCACGCAACCAGCTAAAAGGAAAGAACTTCAAAGAAGGCGAGACTGTCTTGGTCTCTGGTGGGAGATGTCGTTGTTGTTTCGCGTAGCCGGGGAACAGCTGTGCCTATGCAAGTGCCCCTGCATATTGCGCGTTCCTTTGCCGACGTTCCCATCATCCATGAACTCTCAAGTCCGTCCATCCAATGGGCAGAGGCAGAGGTTGCAGCTGGGCGCCCCCTCGAGTTCTCCGCTACTCCAGCCGTCCTCCTGGCTGGGCGGCTGGGTCTCAGAGACACAGGTAGAGTTACATGCAGATGGTTTAGAAGCTCGATCCAGCGGGAGAGTCTGGCAGTCTGGGCGTATCTGAAACGGCATCGCCCAGTGAGCACACGTCCATCAACCGACCGGCGCCCGCCCACAAGCCTGCCAAGCTTGGCTCCAGTCTCCAGTCTCGAGTCCACTCGAGTCCACTGTCTACTGTCTACTGTCCAAGGACCAGGGCTCGTTGATGATCGACAGCCGAGAGACAGACATGTGCCTCGGAGTGTTCATACCTCTCCCAGTCAACGCCACATTAATAACCTACAGTATAGACATCCAGTTGCCGTCATCTCTTTGAAAACGCTGCCTGACAGCAGGTTTTCCTTCTGATGTTGCCGTGTTCACCACCCGCTATCGAGAACCGTAGTGGTCGCGTCCACGGTTAACGTGGACTTATAGCGGCAGGGTAGTCATAACGGCCCTCGTTCGGGGTCATTCCCGCTCTGGGGCGACCGGGCACACAAGTCCGATCTGTGTGGACACGTCCGATTACCGCCTGGCCCTGGAGGCGGGAGTCGTGGGCGAGCTTTGTGGGTAGGAGAATGGCGATTGGCAAGCTTCGGCTACAGTAGGTAGTATCAGAAGTCAGCTTTCAGGGCCCCCCGGGGCGTTTGGCCCTTGGGCGAGGGCTGGCAGTGCTGGACACCTGCAGTAATAACCTCTCGCGGACCACCGACCCATCATCCCGCTGCGCGTTGAATGTTGAGTCGGTGTTGATCTGGCGGTAAGTACAGAGGTGCAGGTCGATGAACGCAGGTCACAGGTGCGGAATTGACGCGTCAATTACACAGTGCCGGACAGTATGTTGGACCTGGCGATACCTTCAGAAGTTCAGTGGAGGAAGAGGACTGCGGGTAAACTAAAAGAACTCCCGAGTCCCGAGTCGGGGCGCGTGGGGTTCATCGTTCATCTGGACGCCTCTTCCGTGATGCCGACCACGGTGCACATTCATACTGTCGACACGGTACCGCTTGACCAGAATCGGCCCGCAACGAACACGTCCGTGACCTACAGCCTACAGGTAATCATGGGTGTTGTCAAGGTTGAAGACTTGAAGGTACGCGCTCAGGAGTCAGTGCTCACCTCGATCTTGTCATCTTGATGAAACTGGATGATGCACCAAGTCACTGTGGCGTCTTCCTACCTATACCTTAGGTACTATGTGCCACATGAATGTCCCAAGATCTGGGGGCAGGTGTCACGATGCAAGACGATGCAAGATGCAGCTGTTAGGCGCACCTTATGTAGGCTTCTGGCTTCTGGCAGTAGTGGCGTGTCACGACTCGCAGCCGGAGGTCAGGTCTGAGGTAAGGGAAACCTAAAGTAACCTAGGTAGCTGCTGACATGGAGTGAGGACATTTCGAAACCGAACGCAGCGCCATCACCACATCGTATCGTAATACATGCACTGATTACATTGATGAACAAGGCAGGAGGCAGCATCTTTTTAGGGTTCGCCATTGGTCCAAGACTCCATTGGAAGTTGGATCAAATCATGGGGGCATCTCGTCTCAGGGGCCAGGGTGCGCATCCTACCACGAATTTACAATAGTTTCTTGCTCCCACTATCTATCATCTATCCCATCCCTGACATTATGGCCGATAGCTAGAGTCTCTACTAGTAATGCAGTACATAAACAAGGCAGTTGATGATGTGATCTGCACCTTCAGCAGGGCGAAGAGCGAGATCAGCGGCCGAACTATCCATCGCCGGCAAGAATGCCATAGAGAGATTTTCAAAACATTTCCAAACACATCAACAAGTGGCTTTTCCTTGGCCCTTCTCAGATTGGATCCTGCCGAAAACAGGCTTTGCCGTATGCAGCGTCGTGGAGGAAACACTCCAATTGGGTAAGGAGTCGAGTGCGGTGTGATCAGCCATCTCTCTTCTGTCATTGCGTCCAGGATACTGCAGTAGATCCTCCTTTTGTTGTTATTACCTGCCTCTTCCCTCGCGTCCGTAACTGGACACTGCTACAGTACATGATTGCAACCCCGTTAGCCCGTCCCAGCCTCTCACATTAGGTAGAGCAGGTTATTTGGTGTGATGAATGGTGGCGCCACGCTGTGTCTGCTGTGTCTCAACGGGCTACTTGCCAAGGATAGGGAGCTGCAGCAGGATCACCAGGCCTATGATTATGGTTTCTGTCATCTCATCTCCACGTCGTGCAAAGTGCAGAGCCCAGCCTCGAGGAAATAAGCTCCCGTCGTGGAAGATCCGCCTCGTGGCTTTTGTTGTCTTGGTTCGCTAGCCAAAGGCAATTCCGCAGAAATATATGGGCAATTGACCGCACACACGAGGCTTGCTGACTCGACACGACTCGACTAGGGCGGGTGCGGCCACTGCGCTCACTGCGGTCACTCTGCGGCGCGGTTGGCCAGACTCGACCACCTACCGTGCAGTGCAGACATGTGCGTACACAGCACTGTGGTCATATACCAGGTCTGAGGTCGATCATCACCATGCTCGGCCGCGGCGTTGTCCCCGACGCCCTCGCCCACCCCGGTTGGTGCAGGCATAGGCAGCACTAGGGGGGAGGGGCGAACTAGGATGATTGCATGGAGACGAGATAGGCACTCGGTAGCCAGGGTGTTTTGATATGGGTGAGCAATGAGCACCTATGAGTGGTATGTATGCGCAAGGTATGTCATGTGTCTGTAATGAGTGTGTGTACGGTACCTACCTGTGTATCTGTGTGTGTGTGTGTCTCTCTAGGCATGTACGGGCAGATTGAGGCACGGCACACACTCCCAGGAATCCTGGTGTGCTGAGAAACAGGTAGCAATATATAACACCGCCGGCCTGCCCTCCCCCCTTCTTCCCTTTTCTCCGAGTTCATCGTTCTTACTCCCTTCGTTAATACTGAACCAAGCAGCGTGTGAGGAGAGATACCGGGGCCTACTACAGCAGTCATTCGCTACCATACCACACCGTACCGTACCGTACCGTACCGCCTGTACAATAATCAACCTGTGCTGTCAACATTCCCAGTATCTGTTGCACTCCCAATCGCTACCACACACACACAACGAAGATGCAGTTCCTCACGCTCGCTCCCGCCCTCGTGGCTGTCGCCTTCGCGGCTCCCCAAGGCGCCACTGACAAGCTGGCGCCCAGGGCTGACGCCCCGGCTGGCTGCTCGGGCAGCTTCGACGGCAACTTCGAGATCACGATCGCTAAGGTGACAGAACAGAAGAGGAGTCTCGTTGAGGTATGGACAACCTTTGTGGTGACACCTGACACCTCTCGCATCCCATCCATCCATCTAGCCTCGATCAAAGCATGAGACAACGTGACAGCTGGCTGACTTCTTGTTGTAGAAGCGCGATACCTGCGGCAAGGAAGGCATTCTAGTCCTATCGTTGAAGGACGGCGAAACAACAGACGCTCAAGGCCGAACTGGATACATCGCGTCCAACAACCAATTCCAATTCGATGCCCCTGTTCAGGCTGGTGCGCTCACCACCAGTGGCTTCTCGGTGTGCGAGGACAACCTGTTGGCGCTCGGTGACTCCAAGACCTTCTACCAGTGTCTGTCGGGAGACTTCTACAACCTGTACAACCGCAACTGGGCTCCGCAGTGTGAGCCCGTCTCCATCGTCGCCGTGCCCTGCGGCGGCAAGGACACGGCCTCGCAGGTCGGCGATGGTCAGGTCGTTGGCACTACCCTCGTCCAGACCACCATCGTGACGGCCCTGACCGACGGCCAGCCCCAGGTGGTGACAACGGAGGTGCCCATCCCCATCTGCCAGATCGGCGACGGTCAGGTGCAGGCGGTGACCACGCCCTGCATCTCGGTGCCGGCGTCGGCTACCAGCACCTACGTGCCGGTCAGCGAGTACACCGACGGACAGGTCCAGGTGACTCCCCCGGGCACCGCCCCTGCGCCATCGGCTACCGCCACCGAGACTGCGACCGCTGCCCCCTCATCGCCTGAGACCGCTTCCCCCTCGTCCCCTGAGACCTCAGCACCGGCGGGCACGGCACCGGCGGGCTCAGCACCGGCAGGCTCAGTACCGGCGGCCAGCTCCAGCGGCGCGGCGGCCCCCAGCGGCAGCAGCAGCGGCGCAATCTCCAGCCCTTCGGTCACCGCAACATCTACGACGGTGGCTAGCCCCAGCTCGAGCGCGCCGGCGACGACCTCGGCACCGGCGCAGGGCGGATCCTCGCGTGTCACCGCCGGCTCCCTCGGCGCGCTGGTGGTCGGACTCCTTGTCGCGGTTGTCTGCTTGTAAATAACTCCAGCCTCAAACCGGTTAATGATGGTAGGGATGATGGCAGGGGATGAGGAGAAGGAGGGGTACACAGGGGATGATGGATATGAAATAATAATGAGAGTGTATCATGAGGGTGGGCGGAGACCATGGTCACGGGTAATGTGTATCCGCAGTGGATGAATAATGTCTGAACTTAAAAACATTGAAATCGGAACAAACCAAAAAGGAGGCTTCTTTTCCCTTCACCCTTTTCACACCCATACTTGGCTGGCTGGCTATACTCCATTGGCAATTAGTTAGAATGTCAACATGCCCACGATGTTGCATGTACATATGGCGAACAAAAGTATACTTGAGATCAACAGTAATCCGTGGGTAGTGAAGGCTGTGACGCTGGGCTACTGGTATGAGCTGATGATGGGCGTAAACCCCGAAGGCGGGGTCGTGGTCGTGGTCGTGGTCGTCGATTGTGTTTGCCTGTCTTTGGTAGCCTTTACGTAGTCAGACAGTAAGTTGCCTCAACTATCGACCGTGGTTCTATACATGGCATGGCCGGGCGACTGTCGAGGTTGGATGGAACATTGAAGAATGATTGAGGGTGACAGCAGGCAGAAGAATCTACGGGGCTAGACCTGGAGGTATGGCTTCAGGGGGGATCCAGTGGACGAGGCGCACGACCCCAGTGACAGAGTGCCCCTGTACCGTAGGTACCCCGAAGCCCTAGAACTCCAGGGTCACTGGGGCTGCCAGGGCACCTAACAGCCACCGCCGCGCCCCGCCTCCGCCTCCCACGAACGCGACTGTGCTGTACTCCCCGGTTCCATTAAGGTAATGATTCATCACACCTGCAGTGACGTGAGGCTGGAAAACTCTCCCCAAGAGGTGCCTCAATTGATGAACATCCCCTCGACAACAGGCACAGTAGCAACCACCTGCACGCAACCAATTCGCCGACAACTTCCCACCTGGTACCGTCCGGCGCACACACGCGCCATGTCTGAGTACTGGAAGTCGACGCCCAAGTACTGGTGCAAACACTGCACCACCTACGTCCGCGACACCAAGCTCGAGCGCACCAACCACGAAGCCACCGCAAAGCACCAGAGCGGCCTGAAGCGATTCCTGCGCGACCTCCATCGCGGCCACGACCAGGAGCAGCGCGAGAAAGACCGTGCCAAGCGCGAGATCGAGCGCCTCAATGGCGTTGTCGCCGGCACCTCTACCTCCGCCTCCTCCACCTCTGGACCCATACCACCCCCAGCGCCCACTCCAGCCTCGTCGTCCGCCGTCACCAATGCCCAGCGCCAGAAGCAGTGGGAGCAGCTCGCCGATTTGGGCATCGACGTCCCGACCGAGCTGAGGCGCGACATGGCCATGGCCAGCGAATGGACCGTCACCAACACCAGGGTCATCGACCATACCCCGAAAACCGATGATCCCGAAGCCAAGCCTGAAAAGGTCGACGCCATCGCCACCGGTGTACGGAAAAGGACGAAACCAGAGGGCGCCGAGGAGGCGGAAGAGGAAGACGTCATCAAGGGTCTCTTCAAGAAGCCCAGGAAATGGGGGCGTGATACGAGGGAAGCCCCAGCCGACGAAGCCGACTTGGATGCCTTGCTCAACACTACCCTGATCAGACCGGTTAAGAAGGAGGAAGATGGGAACGACTCTCAACCACCCGTCAAGCAAGAGCGCCCGACGGTCGTCAAGAGGGAGGACCTCGTCGAGGTTGAGGTTGAGGTTGAGGCTGAGGCTGAGGCTAAGGTTTTGTCCCACGCCCCGCCTGTTGCAGTGGATGGTATTGATGCCACGCCCATTAAGAGAGAGGCCGGCACCGAGACTGAAGCACCCACCGTCGTCTTCAAAAAGAGAAAGCCAAAACAGGTTCGGCAAAAGTGAGTTATTCGTCATGTGACGACAGCTCTGCCCCTTGTACATGAGGCTTACAACGCCCACGCGCAAAACGACAAGCTACGCTCATGGCTGGGGGCTTGAGGCCTGGCAGCCATGCGCGTTACCATCATACAGCCCCAGCTGGCCGATATTCTTGACCTGCGTAGGTTCACTGGAAATGGCTGGCTACAAACCACTGCATTCGGGTGTGTCCTCTGTACGTACAGGATCGGCAATACGCAACCCATAAGCATGATCGTGACATTTCTGGCTTTCGCCGACTCGACTTGCATGGATAGGTCAGACGACACAGATCACGGGTTTGCCTCTCCAGTCTACCTGCTTAAGCTGATAAGTCGGCCTCGGGCTGGTCTACCTGGATGTTATCCAGAGGTACTGACGTCAAGAGCCAAGAGCCAAGAAGAAGACCACAGTGGTGTCTAAGGGACTCACTTCAACTCTAGCAATGGCCGAAGTACAATGGAAACGTACTTCCTCTTGACTTATTTTCTGATGAACCAACACATATAAGGCATCAGGTGTCGAAATCCTTTGACTGCGATGGTAACGTCACCTATTTGTACCCGATGATCGAAGGGGTATCGCGCGCACTGCGGCTGTCGCAGGCTACACCCTGTTAGTTCCCCGGAATGACACTTGATCATGCCTACATGCTATGCCGCTGGCATCAGCTCCATATGGCAAGCTTTGAAAGCTTTAGAGTGCACCATATTACCGAGGAGGGTGGTCCTACTATGTCAGTAGTCACCTTTCCCTATCATCACCACATGACCAGTGTACGGAAGATCGGAGACAATATGGAATGCGATAACGATCCTTGTCCTACGCGTTTTAGACCATATATATTCAACGGAATCTCTTTCACTTGACATTGTGTAGACGGTCTGATATACTTCAAGGTGTCTTAGGCCGGCCAAGATCCGTGTTCATATATGACTTCGCCATCCCATTGATTGATGGAGTATGCTGGTTGATGTCATGACCCCCTTGGTCTTCGTGCTCTTCGGCATAAGTTATCGATCGAGAGTCCTGCATATATAGGCATTGGTTACTAGAATTGTGACTCGGCGTTACTAGGGACAATATACCAAACAAGTGATAACATTATCACAGTTCTTTTCGTTTTACTTACGCCACCACTTAGTCCATATGTATTTGCTGTGCTGGAATATGGGTTGCGTGCGACTATCTCTGGTACGGGGAGTTTGCACAATTTACGGTCAAGACATTATGTGCAGGCTCCTGGAATATTGATTTTCAAACCCAGAGAGTAATATTCAGAAGCAAGTGATTGGAATAACGTGGTGTATCCCAGTGAATGTTATTTCGGTCCCTTGAAGTAGGTGGGATATCATCAGAATGTTTACTTGGCTCTGTCCTCGATACGCGCACTTCTTGCATCAACCCGCCTATGGTGCTTGTCTACTAGAACCAGCCTTAATACGTGCCTCCTATCATGGGCGTTTGTTTGCCATGCCATTGGTGCTTCAACGTTTTTCCTATCTTGTAGGATTGTTGTGTCCTCTCGCTCTGGTCAGGTTAGCAGGACGAGCGATGAGTGTCATTGCACCCTCCAATATAGCATGGCCCCTTGCTATGAAATGTGTACTCCATATATAGTACATGACGAGGGTCTTAGGAGCCATGCTCCTGTTAAGATTGAGGCCACCGAATCTCCGAGTCTTGTGTCGTACCTCAACTGATTGGGAATAATGATTCACTCCCTGATCGAATACTGGAGCATTCACAACGTTTTTTCCCCTGCCACCTCAGCTGAACCTAGCCTTGGACTTCATGTTGGTTGATGAACAGTATGTCTGATGTTAGGTGTAATGCGGCAAGATCACCTTTCTTAGGTACACCTATGTAAGATCACAGCAACGATCAAGGGGGTTGTGTTATCGCACCTCTTATCTTCTTGACGTACAGTTCCATTGCCTACCGGTAACCCGGCTAACTCGCATAATAGAAGACTTGTAAACCCGTATGATGACTGTGGAAAAGTCGTACATAGATGTACTAGCCGCGGCAACCGGGGTCATTGAGTCAAAGACAAAATGTCAAAGTATGTCATAGCTAAGAACTCACGCTATATTGAACCATTCGTGGCATAAATCCTACCAAGTATTAGCGGCCTGCTCCTTGAGGTGCGGCTTAAAGCATACATTTAGGACATTTGATTACAAGCTGCCTTTCCAGCCTGCAAGCTATCAAGCACGACGCTACTTGTTGGTGCAACATGAATCCCTCAAGATGATGTACTGAAGAATGGAGTGGACGTGGACCCTATGAACGCTCTGACTGTACCCTGGCTACGGGCCATACCATATATCCGATTTTAATGTCGTGAGTTGGGTCTCATGGCCTTTGGGCGTTGACATGGTTGGATTTAGGGGATGTGTAGTCGGAAGACGTCCGCTTGACTCTCCATACCAATGCCAGGTAAGCTTTTGTGTCAAATGCGACGCACCTTCTTTATCCTGCTTGGACATTCAGCCACTGGTTCTAGCCCAAGTCTTTGAGGTTATCGTGGTCGTCGTGTCTGTCGACCTAGTCTACCCAAATGCTTCCAACAGGAGAAGTTGGTGCCTCCGGCTGCCCGAGATGGCTACAGGATGGGCTTGACCAGAAGGCATTGACGAGCCAAGCTCTCAGTTGACCCCGATGTCTCCCTATCTAAATTCGTCTCCTTGGCCCGCTCCAGCAGAGGGTCTGGCACAAGGCTGCCCACCTTTCGTCTTCAATCAGTTACTGGGGATCCGACTATGTGACGAAACCCGACCCCTTTCCACTTGACGACAGCACCGACTGTAGCACACACAGATCATCCCAGTAAATGCTCTCCTCTCCTGGCCCTTTCTGGCTTCGGGAACAGATGCTCGAACACGTTTTGGGCATACCGAGGACGACACGGTATCAATTTGGTGACATCAAGTAGGGGACAGCGGAAACAACAACCTGCTCAGGTTATGACCATCTCCTCCTGCTGAGCTTGGCCGACGCTATCGGGCCATACGCGCGCGATATTGACTTGGAGTTCCTACTCTCGAGACAGCACCTTTCGAACGAGCATCAACCCATAGTTTGCGTGAGAAGTCGCAGAGGATGACTTGCCATGCTAACAAAGGTTGGACTGGTGACATTGGTAGTCGCGACATGCCAGCAGGAATGAGTCTGGCACCGAGTGCATCCAGACGCACGGTCAAACAACAGCTAATCAATTCCATGGGTCAAGTTGTCACGAACGGAACCCGCGGATCGTGTCCGCCAGGTCCGGGCCGACGGGGTGATCCGCGCAACATAATAAGATGTCCAGCACCGGCCCGAGCCTGTTCGAGACCAGTCTCTCTCCTCAAGGTCATTGGTCCCTCGAATAGGTACGCATCCGATGGAATGCCATTGTCACTCGTGGGCACCTGCCACCAGCGGAAAACATATCAAAGTTGTTGCGGCGGTGTGTCTTTGCGAGGAAACTTGCAAGTGATGATGGATAGGCGACGTGGACCCACGACCCACAACCCACGACCCCTGATCCCTAAACACCTTGATCCGCGATCCCTAATCCACCATCGACCCGTTGACGATTCAACATCCACTTGTTGTTGATTCATCAATCAGCCTTTGGCCAAGATCCGTCCACGCCGTCGCCCACTTGTCCGGATAGCGTGTCGGTTGACAACCTACAGTATGCACAAGTGAACTGCAGGCAAGCGCCCGGTAGTACCCGACCGCTGTAGTGCAGCCAGGCGGGTGGTGGTATGGTGATGGTGGCGGGTCAGGTCTCATCCCCGCCGCTGGGCTCAGCTCGTGGTCTTGACAGGTCTTGATACGCGCCACTTGTCACCATCCAGGGCCTGTCAGTCATCAGTCTTCCCCGTCTCCCCCGTCTCCCCGTCTGCTTCGTCCAAGCGGTGCCCAATCGATGAAGCCTGCCATCCTACCATCTCGGGCAGGTCTGAATGCACTGGTAGTAATTTGATGCGCCGAAGCTGGGCAGTACTATCCCCAGACACAGCACATCACGTCACCTCAGTCCAGTCCAGTCCAGTCCCGTGGTCTTTCATCTGTCCGTCTCTCCCGTCTCTCCCGTCTCTCTCGTCTCTGCTATATATCCTACCGGGCACATACTATCCGACACACGCTGGTCGACGTTATCCCACGCTTCTCCTTGTGAGCCTCCTGCTGTGGCCTCACCATTCGGTGACATGCAGTCGGATCCGGTGTGCTGGGTTGGGCAAGGCGAGAAATAGGGCTTGCAATAGGTATCATCGAAAGGGTATCATCACATGACGCTGCATCTTGGAACTGGACTGCCACCACGTTGCAATACGTCGCCTGCTGGTAGATTGCTGCAAGAGCGCCTGATTTTCTTCCTCAATCATCCAATCATCACCAGCAGTCTGGAAACTCATGGCCTGAATGGACGGCTCAAGGGTGGCAGGCAGTGGCAGGGTGGACTCTTTGAAACCACAAGCGACCGGGCTTCATGTTTCTTGCCATCCAGTTATTACGGACCAGCCAACCAGTCCGGCCTGCTTTACATACTAAGTAGGTATATATTAGGAATGCACACACATCACTATCACTCTGTCTCGCGAAGGGGAACCCGCTCTGCCACCGCTTGCGCGTCTGCTCCATCATCCTCCGGCTCTCTCTCAGCTTGTCGGGTCAAGCTGTCACAAGTTACCTTGTTGTCAGTGATCAGTCATCGGCGATCAGTCGTTCACCCCATTGTCAGCCATTGCCAGCCCAAGTTCCAGTGATAAAGGCTTGAGCTCCTGACCCAGTTCTTTGATGTTCACCGCCGCGTTCTGGATACAGCAGGTGGACTAGTATCGAGCCACCCATCTAGATACCGCCACGGTACCGGTTTTGGTTGGCAGGCCGCATTAACTGGAGGTTGGTCGGCTGGTCGGTCGCCCGTTGACTTATCATACCGCCACTTTCACCAAGCGGAGCGAAACGAACGACATCAAGAACGGAAGGGAACTCCCTTCACGACCACTTTGCCATCTGCACACTTCCGCCATAGCGAAGAGCGGGCAGCTTCGACGACATGGCCGTCGAGGTTGTCACAATTGTCAACTCGTCGGGCAAGATAATCAGCAATGTAAGTGAAGTCGGGGGATCCTTGAGAGTCTTTCCAATTTCCATTAGTTCGTAATGACAACACTTTTGCCCCGCAGAAACGCCCTCCAGTCTCTTCTCCCTCCTCCTCTCGTCTCTTCTCTCATGTCCATCCTCCCAAAGTTATTTGCGTCCTTTGCGCTCTTTGCTACCTACTCAATGGCTTGTGTCACTTCGACGTAGAACGGCTAGGCTGACCTCTTGTCTCGTGCGACTGCAACAGGGCAAACACCTGATCAACATACTTAAGGAGGCCAAGGCTTCTTACCAGGAGAAGAAGGCAGCTATCAAAGCCGAACGAGCTGTCAAACGCAGTCAGACATACGATATATCCACCGTCCCACGCTATGTCGACGATGTCGTCGAATATGGGTCTTGCGCCTGGGAACGCCGGGCATCGCAGGACGAGCTTGTCTCACGCTTCTCGTCCGGCACAAGCCACCGCTCCAAATCGCACCGAAGCTCTCGGCATCGGTCGGCCTCGCGGACTCGAGGAACCCTGACCGAGCGCAACCTCAAGACCCTTTCCGAGGTCTCTTCCACCGCCCCCTCGCGCGCCCCCGTCGCTTACCGCTCTCCGTATGCCGAGACTGCTCCCAGAGACATGGCATTGAGCCGCCCGACACTTGGCTATGCACCAACCATGCCTATGGCCTTCGACGACACGCCCATGTCGACCCCCCGATACAGTACACATGTACACCGGTCGAGTTCAGATCCATCATTGCAGGAAAAGGGCAAGGAGATTGATATGGATCTTGCATATGGAAACATACCGCCAGACTTGAAAGAGCGGGTGGATCTGGACCCTGCCTACAAGGCGGCCCAAAAAGAGCGCAGGGCGCACGACTTGATGGGCAAGATCGAAGGACTCCTGACAGAAGCCCACTGTCTGCACCATACGGCGACTCACATCATCCAGCACCTGCAAAGCAACCCCGAAGCCGCCGCCGCCGTGGCTCTCACGCTTGCTGAGCTGTCAGCACTCCTCGGTAAGATGTCTCCATCCTTCCTCGGCATCATCAAAGGGGGGAGTCCTGCGGTATTCGCCTTGCTCGCGAGCCCCCAGTTCCTGATCGCGGCCGGCTTGACTGTTGGAGTGACAGTTGTCATGTTTGGAGGATGGAAGATCATCAAGCGTATTCAGGAAGCAAAGGGCGCCGAGGCGGCCGCCATCCTTCCGATGGCCTTCCAAGCATACCCTGGCCAGCCTAGCCAACCACCGTATCCCGAATCCGGGTTCAGCGCCGGTTTTGATGAGGCGCTCGTAGTCGAGGAGGAACTCAGCACGATCGAGTCCTGGCGCCGTGGCATCGCGCCGTTCGGTGAAGACGGAAGCGCCGATCTCGAGCTGATCAGCCCCGAAGCTGATCGCGCTATGCGGAGCCAGTACGGCGCTGATGATGCGCGCACCGAGCGAAGTGTTCGCACGAGCCGGACACACAAGACCGCAAAGTCTTCCAAGACGACCAAATCCCACAAGTCTCAGAAGAGCCGGAGGGCCGACGCGATCGACGACGACGATATTCCCGAGCGGAAGAGCAGCAAGGGCCTTGAACAAGTCGATAACGCGAGCGAATCAGGAAGTCACCGGAGCCATCGTAGTCATCGGAGCGAAAAGACAGAACGTACCTCCAAGTCGAAGCGCACAGACAAGACCGAGCGCAAGGCGATCGAGGATGGTCGCAAGGATAAAGACAACTCGTTGGAGATGGTGATCAGGCCGAAGAAGGACACCATGCTCAAGTCCTTGTTTAAGAAAAAGAAGGACCAGGATGAAAGGGGGCGGAGCGCACCACTGCTTCGAGTGAGTTAGACATGCTATGATTTGGGTTCGGTGTCAGACAATGGGCCTCGAGCTTCTGGCATCGGTCACTGGCGTTGGGCCACGATAGTTCATGACGGTGTATAGGAAGTAATGTAAAATACTTGACGAGGCTTGGTGCTATTGTCCCGTCGTCCATTGGCAACATAGGCTGCCTGGAAGGTTATCATTCTGGGCCTTGGAAGCTCGCTGTCGTTCATGGCTCTACACGTTACATGTCGACCATGTTAGAGGAGGGCTCTTGCCGTGACCTCTCCTGACCACTTACAACCGTCAACCTACTTGATGCACGCAAGGCTCACTTAGGTAGGCACATGGACTTGTACGGCAGCTGAAGTTCAACACCCAAGGGTAATGGAATGGACCTGTCAGTCCTATGTAGAACATGACTCGGGGCCTCTTCCCCCGATATGCAGCCCCCAGATCCCTCTCATCTTGGATTGGAAGGTATTCCGAGCTGAAGACTTGGGTCAAGGACTCAAGACTGCTGTCGGAGACTGTCGACTTGCATGCTTGCGGCACTGCACTCCCTACCCCTGCAGAAAACGACGCAGGGTTTGCTTCAGCTTCTGCGGTTCTGTAGGCTCATCGCCAGACTCTAAACGACCTGACCAGTGGCTGACTTGACGCAGTGACTGGCCCTTGCCAACTTGTTTTGCGTGTTGCATCACATGCGATAACAGGCTGACCCAAACCACACAGAGAAGCGCCCGTTACCTACCTACCCACTACCTACTTGTTTGTTCTTCGGGGTTTCTAGACCGCCAACACTTTTGGCATATGCTTGGCTGTCTGTTTCAGGGGCAGATCCTTCACAGTGGAGTACTGTGTTCCAGGATCCTACATGGCGTTAGGCGTGTGCAAAACCTGGCTCAGCCCCGTGGCCATCTTCAGCTTCTATTATTACTATGTCTTCTCGATTTGCCGAGTATACGATGGTGGTTGCATAAGTCAGGGGCTGAATTATGCCCCCAATCTCGCTATAGTACATACGCCGTCCGAGCCTCTTGGACTCTCTACGGCCAGCTCACTACCTGTATTATTATGCCTACCCAATGATTCCAGAATCTGTGGCGATGGGTACTGCGGGGCATCCCCGGAATACCACCCCATGAGACACGGGCAAACCAGGGTATTTTCTCCCCTGGCCGCCAAGCTCCATGTCCTATTCTGGGACGTCTGCGAACGCGCCACGTCGTACACCACGTCCAATTCGCCAGTTCTTTGATGCCATGGGCAGATGGGCTACGACATTCAGCGGCCCCGCCAGTTCCAATTCGTCTGTTCCTCTGGCCAGACTGGACTGCATGGGAGCTGTTCCGCCGGAAGGGCCCCTGAAGGACGAGCAGATGAAAAGCGTGCAAGGGGCTTGCAGAACAGCTCTGACACGGACTTCACAGGCGAAAGACTTTAAAAGCGAGGATGCCTCACCACTTCCATCATGGGATTGTAGCGTCGGTACCTTGCCTTGATCCCTCTGCTAACCGTTGTAGCAAACCAACAACCGTCGCTCATAGTCTTCTATTCCTACTGTCCTGATACCTTTGGCCGGTTCCAATACACGTTCAGCGTCTCCGTTCGCCCAGGCCGCCTGTAGGGCTCTTTTTCTCTGCTTTACCGACTTACTGCCTTTTTTTGCCCTCGTGTGCATTTTCTGTAACCCGCCACTCCTTCGTCAACCGTCCTTACGACTCCAACTTGAACTTACAATGGCCGACGATGCCGGTGGCGCTCCCGTCGGGGGCCATACCGAGACCCACGCGGCTACCGGTGAAGCAGCTCCCCACGCCGGCGGCGACGAACACCACAAGGGTGACGCGAATCACGTTCAAGACACAGCGTACCCCATGTCCCCGCGACGGACGACCATGACACCGAATCCCTTCAGCCGGAAAAACACGAGTCTTGACCTCGACGACTACTTCGTACGTCGCTCAGTTGGATTGTCCCCGTAGCCTGCAGCCTGACTGACCCTGCTTGTAGGTAGGTCCTCGAGACATCGCGAAGCATTCGAAATGGCCCCTGTTCCTGCAGATGCACGGCAGCATTCTCCCCAAGATGATTGTTCCTGTCATTGTTGTTGCCGCCTGGGCGTCCTTGATCACAGCCATATCGTTGAAGGTTCCCGGCGTGAACCTCGGCATCAGTTCCATCCTCCTCACAATCACTGGTTTCGTCGTTGGTCTGGGCCTGTCTTTCCGCAGTTCCACGGCATACGAGCGTTATGCAGAGGGCAGACGGTATTGGGGCCAGCTCATCCTTACCTGTCAGTCCCTTGGCCGGGTCTACTGGCTGCACGCCGTCGAACGTCCCGAAACCAGCAAGAAGGATTTGCTCGCAAAATTGTAAGTATAAAAACATCCAACCTCGATTGCCGTGCTCGCGTGACGTATGGGCTGATTTGCATGCTTTAGGACTGCTATGAATCTGCTCATAGCCTTCGCCGTTTCCCTCAAGCACAAGCTACGATTCGAACCCTACACATACTACGACGACCTCGTGGATCTGATCGACCACCTCGACACGTTCGCCAAGTCGGCAACCGAGGACAACCTCGTCAAGCCGAAAGGTCACAAGATGTTCAAGGCTGTGGGGGAGAACCTGGGCCTTAGTTTCGCAACTTCGAACCCACGCAAGTTGATGAAGCGCGCCGAGAGCCCGCTGGGCAATCTGCCCCTCGAGATACTGTGCTATCTGACAGCCTACACGGATGAGCTCGCTGCCAACGGGCAGCTCCCTGTGGGCATGCAGCAGACGGCTGCCTGTAAGTCACCGCTCGATCAATGACTCTCTCGCAGCAAGCTGACTGTATACCTCCGTAGACAATGGCCTCCAGTCGCTCAACGACGTCATGGTGAACACAGAGCGTGTCTTGAACACGCCACTCCCCATCGCATATGCCATTGCCATCTCGCAGATCACGTGGCTCTACGTGTTCCTGCTGCCCTTCCAGCTCATCTCGTCCTTGGACTGGAAAACCATCCCGGCCGTGGTGGCAGCTTCGTATATCATCCTGAGTATCTACTTCATTGGCCATGAGATCGAAAACCCCTTTGGTAACGATGTCAACGATCTGCCGCTGGAACTCTTCTGCCAGCAGATTGTCGAAGACATGGAAACCATCGCAGCACGGCCGAAAGCCCGGATCACCGAGTTCGTCGAGAGCGCGAGGAACAAAGTCATGTATCCGTACAGCGACAGCAGTTTCGGCATCTGGGAGCAGCGTCCCGAGTCCGCAATTCGCGCGGCCTTGCGAAACCGGCCGCATGCGGGCTTCGATAGAAGAACGTCGCATGGTGAAAAGGGGGCCCAGAACGTGTAGGCCAGTTCTCGTTCACTCGACGGCTACCATGAAAGCGGCCTGGAAACGCATCATGTCATCAGTATCTTTCATTCGGACGGCATCAGGTTTGGCTGCAAGAAAGGTGCCCATATTGGCTCGCCAAACGATCCCCAGAGCTATTCTTCAGTCAGCAGGTCAGTGGCTCACTGCTGACATGGCATACGATGTATAGGCTTGTATAACATGTGCTTGCGTTCTTTCCTTCGTCTATATCTCTTATAATCATCGCATTGGTCAAACGGAAAAGCATTGGGTGGTGGGCATTGCATCGGTCAGGGTAGCATATTTTCAACAGCTACATGTATACAATACAACTACATTGGGCACCCTAGCCTGTCAGCAGCTGAGACGTGCACCAATCCATACATTCATGACGAGGTCGAGATTGGGGAGTCACCACCTTGACTTGGGTAGGTACCTCTACCTACTTCACACGGGTATGCAGATAAGTGTTTTTGTTTAAATGTTGTGATTTTCCCCTGGATAAGCGTGGCTTGACTCCAATGTTCTAACTGCTGGACAGGCGCGGCCCAACTACCAACGTGACCATATGATGTTGGCGCCTATTCACATGTATCTTAGGTAACTGCAAGGTATTGTGAAGATGAGGTTACCAGGAAGAGAGCCGAGTAGGGTCAGCTGTGGCATGGAGTACGATACCAGGTAGGCACATGTAGTGACTGAAGGAGGAAAGGGGCAGATGAAACCCGAACATTCAAGCGCGCCTGCTTCACAAATTGGCACAGCAAGGCACATGCTGTTTGGACAGGATGCGCTGCGGCATTGCTTTCTGGCCCGGACCTTCCCTCTCGTTGCGAAACGTCGCGTCGATACCCTCTCAAGCAACCTCCTCCTCGAGAGTACAAAGTTGGAGGATTTAGTTAGCCAGAGCCTCCCTCCCCGGGTTTGCGTCGCTCACCTTAAAGCATCAACTTCGTATCCCTACAGCAGTATAGGCATCCTTACCCATGACCACATGGTTCTCGAATACGATCACATACTTGCGCGTCCCGGACGGTGCTGACGCCGTGAACTTAATACGAGCCTGCCATCGACCTGCCCTCGGCACTGCTCCAGTGTGTCATAGCAGAGGAAGCCTCCTTTTGGTCTTCAGTACGGGCCGGCGCAATGTGGAAGCGCGCGAAGAAGGAGAAAAAGGAGAAGGAGGACCTCGACTACAAGTGCCGATGGCCTACCCAACAAACACTCGTCGAATCTCAAGAGACGGAAGTGCTGAGGTCGAAACGGATCAGAGCGCTCGAGGCGGTCTCAACGCCCCTACTGTGGTTGAACTTGAAGCTGGAACAGTGGCAAGAGGATATCGATCACCGCATGCAGGAGCTCGAGGCAGCCAAACGGAAACGCGCAAGTGATTCGAGAATCTTGGCGGGCCCCAAGGCCCCGGGACCTTTGTCCAGGAAAGTGTCTAGACCGGGGAAGAGCACGCATCCATACGACACGGGCGTTGGTACCCCGACCGAAACTGCGTCTGAAGGCCACGTTGAACCACGAGAACAACCAAACGAGAGACCGGCAACGACGGGACCACGGCAAACACCGTGGGGTGTTGACAGATACAGTAAGACACCCAGGCCAGATTCGAGGACTGGGCCGAAGGTCAAGGCTAGAGAAGTTTCTCAGCGCGGTGAGAGAATTCAGCTCGGTGGTGAGCATCGGCCAGGAACGCAACTTACTGCTTCCAGCACCCCGAGTCCGGCCCAATTCTCTGTGGGAAGGGAAGGATATGCAGCGTCCCACAAGAGATGGTGGTGGCCATTCCAAGGAAAGCGAGATACCAAAGAGGGGGCTGCCGAAAGCGATCCGGACTCGACAGAACAGTCCGCCATGGAGGGAGAGGATGACGAGTTGACAGCCCTGGTCAAGCCAAGCCATGCTTGGAAGAGTGTAAAGGGTCGCCGTGGGACCGGATACCCGAGCGGAGTACCAACGGTTGCCCGGGTCCGAGCGAATTCGGGAGGAAGTACTCGGAAGAAAGCACAGAGGCATGCGGCCCAGATGCGGTTCGAGAATCAAACAGGCCATTCAAGGGTGAGACTAAAGGCAGACATGAGCACCCAGGCGCGGAACGCAATGGGTATTCGTACGTCCCGAGCGCCTAGCAGACGCAACCATGAGGTCCAGGGGTTAAACGCCAGGGCTCGACGAAAGGAGAGCCTGTCTCCGACGCAGCCGCGCTCGGGCATTGGTTCCAACCGAGACGGCGCACAGTTCACCAAGGAGCCGGGCCGGACGGAGGCAACAACGCGCAACGCCTCCCCGAAGACACCGAATCAGATCTTCCGGCTACTAGCAGGCTCCAAGCGGACGCCGCCGCCGCGATCAGTCAGCCCATTGGACATTGACAACTATGCCATGACGGGAGCGATGCCGACGCCACCACCCGGGCCTAAGCGGCCGAGTCCCGAGAGCGGTACATCCGGTGGGCGGTCGACGGAGTCAAGAAATAGGGGATGGATGCCTTTCTGGGGTTCGCCCAAGGTTGAAGCGACACCGGCTCCGGCTCCGGATCCAGCTCGGAGCCGGTCGGCAAACCAGAAGCGGTCCCCCCAGCTGGACAAGAGATCGAGAAAGGAATTGAGGACGGGCTAACCGCTGCTGCCGCCGCCGCTGCTGCTGCTAGTATCGGTATTCAGATAGTTGCTAAGGAATGGTATTGATATCCTGTGTACAGCAACACGCCTCTCGCCCTCGTAGACAGGTGGTAGTACATACCTACTTATTAGGTATCCCTTCTTTTCAGTCAATTGCGAACTACGTTAGCTCTGAACTTGTGACGACAGCTTCAATGTTGTCGCCTCATACCTGGGGTCCGGGCCGGGACTAGAACGGATACAAAGATCTGAAACCTCTAGCTCTCACGACGGAGACACCGAGGCAAGCTTTGAAGGACACCAAGTACAGATCCAAGCCGAAGTTCGACACTCCACTGCGCAGAGTTCTCATTTTTATTATCATGCGGTGGGGGTCCGCGTCGCTGACCACGATTCCGAGCGGCCGGCCCGGGGGAGCTTCGGGATGGTGGGGAGTTCTGTCGTACTGCGTTATTATTATTTATATACAAGCACCTACATATGTATGCGTCTATCACGTCACTCCGGTGTTCTCGTACTCATCCATCAATCGCCGTTGTTTATTAGAGATTTATCAGACCTCCCTCCCCAGTTCCCAGCTCGACATCTACCCGACTATACCGCGCCCTCTCTCTCAACCATGGCATCCAACCCTCCGGGAAAGTGCTGCACCGTCGGCGTCAAGCATGAGTAAGGATATGCCCCACCAGGTTCGTTGTCTCTGTAGTCTTTCACTGACGGGATTCCTCCCAGCGGCGAGCCGGCAGGCACCAGCATCAAGGTCGGCAAGTACGATGCCTACCTCGCGACGCCCGAAGCCTCCAAGGCGCACAAGGACGCCGCCATCCTGTACATCCCGGACGTCATCGGCATCTGGCAGAACAGCCAGCTGATGGCCGACCAGTACGCCGCCAACGGCTACCTGTGCCTGATCATCGACGTCTTCAACGGCGACGCCATGTCGCTGAACCGCCCCGACGACTTCGACATCATGGCCTGGTTGACCAAGGGCAGCACCGGCGACAACCCCCACACCCCGCCGGCCGTCGACCCCATCGTCGAGGAGGCCATCCGGTACCTCCAGAAGGAGAAGGGTGTCAAGAAGCTGGGCGCCGCGGGGTACTGCTTCGGAGCCAAGTACGTGGCCCGCCACTACAAGAACGGCATCGCCTGCGGCTACTTTGCGCACCCGTCCTTCGTCGACGAGGACGAGCTCAAGGGCTTCAAGGCGCCCCTGTCCATCGCCGCCGCCGAGACGGACCCCATCTTCCCGGCCGACAAGCGCCACCGGTCCGAGGAGATCCTCGCCGAGGGCAAGCAGCCCTACCAGATCAACCTGTACTCGGGCGTCGAGCACGGCTTCAGCGTCCGCTGCGACACCAGCCAGAAGCACCAGAAGTACGCCAAGGAGCAGGCCTTCCTGCAGGCCGTCACCTGGTTCGACGGCTGGCTGTTATGACTGGATGGCGGTGACGACGACGAAACGATCAAGGGCAGGCTTTGAGGCGGCTGGCAATCAGGAGCTGATGACGAGAATGATGAAAACATCTCTTCAACCCTTTCGACGGATTGGTCGTGGTATGCCAAATGCGAGATACATAGAGCTTGACAATCGACACATAAATAAGTAAAATCAACAGCTGCAAGTTTCAGGCTAAAAGCGATGGGATGATAACCTGTCTCCATTCAATGTTACGTGATTCTACAACCCTGTGGTCTTGGCACCTCCCGAGTTGCAACCACCTTCAGGGGCTGGTCACTAGAACTTCGCCGCTCTTCTCCTGAGCCGCCATCAGCTGACTCTGTAAGCCCTTCTTCCCTACCTGCATGGCCCGTTCGAGCTCTCGTTCCTCTTCTCGCAGGGCCGCCTTTCCATGCTCCAACTGCCGCCTCTGCCTGCGCTTTTCCTCGGCCACCGAACGCTCGCGCTCCTCCAGTGCCTTCTCCCTCTTCCTGCGATCCTCCCTGGCTTTCCTCGAGGCCTCGTCCTCTTCCGCTTCGGCCTCCTCTGGCGGCGGTCCGAGCGTCTGTATGTAGGCCTCCACCAACGGGTCGCGAGTCTTGGGGTCCAGGCTGATGTAGCGCACGTCGGCCAGCATCTGGCTCGGGAGGCTCTCGAGTAGGACCTTGTTGTTGAGCGCCCGCGCTGGCATCTCTCTCAGCAACGCCATCAGATCCTTCTTCAGCGCATCCTGCGGCTGTTTCAGACGGTTGATGTACTCGCGATACCACTTCTCCCTGTCGCGATCGTTGAGCGACGTGTCACGCATCGGGCCTTCTTTCCTGTATTTCCGCTTGAACTCAGGCCAGTACAGCTTTGGGCTCGCCTTTTGCTGGAGGAGCGCCATATAGGGTATCCGCGGATCTTTCTTCTCTTCCTTGGCACGCTGTTCCTTGAGGATGTGAATCCGCTCCCGACTCCATTCTTCCCACACGTCTTTGCGCGCCTTCATGGTGCTCAACACGGTGTATCTCGCATCATCGAAAACGCGCCCCTCCTCGATCAGCTTCTCCCAAGGTGAGTATGGGTTGGTGCCGTAGTCGTTGAGCAGATCCTTGAACAGCTCTCGCGCATCTGCGTCGGAAAAGGGTAAGCCCTCGGCGCCCTCAGGCCAGGCATCCGGATTCCCGTCATCGTACTCGCCAGGATCAAGACCGTAATCCTCGCCCATTGCTCGTAATTGGTCGGCTATATCGTCTTCGTTGAACTCGGCGGCCATGGCCTCAGCGGGGTCTTCGGTCCGTTGGCGTTTTGAGGGATGTTGGTCGTCGCCTTCAGCCTCTCCGCCCTCGTGCTCTTCATCCTCGTCATCTGTGACCTCGACTTCTTCGTAGTCCGAACCTAGCTCTACTTGTTCCTCCGCCTCCTCGACCTCGGCAGCATCTTTGGCCTCTGGCCCCGTGGTTCCTGGCTTCTCCTTGCCATCTGCCTGGGCGCCGCTGGCCTTGTCCTTGATGCCATTTATATCCAGCTCGAGGACGCCTTGCATGATCTTCTCAGGCATGCGCCAGTAGCTGGCATTCTTGGCCGGGTTGTAGGCAAAGCGGCGGCCATACTTCGTATACACCAGTATCCAGGGCTCGCACCCAGGGATAGGCACCTTGGACTTGGGCTTGTCGACCGGCTGGGGGCGTGGTCTGTCTCTACCGTCGCCGGGGCCACGGTAGCCACCTCGACCATGCTGACCAAAGGATTGCGCCGGTCGTTGGCGCGCAGGGTCGTACTGGGCGAGGAAGGCGTTGGCGGCGGCGGGATCGGATAGCTTCGGTACGGAGGAGTACTGGGAAAAGCTCGCGTGGGGGTTCGATGGCTGCGGCGGTTGTGATGTCGGCGGCACTTGGGCGCCAGGACGGTGGTAGGTGGACTCTTTGGTGGAATCGTTGTAGTAGTAGGTATGGCCCGTGGGAGCTTTGTGTTCTGACCACCCGGGTGGGAGCGGCGGTGGAAGAGCGGACGAGGGCTTGTACGTAGACTTCAGCATATTGCCAAGGATCTCAGGACTTGTAGAAATGCACGATCAGTTCCCGCCGCGCAATGAGAGCTGGGCGCTGTGTAGTTGGTGTTGACGTGGTAGTAGTAGCCGTGTGCGCAAATGGAAGAATAATTTCAGGAATCGCGACGTCAGGAGCTATAGGCCTGTCAGTCAGCGCAGTCAAGGAACATTGAAGCTGAGCTAGCAAACCCCACCTAACCTGGAAGCCGGCAACTATTCATGCCACTGAAGGGCACCACTGAAGGCCACCGATCACCGCTGAAGAGACTCATTGAATCGGCACTTGGAAACGCCGACTTTAGCGGGGCATTATGTCTTCATCTTCAAGCTTACCGTATACCACTTAATCCAGCATGCTTCCTTCACTTATAATAGAAACATCTTTCGCCTGCTGAACGAAGGTGTATATAGCCTGCTTGCCCCAAAACGATGCTGTGGAATCTGTTCAAAGCTATACGTGGACGGTGACTTGCAACAATGGTACCTCGAACCGACTCCCCTCGGGCTAGGGATAGGGGGGCGTTGGCATCTATAGCAAGGTTCTGGACGGTATGCGCTCTCTCTCCTATTCCCAGCAGCTATCCATAGTCCATCTGATCACTCACTGACTTACGCGCTCTGCGACAGCACTCGTATGCGCCCGACTACGTGGGCTTCGCCGGCCTGTTGACCGCGTATATCCTGATCCAGCTCCTCGTCGAACCCTTCCACCGCATGTTCTTCGTCAACAACCTCGACATTGGCTTTCCACACGCCCAAGTCGAGCGCGTCCCGGTGTGGCTCAACTTCGTCTACGCCCTCTTCGTCCCGCTCGGAGTCGTCCTCGCCTACAACACCGTCACGCGCGCTTCATTTCACAAGCATCACAGCACCGTGCTTGGGCTTGCCATCGCACTGATCCTCACCTCGTTCCTGACCGATATCGTCAAGAACACCGTGGGCAGGCCTCGACCCGACCTGATCGCCCGGTGCAAGCCAGCCGCCGGCACCAAACCGAACGTTCTCGTCACCATCGACGTCTGCACCGAGACCGACCACCACACACTCCATGATGGGTGGCGTTCTTTTCCCTCGGGCCACTCCAGCTTCTCGTTCAGCGGGCTCGGATACCTGGCATTCTTCCTGGCTGGCCAATTGAGGATATTCCGTGACAGGAAGGACCTCGGCAGGTATCTGGTCTGCCTCGCGCCGCTCGTGGGGGCTGCCATGGTAGCCATCAGCCGATGCCAGGACTACAGGCATGATGTGTACGACGTTTCCGTAGGCTCGCTATTGGGATTCACCGTCGGCTTCTGGAGCTATCGCAGATATTGGCCAAGGTTGGGCAGTCGGGAATGTCACGAGGCGTACCCGTCCCCTGGGACTGAGTTGGGGGACAGAGAAGGGTGGCAAAGGGTGCGTGACGAGGAACAAGGGGGCCCGGTCTTGGGGCGTAATGCTGGGTACGAGATGACGAACTTTGTAGGACAGGACCAGAGCTGACGTCGCTTTTCACCAGATGATTTGGAAGTGAACTCGGAGGCAAGGCTTTGATTTAGTGAGTAACAATGTAAGCCTGCGAGCATGATCCAGTATGATGGCTATTCTTTCAGAAAGTCCCGACCAGTTGGTTCTGTCCAATGCTGTCCAGGAAGTTGCTGACTTACCCCTACAGAGTGATACGAAGGATACGGACAGTAGGATAAGCACCCTGGAAGAAGCAGCTGTATTATATAAACCATGCTCAACACTTATTCCAGAATGCTTATTCGGTAAGATGAAGAATAATGCCTGAATAGGTATTCAAGACCTCGATGACGGGGTGTACGGAGACTTCTGGGGGCTCAGTGTCATGAGTTCTTGGCATACAGTATATGTCCCTGGAGACTTGACTCGAAGTTGTATGAGCGTGTTTTTGAATTCAATATCATTTACTTACCTTATCCGGGGAATACTCGAGTGTGCAGCTTCAAGAGGCGAGACTGGGTGCATGAAAGGGCCGAGTAGGTACTTGCTTTGGTACTCGGTACTTGAGACTGGGGAACGCGGGGTCTCCTGCTTCATGATTGCTTTTTACATGTAGCTACATGTAAGTAGGTACCTGGTAACTTGCTGTAGGTTACGGGAGGTGGGAGGGGGGATCGAGTACCGCGCGAGTCCACGAGAAATTCACACGAGTGCGTACAAGTTGTATGGCAGCTTGTGAATTCCTGTTTCGACAACGCCAGCCAATCATGCATGTCGAACCTGCCTGCCCCACAAGCAACCCCTGGCAGGTCCGGGGCCTCGCATCACACCTCTTCTCGCCAACCCTCGACTTATAGATGCTTCTTGCTAGTGGCTCGGTGTGCTTTCGCCGCGGCTGTTAACAGCAGCTATGTCTGGGCAGAGGCTCCTCGAGGGAGCCCATGCCCTCTCTGCTCTGTTCTGCTCCAGAGTCCAGACTGGATGCCTGAGGCACCTGCCCACCTGCCCCAGCATTGTTTCTTCCTCCTCTTTACTCTCACTTCCACACGACCTCAACCCCAACCTCATCCCCATCCCCATCCTCACCCTCTATTTTATTTTCAACAACCTCGACCCGCAAGCTCAACCCGTTCTCTCTTTCTGGGTTGTTTCTCACTGTCACCCCTTCACATGAACCAATCTTGGCCGTGATAGCTCACCTCTTTGATTTACCACGAACGACCGGACCTTCAGTATCAGCGACCAAGACGCCTCCCCTCTCCCAGGCTCTTGTACAATCTCACTGTTTTCACTGCCACCATTGTCCGCACTCGGTATGTAAACCATTCCCCGCACAGATGGGCCACAGGCAAGCACGACCCGACCTAACAGTACTCTCTAGCTCCATGATGAGTCGGAGGAATATCAAGCGCGAGCCGGTAGAGAGGGCAGCTGTCTCCCCTGTTCCCACCACCGCGACGAACAAGATGAGGCCCCCGTCACCAGTGTCCACCCGCAAGCGCGCCACGCCCCTTGAGGAAGTCGCCGATGCCAGATCCGGGGCTTTCTCTTTCACTCGTTCGCATGCCCGTAAGTATACTTTCCATCCCGCTCCGCCTCGCTTGCATGCTGACCCTGCCGTAGCCAGCGCCGAGACGGCATGGCACCGTAGAGAGGAGGAGCAGGAGCCCATGTTACTAGAGATGAGACATCGACCCGACGGCTTGAACAACGGTCATGAAAGTCCCGCCTCCTCTCAGACACATGACAACAGCTTCGCCCAGCAGAGTTTCGCCCACCCGACCTTTACTGACATCGGGATGAAGCTCAAGGCCTGCAACGACACGCTGGGCGACCTGCAGCAGCTTGGTGTCTCTCACGTGGCTGCTCTTCCCGAGCTGGTACTTGTTGGGGACCAGTCGGCAGGCAAGTCAAGCTTGATGTCGGGCCTGGCCATGGTCAATCTCCCTCGGAGCGCCGGCGTGGGTACTCGCTGCCCGCTGCATATCCGTCTGATTGGCAGCAACAACGCACATTGGAGCTGTACCGTCTCTCTCCAGCAGGATTACGACTTCAAACCAACGCCTGGCATGCGAATCAAGAAGTCTGATGTCACCAATGCCAACCCCTTTCCTCCCTGGGTTAAGAAATCTCATCGAGACACCAAGATCTTCAAGACCATTTTCGACCAGACTGAGATTGAAGAGGTGTTACGTTGGGCGCAGATCGCAATCCTGAACCACAATCGCAGTCATGAACTGTTCATTCCTGGAGAGGGCTCCATTGCAAAGGAAAAAGAGCTGGCTGGTAAGCATCCCGAGTCCTTGAGTTGAAGTTGCAGGGCTCAGCACATCCCATACACTACCCCTATCTTGCCTACTTCTGGTGTCATCCAGTAGGATGCTTGTGCAGGTTCTGTCGACCTCCTACCCTCTCACCCTTTTATGATATCCACCCCATGGTTATCATGTGACTCTCAAGAATAGACCGATTGATCGCTGACCTGAATCATTCCACAGTGGCTGCCAGCGAGACGGATGCACAGTTCTCGCCCAACATTGTCGCGTTGGAGATCAAGGGACCGGGCCTTCCTGATTTAAGCTTCTATGACCTACCTGGAGTTTTTCTGTCGCCAGACCAAGAAGAAGACGAGTACGTGGTTAAGGTCGTCCGAAACTTGACGCGAGACTACATTCGACGCGAAAAGGCCATCATCATGTGGGCACTTCCTATGAATGCCGACCCAGAAAACTCCATATCGCTGGGTATCATCCGTGAGGCCAAGGCATCCGACCGGACTATCGGAATCATGACCAAGGCAGACAAGCTCGCAGACGACAACAAGTCCCAGTGGCTTGCCATGTTCCGAGGGGAGAAACAGTCTGTTGGCCACGGCTTCTTTGCGACCTCACGACCACCGGAGGAGGCTCTCGAGGCCGCTACGAAGTGGGAGGAATTGTTCTTCAGCCACGAAGTTGGAGGCTGGCCTGCTGACTTTGCGGACTACGCAGAACGGTGCGGTGTTAAGCTGTTACGAGAATACATTTCCGTCCAGCTAGGGAACGCCTTCTCTCGCAGCCTGCCGTCGATCAAGAAGAAGGTCTACCACCGACTGAGAACTATCGAACAGCAGCTCGTTGACCTTCCCGAACTTCCGGCAAACGTCGAGCACGAGGTCAAGAAAAGCCTGTATCAGTTCCTGAACCGAATGAAAACAGCTATCAAGGACTCGCAGTTCTCGTCTCCTTGGAACACATTAAACGACCAGTTTGAAAGTTGCATTTTTAAGATCAAACCAACTTGTCAGGTCAAGGACCCCGAGACACAGACAATTGATCTGTCAGATGCTGATACAGAAGCATCGGCGGCTACGCCCTCGAAGCGACCCCGCCCTAGCGACTCGACAGTGCGCACGCCCAACAAGAGGCAACGGCAAGGCAACGAGGCTACACCTGTCAAACACGAGAGTTTCGTCGGAGTTAGTGGAATCAACGGCACCCCTCGGGCGTCATTTACAGCCAACACCCCGACATCAGGGCCGCCAAGTCCGTTTGTGCGGTACTTCCACCTCGGCCGCCTAGCAATGGACATCAAGGACATCCGAAGTGAGGTGATGAGGAAGAAGCGGCCGGGAATGCCCCGTGATCTCGTCCCCGATGAAGTCCGTGAAACCATGTGCATGAACGCCGTTAAAAAATGGGAAGCACCTCTTGAGGCATATATCAGCAAGACGGCTGAGCTTCTCGAAAGAGTTGCAAGCCAGGTCCTCGAGGAATCTCTCGGGGTTTTGCGACGTCGCCTAATATTCAAGGAGTGCAAGGCACACCTGAAGGAGTTCCTGGACGAAGCCGTTGCCTACGAGCGCGCTCGACTTTCCGAATTATTCGACTCCGAGACGTATCAGATATACATGAAGAACGAGGACGCGTTCACTCGCTACAAGGCGCAGGAATTGGGCGAGCTGAGACGTGCAAGAGCCCTCAATCGCCTCAAGGACGTGGCTCTTATCAAGTGGGAATACAACATCAAAAGGACGGAGGACATGTCCGAGGAAGAAAAGAACGCCGAGCGCAAGCTATTGGACCAGCACCTTCCCAAGCTTGGGAAAGATCCATGGGATACAGAGATCGAAGTGGCTGGCTTCGTCAGAGGCTACTACATGACCGCGGCCACCCGATTCGTCGAGAGAGTAACGATGGATGTGAATTCGCGACTCTTCCGGACCATAGGAGAATCAGGGTTCGACATGTTCATGGACCAGAGGCTAGGTGTCTTTGGCGCAGCTGGTGAGTATTTACCCGCCGCCACATTTCTCCGGAGTAGAGTGATTGCTAATACATGCATCAACATTAGATATCAACGTGTACAACCATCTCATGGAAGAAGACGAGCAAACGGCGAAGACTCGAGAACAACTGAAGCGCGAGATGGACAAGCTGGAGAGGGCCATGACTAGCATCAACGACCTCGAAAGCTCGTCGAATAGTGCTAGCTTCAACGCCCAGCCCCGTGCTCACGCTGTGGAGATGGAAGATGTGACGGACGAAGGCGAGTTGTGATGCTGTGGAGGGCATCCGCCAAATCCTGATTTCGCAGCTCTGAGTCTTATCCTCTGTCTGCCATAGGCATCTGATGGTGAAGTGGCTTGGCTTGTACGATTGATGAGAAAGGTCAAGAATAGCTTGATTGAATTGTGGAGGGTACAGGGTGAGGTCCCTGGAAAAAGAGTGTGTAACTAGGTTGACGATGAACTGGAGTTTTGATGACTGGGCTGGAACTTGCTTGGACACCACGGATAGGACCACATGGCTCGTCCACTGCTCTTTGTGCTTCAAAGATACTTTATTATAGCTGAACAATCTGATTCATGAGATTGCAATTTGCAAGAAGAACATGACCCTCCAGTTGCTTGCCACTAACATGCGTTGAGGTGAATCAAATGAACGCCCTGCCCGTGTACATGGGCCCCTCCTGGATAGACTCCTCGTGTTCCGCGGCCTCGATTTCCTTTTCGACCTGATGAAGATTGATATTTGCTACGGCGTCCGCACCATCGAAGATACGAGCGATCTCCTCCAAAAATAGCCCCTTCGTTTCGACGTAGAACAAGTAGACAAAGACCAGCTCGCAAAAGTCCCAGAGCTGCCCGGAAGCGTCAGCATGATGATACAAGAAGGTCGCGAAAAGATGCGGAACCACAGTGTCGCGAAACTCACGGTGTAGAACAGCATCAGATACCAGTGCATTGGCAGGCGGTTCCATGCTATCTTGTTGGTCTGGTTGCTGAGGGCCAGCACAGCCTGTAGAGGAATATTAGATACCATTTTGCTGTGACCACTTGCAATCAATGCTCGCGCGCACCTGTAATGTAATATTCATGATCATCGACCCCTTTGCGCGGAGATGGAACGGCAAGATTTCAAGAGCATAGGCGATCAGCATGCCACTGAAGCCAATGTCATAGGCTATCCCGAACTACTCGGCATTAGTACTTTCTGCATCCAGACTGACCATGAAGCATGAGGGGAAGAATATATGAGCTCGTTCCCAAGTCTGTTTGGCTCGAGGGACGCGGCGACAGGCGAAACGCGGATCGGTAAACTCACTACCAAGTCGTTAGTCGTTACGCCGTAGACAAGCCAGAATGACAATCATAGCACATTTCATATGGAATCTTAAGAGGGAATGATCTAATACATACCTATCCAGATAAAAACCAGTTGCGCGTATCCAGAGGGGGCATTCGTCATGTTCGAATTCTCGTATATGGCGCCGCAGATAGTCCAGCTCACGAAGGCGATCACCATTCCACTCATTGATAGCAAGAAAAGGGGTCTGCGGCCGAAACGATCTGAAAGTCAGGTTAGTAGCTATTTCAAGGTCGCTCTTGTGCGCTTTCTTCAGTCACGAGCGTGATACTGCTAGGTCATAGTTCGGGGCAGAGACAAAAGGCTCTAGAGACTGTTTAAGGGGGTAGCAAGATGATCCAACTACTGACCAACGTTCAACGCAGCTAGGGTCGTCACGATCAAGTCGAGTATGGTCTTCCCACCACTCATCTAGGCAAAAAAGTCAGTTCACCCTCCACCGTTGTGAGTTTAACGCAGGTTGTGACTTACAGCAAGTTTCTGGTTTTGGTCGGTTATGCCCGCGCCCTCATAGACGACATCGATGTAATTTGAGAACAGAGCATTGCCGCTGTACTGCGATATGACACCCAGAGAGACCAGGATAGCCAGACGCCACCGGTTTCCTCTGGTTCGAAAGAAGTCGAGATACCCAGCAGCATGTGCCACCTCCTTCTCCATGCGGATTGTCTCCTTGATCTCACGGTACTCGAACTGGACCAGAAGGTCGTTCTTCTTACCACCAGAATGGTATTTGGCCAGGATATCGAGCGCCTCTGCGTGACGGTCCTTGGACATGAGGTACCTCGGACTCTCGGGTATGAAGTATAGGAAGATGAGCTGCACCAGCGACGGTAGGATCTGGATCAGCGTGATCGAGCGCCAGGAGTAGTTTCCGTTCATTCGTGCCGTGCCCCAGCCAATCCATGCTACCTGCAGGATTAATGATCAGCATGTATAAGTCGGACTCCCATTGACGACGATACGTACCATCAAGGCTCCAAAATTCCACTGTAGCAATAGATATCAGCAACGTAGATCAAGTGACGATGAGCGTGTGAAGGGTTCGGTCAGAAGTAAACGAATGGAACACTTGGCATTCGTGCATTTCCCATTGGTTTCCAAGCGCTTAATATCCAAGCGAACACCGGTATCGTATCTGGAAGCCTCGGTACAAGAGTCGGACCTACTTACCAAACAGTTATAGACAGCGGTGACGGGTCCGCGGTGTTGAGGGTGACAGATCTCGGTAAGTAGCAGAGGAGAGGCCATCTGAGCAAAGCTACATTAAAAGCAAGGCTTAGCTATCATGTAAAGGAATGGGTTGAGAGTCTGGTAGAGCCAGGAGGAACAGGGCTACGCTGAGTGGCAAAGGAACTCACCTGTTCCCAAACCCTTGTAAGAAACGGCCAACAACAAACACTGCGGACGTATGAGTCAATGGTATCATCGAAAGCTAGCTCAGCGCTCGGGTCAACGTACTTTCATAGCCATTGCAAAAGGCAGAGAGACATCCGCCAGCAACCATGCACGAGCATCCAATGAGAATGGCGGTCTTCCGTCCCCAATTGTCGGCAACGTAAGGTCTAAATGCCATTATATTAGCAGAACTGTCCGGATCGAGGACCGCAGTATGAACTCACACGATGAAGAAACTGACGACGCTGCCAACGTTGAATATGTTCACGAGCAGGCCTAGCCAACTGTCGGCCACCCCCTGAGGGTTGTCAGGGCCAGCTTGGGTTTTGTTGAAGAAGTCCTTCCAGCTATCCATTTGCTGTGAAGTGTTGATAAGCATTCCATCGTAACCGGTAGTGCTCGAGGCGATCATTAAGACGGCTGCCCAGAAATATAGCTTGCGCAGTTTGGGATCGGTCCAGGAAACCCGTTCGAACTCGATTGTCTCCCTCTGTGCGATCTGTATATTTTCCTCGTGCCCCTTGGCCGTGTGGTCCCGAGAGTGTGCCATCCTGTTTTTCGCCATAGCTGGGGCGGCGTGTGTGTTTCTGGCTACAACGCCTTTCTGCCACAGCTGTCAAAATCTTGAAGCAAAGGACCGCGCAAGGTGGGACCGGGCTCACGCGTGGGGTTATGACCTGCTACCGATAGATATAAGACGGGACTTTGAGCTTTCGAAGGCGATCCAGCGGCCACTTGGCTTTACGCAGCATGATGATGTATGGGAGGGTACTATATACACCCATGATAGTCTCGAACTGCGACCCGGGCAGGTGGCGAAGGTCAACCAATGAGCCACCCACGTAGAAGCTGTCAACTCCTTCTCCTCACGTCCAGAAAGAGAAATAGCATGGCATGGCAGCAGTGAGCTCCGAGCATGCAGTCACGGGGCTCTGCAGATGTGGCCTAGTAGCGAATCAGCATGTGCCGTCCCGGACCGTCCCCTTTCGTAGCAACGAAACTACACGAGACGATATGACTGGCAGCATCAGAACAGACCTTCGTCTACAGATCCCAAGAGGCCGTAGACGCTGATGCCCGTATTCCTGGCTCATCCGCATGCCACCCATATCGTGCGCGGGGGAGGAACACCGCTCCAACACATCAGTAAGTTAGGTTTTACGTACGTCCCTTTCACGGGAGGCAAACTCCCTTGGTTGAGTGATGCCCACTTCCCGAGAGAGTGCATTGCGATGTCAGCAGCGGTAATCAAACCCCCTTGTCATGGTGGTGTGGCGAGCTGAGCCATTCTAGACTTCGGTGCCAGAGCTTCCACGGCAGCTTGCATATCCTGCTTACCGGCAGAGATGTGACGGGCACGGAGAAGGCCCCGATGGTTGATCTGGCTAAATAGGGATGAATCAAAGCCTCCAATAGGATGGCTTGGCTGCGGGTGGTCCCAACCAATTGTGCCACTCTGCACTATTCCCCGACTGTATGTACCATGCTATAGTAACGTACGAAAACGGCTGTCATGGCTCCTTCGGTCCGATGCCAGAGAATGGGCACATCATCATGTGAATCTTACAGAAGCGTTCATGGTGGTCGTCATGGCCAGTCTAAACTACTGTACCACGATACCGCGACACTGGACAGGTAGTAGCTGGCGCCGACTGGGCGCGCCGGTGTCGACGGGGCGTCTGGTCACTTTCGAGAATCTGAGCACGTGGACAAGCTCGATACTTTGTATGCGCTGCGACGGTGGAATTACTATTATTCTATCTCGACTGATCTGCAGTGAGGCCCTTCTGCAGTGCCCTTGCCCCTGCAACGCCGGTGAATACCAATTCGTCTTGAATTCCAGTCTGGGTATGTCTTTACCTCCTACTGTCGCCATGCTGATGCAAACAGGAACCCATGGTGTCTTCATCGTTTTTGCTTCAGGTCTTGAACAGTCTTCGAAGCGCCAGCAAAGTTGAGCTCCTCCATCGTCTCTTCCCACAGCCTCTCCTTGATCTTGTCACCTTCTGCTGTGTACAGAACCTTGGGGTAGCTGTTGCGGTCAGCAAGTTACGGAGACGGTAGAGAGGTTTATCTTACGGTCGAATCGCCCAGTCACTGACAAAGCTGCCGTGGCTCTCCCTGCCCTTGACCACGACGGCGTCCACGTATGTGCTGGCGCCGACCTCGACCGTCCTCGCTATGACGCTCTTCAGTATGCCAAAGAACACCCCGATGAGAGACCAGCCATCGTCCTGGCCGAAAGACGTGCCTGTACATAAACCCGGGTTGACCATATTGACGATGACTCCATCCTCCGGGCTGATTTGCTCGGTAAGCTTGGCCACGAAGAAATGCTGGAGGAGCTTTTCCTGCGAGTATGCCTGCATCGCCGAATGACCTTCCGCCCGGTCAAATTGCGCCAATATTGGACCTTGGGTTTCGAGCTTGGCCCAGTGGGCTGTATCCGATGTGACAATGGAGAGAACTGCAGGTTTCGCTTGCGGCGGCCTCTTGGCTTGGAGGACGGGCAGTAGGAGGATGGTCAGCAAGACCGTTGAGAGGTAGTTGACCTGGAATGACTGTTCATGGCCCGTGGCTTCGACGATGCGGAACGTGGCGGCCTGAAGGCCGGCATTCAAGAGCACTACGTCGATATGCGGAAGCGTTTGGCACCTCTCGGCAAAGGCAGAGATAGAGTCGTACGACTCCATATCAAGCAGCCACACGGAGATATTCGCAGCGGGAAACTCATTGCGCAGCCTGTCTGCCGCCTGATCGCCCTTCGCTTGGGATCTGACCGCCAGGATGAGATGGGAGAGGCCGAGCTGGAGCAGCTGACGACCTGCTTCGAAGCCCAGCCCGCCGTTCGAACCCGTGATGATGGCGACTTGACCGGTGAGATCAGTGTCGGCTGGCACTGGTTTGCGATGTACCATCAACTGTCGATGGAAGAAACCGGCCAGGCCGGCCTCAAACGGAGCTTCACTTTCAAGGAGCGAAGACATGACGGCTCAAGCACAAGTCGCAGGACAGGATTGGCGAAGTAGATAGATATATGGATAGTGGGCGACTGAGTCAGGTTCTGATCCATTGAAGTCGCTCATCGTTTCTATAAGTAGCTCGCGTGGATTGTTGACTCGCTGCCTAGCCAAGCAACTCCATAGCTTCAACCTACCCATTGTCGCATGCGTCCGCGCGACCGGACGGAGCAACAGTGAACTGTTTCGGCGAGCGGGTTTCTCGAAGACGCGAAGTGCGCAGTGTCTTACCAATCGAGGCGCACTTACACTGTAGTAGTACTGGTATCGAGGTATGCTGCAAGGTACGCTTGAGGGCAAGTGTTTATTAGGTTAGGAATGACGCACACGACTTGTCTGACACCTGTCTGGTGTCTTGTCACGGAGTGCTTAACAATCATTTCCGCGATCCTGGCATCTCTGCCCAGCATATGCCTGTCTGGTCCATATATCTTCGGGACCGAATAATGGCAGACGCCAGCATCATATCATCGTATAATCCTCTCAGCCAGCCTCGGCTCATGAGTACTGGCGCGTAAGGCCTCGTGACCACGTACCCAGCCATGGCAATGGGTATTCCTCCTAGGGCTCAATACCGACCAAGGTAACAAGAGCCTTCAGACGTCTGTCTTCCAAGTGTCCTTTTCGAGTGGCATTATTACCAGCACGGCTGTGCCATTGCTGAAAGACTGTATACAGACTTGTCTTGTACCCCTTGTCCCTCTATGACAACGGTATGACCCGAGGTTAGAGGACAAGCACCGAATGTCACGAACCAAAGATCTGCTCGAGATATCTCAGCCAGTTCTCACCCAAGACCTTCCGCATCTTCTCCTCGCCCCAGCCTTTTCTTGCCATGGCGCAGGCCAGCTCGGCGCGCTCTGCCAGAGGCCCCAGAGGCTTGACTACCTTCTGGCTTCCCCACGGGGTCAGCCTTCTCGCATAGCCCTTGTCCTTGTTGCACCAGGCCATGAAGTCGCTCGGCCGCCCGTGACCCTCGCTCGCATCGGAACCAATGCCCACGAGGTCCTCCCCTATCAGTCCAATAACGTAGTCCAGAGCTTCAACGTAGTCGTCGATGGTGCTGTCATTCTCCTTCTCCATGTGCGGGCCGAACTGCGACAGCCCTACGAAGCCCCCCTTGGACCCGATGAGCTTGATGAGGTGGTCCGACTTGTTCCTCGTGTGTTCCTTCATCCCGGACGGCAGCACATGCGAGAAACACGGCGGCTTGCCCTCAGGCGCGTACTGGATGGCGTCTTCGGTGGTCTTGGGCCCGACGTGGCTCAGATCGACGACCATTCCCAGCTTGGCCATCTCATCGATGACCTCCCGTCCGAAGCCTGTCAGTCCAGAGTCGTTGAGCTCGGTATAGCCTGCACCAGAGTAATTCTGGGTGTTGTACGTGAGTTGCATCTTCCTGACGCCCAGGTCGCGAAAGACGCGCAAGTAGTCGAGCTGATCCTCAATGCCGGCCGTGTTTTGCCATGACAGCAGCACGGCTGTCTTGCCGGCCTTCTTCGCGGCGCGGATGTCGGCCACAGAGTGCGCCTGTACAATCAGGTCGCTGTGCTCCTCGAACCACTTCTTGAACTGCACGACATTCCGGATGCTCCCTTTGAAATTCTCCCAGATGGCGCAGGTGCACGAAACACCCGTGATGCCCCCTTTGTGCCACGACTTGAAGATGTCGCGCGACCAGTTGCAGATGTTCAAGCCATCAAAATGGATCGCGTCCGCGTAGATAGCTCGCGCCTCGGATTCGGTGAGCATGGTGTTTCTTGCTGGCTGGAAGCTTGTTTACTGTGCTGCTGTAGGCCAGGTGGCAGTCAGTCAGCTGGTTCATACACGTCTTTTTCTACAAACGCGCGGTCGCCTGGCTCGATTGCAACATCGGACAGCTATTCGGAGATGCCAGCATCGGACCTCTCCCGACGATATGGCTCCCACACCCTCCTACAGCCGAGTGCGATCCGCACCGGCTGAGGTGACCCGGACCAAGATGACGAAATCCGAGGCTTTGGATCGTCATTGGCACCTGAATGAGCACCATGTTGATTTCCAGCAATCCTATATACGCAAGGCGAGTCGACAGCAGTGTCTTCCTACCGCAGAAACATTCGATACCTACCGGCTAGGCCAGCTTGACAGGCAGACGCCTGCATACAGAATCAGCGCCGAGCCGTTCGCTAGATTGGTAGATGATCTTCACAGACCTCGTCCAGGACTCCAGGTGGACTCTCCAGGTGGAGGTCTGAACCCTGATATATGGGGGCGTATGGATCCCATATCGGCTTCTGCCCGACCGTCGGTGTGCTCGCCGATATTGCTATCACGGCTGGTATCAAGCAGACTGGGTTACGAATCAACATTCCATCATCCGGATCTCAAAGCACGTTATCGAGGCCGTCGTTTTCTTGCGTTGCGTATCTAGGCATGTGAGCCATATGAGTTGCGTATAAGACATCCAACGACGATGTAAGGAGCCTCCTGCGACCTGCAGGACATCCACCACTCATAACTGACCAGACCCGAGACCACCATGGAGCCTGACGTTGAGAAGGTTCCTACGGGCGATAAGGCTGACCCTTCGGTCAATCTCTCGCCCGTCGATTATACGCCTCCGCCTAAACGACCCCTGAAGCATAGGATTGGCGCCGTCATCTGGGACTCTCTGGACAAGACACCGGAAGAGCGCAAATTCATTGCGAAGATTGACTGGTGGATTATGAGCTACTGCTGTGTTGCGTATTTCGTCAAGTATCTGGACCAGACGAATGTGAGTCCACCGAATCCCATACCACGCGATGACTGGCTAAATAGTTGTGTCATAGGTCAGCAATGCCTACGTTTCGGGTATGAAGGAGGACCTGGTCATGGCTGGCAACGATCTCAACCTGTTGACGACCTTCTGGACCGTTGGCTACATCGTGGGCCAGGTCCCGTCTCAGCTGATGTTGACCAAAGTTCGTCCCTCGATCTGGTTGCCCAGTCTGGAGATTGCCTGGAGCTTGTTCGTCATTGGTATGGCCGGCGCCAAGAACACCAGCACGCTATGTGCTCTTCGTTTCTTTGTCGGTCTCTTGGAGGCTTCGGCGTATCCGGGTATCATGACATTACTTGGCAACTGGTACACACCGATGGAGCTGGGCAAGCGATCCTGCATCTTCCAAGCTTCCTCGAGTGCAGCACAGATGTTCTCCGGGTAAGTTCAAATCCGACCCCATGCGTCGGGCGAAACATATCGCACCTGCAAAAGCTAACTTGCAAATAGATACTTGCAAGCCGCACTATACAGTGGTATGGATGGCAGAGCCGGTCTTCGAGCCTGGCGTTGGCTCTTTGTGTTTGATGGCAAGTCAACCCCCCCTGAGGCCTTGCAGGATGGCCGCGGTGATGAGTGTGTCTGGGATGAACACCTGTCTCTAGACACACGATAACCAACCCGCAGCAGTGTAATGGCGTAGGTGTTTGCAACAGACTAACCGAATACAGGAATCATCGGCATTCCCATCGCCATGTATGGCTACTGGGCCATCCCCGACGCGCCCACCGATTCGAAGGCTCGGTGGCTCAAGGGCGAAGACCGCGACCGAGCAATCGGTCGCATGGAAAGCTGCGGCCGTGAGCCCATGAAGAAGCTCACCTGGAAGATCATCCGCGAGATCGCCACTTCCTGGCCAGTCTATCTCTTCTGCTCCATCTTCATCGCCCACGTACTCGGTATTCGGATATACTCCTACATGAACCTATGGCTCAAGGCAACACACCAATACACGACGGAAGAGATCAACATCATCCCCACCGCCGGATATGGTGCCCAGATCGTATCCACGATAATATATGCCTGGACGAGTGATGCCATTCAGAGCCGCTGGGAGATCATCATCGTCGCCTGCCTCATTGCAATGGCGGGAAACATCATCCTCTCCGTCTACCCAGAGCATAACACATCGGCGATGATGGCTGGCTGGATGCTCACCTTTCTAGAGACCGGAGCTGGTGGTCTGATCATCACCTGGATCAACGAAATCTGCTCGCACTCGGCTGAGCATCGCGCCATGATCATTGGCGTCGTCGAGACGGCAGCATACACTTTCAACGCCTGGGTTCCGCTGCTCATCTACAACACCGGTGAGGCGCCCCATTTCTCCATCGGGTACGAGATGGCCGCCATGTTTTTTGCGATCGAAATCGTGCTCACGCTTGCCATACTATACTGTTCCAAGAAGTGGCCGCAGGGAAGGAAAGGGGAGGTGGCCGGTACGCCAGGCGAACCAGATGCCGGCATGTGATGCGACACTTGCTGACCCGTGCAGGAAAGCATGCAGAGTAAGAATTAGAATGCGTCGAACCAGGATATTACATTGTCCTAATAGTTGAACTAAGGATGCGAGCTTTCAGTGTTTGACCACGCATCATTCTCTACAGTCCTCACTTTCCACGTGCCTGCAGCGCAGCCGCCAGCCCCTTTTGCATAGGCGGAGGCGCAGCCCCAGTCAACTTATCAATATCCAGATCGGGGTCACCTTTCTGTACCGCGCGCCGGTACCCATCCCGCTCAGAAATGCGCTTGAGATAGGCGAGGATGTTTTTGTACTCGCCGAGGTCGTACGGGTAGAAACTGCGCATCGAGGTGAGACAACACACAATCGTGATGTCGGCCGCAGTGATCTCCTCGCCTGCAAGCCAGGGCACCTTGGAGAGGCGCTCGTCGACGAAACCCAGAATCTGCTTGAGCTTGTCGTCATACCGCTTTAAAGTGTCGTTGTCTTTGCCAAGTCCCGCCAGCGACAACGCCAGTGTCCGCGATAGTGCGGGCGTCAAGGTGCCATTCACGAAATCTGCTCATATGTCAGTTATCACTGCGTACCAGGAGGTGAACATGAGGAGACTGCCTTACGGAACCAATACAAGTAATCGGCGTAGTTCTTCTGCCCCGGCGCGACGACGAAACGTCCCTTGCCGTATATCTGGCAGATGTACTCGACACAGGCGCTGGACTCGGCAAGCTCGACATGGCCGTCCTCGATGACAGGGGCGGCACCGAGTGGATGCAGCGCCTTGTATTCATCCGGGGATAGGATCGGTGCTCTGTCGTACTTCTTGAGGTTGTACTCGATGCCCAGCTCCTCGCACAGCCAGACGACTCGGTCCGACTGGGAGACGCCCAGGTGGTGAACAGTGAGAGTCATGGTAGTTCGTCTTCCAAGGTGATAGCAGAAGACACGACTAAAACGAGTTTGTCTCACAGGAAGTGGAAGACAGCCCAGCACAGTCCGATATATGGAGTTGCGGTTGAGGGGCTTGGGAGGGGCTCTTTTGGTCGGTGGGATACGACGTCATGGTCAAGGTCCACATACCGGATGTGGTTCGTACCGGTCGTACTATCATGTCATTTATGAAGTTGAGCCGCACCATGCCCGCACTTCTGAAAGTTGAAAGAGGCATGAGGTTGTGACGATAGAGCCTCACTTCATCTGTGCTGACGGTTGGATCCGGCGCCCCAAGAGTACCGGCATGGTTCAGCCGGTACCCGGACATCCGTGAATGCAAGCCTCGTCGGCTGTATCTGACCGACCCTGTTCACGTGTGTTTGGTAGAAGATATGCGACATAGTAGCGAATCTGCTCGGTAAATCAAAGTAGTACATTGCGTGTCTCACATAAAACAAAGGCTTATTATGCACACTTGCTTCTGGTATTGAAGAACACTATGAAGAGGTGTCGGAACCCCCTCGTTGACTCGAGAAACCCATATAGATTCTTTCATGTATTGCTAACAAGCAGCACCGGGAGCATCTCGGTCGTTCGAGCAAAGCGTCGATTGTAATATCTGTAGCTAGATAGCCTGTGAATTGCTGCTTAGTCTCGCAGCCTCGAGCACGTAGCTGCCTATGGAAAACACCTCAAAAAGGTCTGGTGGACACGTGTTTATACATGTATATATTCTCCTTGTTGACATGATATCTCCACATGTTCTAACTTCAGAAAAAAACTCAACCACCAAAATCGCATAGAAAAACGAGCCTGGTGCAAAGGGCAGAAGGACACAATTGAGCGCTTTCGCAACGATTACAGACAAACTACTTTATCGGCAAAGCCATACCATGCCCCACCCACCACTCGGCCACCCCCACCACTCGGACTGCAAAATCTACTGCCACACACCAAAACATCAACAACTTCACTTATAGCGAAATCAGTCAATTCATGGTGTTTTCGGCTGTGAAAATGTTCAATCTACTCGTCTATGGCGGTTTAGTTATCGTATCTAGGCGGCCGGCGACTCTGTCGGCCCAAACGGGTCTCCCTAGTGGCCACAATCTCCTCTTCTTCCGAATCAGAGCTTTCATCCTCTTTCCCCTCATCAGTGGTATCTTCAACAACCACAGGCTGCGCAGCCCTGCGGCCTCTCTGAGGCTGTTCTTCACTAGCTGAAAGAATATCTGGGATATTTTTGAAGCGTTTATTTGGGTTAGGGATCTTTCTGTGCTTTTTAGGGCGCATGCGGTCCAGTTCGGCCTCCAGGCTCTCGATTTTCTGGTCCTTTAGCACCATCTCTCCTGATTGCTTCTCAAAAGCATTCGCAACCTTGCGTAACTTCAGCCGAGTGGTTGGGGACTTATTTTTGCCCATATCCATGATTTGGCGGCTATTTTTGGGCGTCTGGAAGTCTTCAGGTTCTGAAGTTTTGACCTGTTCAGGCTCAGGGGTTGCGGCCTTATCCTGTTAGATTTCTGGATGTGATAACGCCTTTCTGCGGTTAATAGGCCAATTGCCAGTAGTTCTAAAGCCAGCCTGACAATTTTTGACCGTCAGGCCGTCGTTCCTTGCCTTGGAGTAGCATCTGATGAAGTTGATCTTGTCCACAGGGGCAGCATCAGTCTGAGTAGCTAACTGAGCGATATGCTTGCGGTAAGCAGCCTTCACGGCGTTAAAGGGGCCGTTATCGAGTGGTTGAAGCCCGTGGGAGGTGTGTGCTGGAAGAAAACAAAGCTAAACGTTATTCAAGAAGCACGTGGTCATGAACTCATCCTATCGCTAAATGATTAGCTATACATCTATCGATTTCAAAAAAAAAATTTAGAAAAAAAAAAAAGAGTTAATACATACGGAGGTATGGCTCTTGTGCCCATTAAGGATCAAGAGTACCGCTTTAGAATTATCATCTTCTCGTACCTGGTTGGCTTGAGGGAGGAAAACACTCTCCAACCACTCCACGGCGACTGCGTTACCCGTCCAGCCAATATCAGTGCATATATAATGCCAGGGGGCGATCTCTCTGAACTCCCGAAAGAACCACTGGGCCTGGAGATCTTTTCCTTTGAATATAATGCCTGGCGTGAGGGCCTTGCCCGTAGCGGAGATGGCCTCAATGAAGGAGGTCCAGCCGCGGCCTTGGTCGCTCTTCAAGAAGGTCTTTTTCGTCTCTGAGCTGCCTAAAACGAGACCATTAAGCCCTAGATAGGTTAGTTAATGGATAAAGGCAGCAAGGGATTATTTAGGGATTTTTCAGGGGCTTTCCTGTACCGAAACCCGCCATGATACCGCCTTTATCCACGTTGTACGTGTTCTGGGGCTTCACCTAATCGAAATCCTCGCGATGATCAAAGTACCAGTTAACAGGCTTCGGCATAAAGCCCTTAGAACGAGCGGCTTCCTGTCTGCGGCCAATTTTCGTCTTTATTTGGGGGTTACAGAGAAGAAATCCATCTATCCAGTTCTTCCCAACTGTCTCAGTGATGCCGTTTAACTTGGAGGTAGCCTGAACGATTGCCTTACGGCGCTATGCGATAGGGCGAGCCCCAAAGACTCCTGACGAAGTATCTACTGGGCTAGGCGTGTTTCCTGCTCGTCGGATAGTCTTCTTTTTAGCTGTTGCGTCTCTCCTTTCGAGGGTTTGCTGTTAAGGCGGTCAGACAGCGTCTGCTTAGGGATACCCCATTTCTGAGCGGATTTTCGGACCGACAGCTTGTTATCGGTGACATCTAGTATGGTATCTGCCATAGTATCCTCTGTATAAGAAGGCATTTCGAGAGTCACGATGCTGCGTTGCATACAAAAGAAGAAGAGAACGGGTGCATAAAGGGCAAATTTGCCCTTATGAGGGGTAGAAACCACGGGCGGGGGGACCCCTCATCGCCGGGTCTGGCTAAAAGGATCTATATTGGGATAAACCTCAAGAAAAGAGCTATTCAGCGAACTAATTACATCGCGAATCACTTCAAAACCAGTTGGATTCGGTATAAGTGAAGTTGTTGATGTTTTGGTGTGTGGCAGTAGATTTTGCAGTCCGAGTGGTGGGGGTGGCCGAGTGGTGGGTGGGGCATGGTATACTGTATTCTACAGCATGGCCGACTGGAACAAGCTGGAAGAAATAATACTGGAGTTAATTTGCCCGATCTGTCACCAGCTACTACAAGATCCACGATCCGCATGTTCCAGGGGGTACCACTTTTGCAGAGAGGTTGGCCGGTCACCTCCCTCAGACAATAAGACAGTATACCTGACAAATCTCTGGGCCTTTCTAGTGTTTATTAGCCTATTTCCAACACAGCAATGGCCCATACCACTGTCCCATGTGTAGGGAAGGGATCCAGCCTGCAGCGATGGACCAGCCTATCATGGCCGATATTCAGGAGACAATGAAGGAAATTCGGCTTAGTCTAGCTATACTTTCGAATCATTATGCCGGGCTAACATTCATCTTGTCACAGATCTCCAAGGTCTTGGATGTTTTCGCCGACCTTGCCTATCGTCCGCGTCTGGCCAAATTGCGGAAGATCCCTGTTTCAAAGCGCCGCATCTCTCTCACCCCGATGGCAATCCTGTGTCTCCTGGGGCTTTTTCTGATGGGCAATGCGTATGTTGTCTCGCGAGCAACTGCGGGTTTGGTACCCTGCTTCAAGCCTGGCGAAGTGGTTTTCGTTCAGCCGCCGCGGCTCTAAACCCTCCTCGACAGGCCATGTACAGACACTGTCTGGTCCCGGGTATCCGCGACAAGAGCTTGGCCAGAGCCGGGCCGTCACTAGGGTTCAGGGCTTAGGGGTTTGAGGACGCCTTCGCAGGTACTTATCTCGCCAGTCCCGCACCGACGGCGCTCCGGGTAACGGGCCCGAGGCTGTCAGTGAGAAGATGCCGGTGAACGACGGCAGCAGCGATTTGTTACCTCAAACACAATCCTATACAAGCATGGAACTTTATAGCCATGCGATAATCAGCGAGATAAAAGCACCCAAAAGAATTTGTATATGCATGTTTGCTGAGAGCTAAAAACTGGCATGTGAATGTGATTTGCGGACGGAACTGTGATAGTAGACGGTCTCGCGATGTACAAGAGGGTATGTACATGATCTTATCGTCCATCGAAAGGTGAAGCAACATCAGCAAGATTCTGTACAACTGGGGAGAAGCCTTGGAGGCCTACGAAAGGATTAGGAGCGTTTCAGACTCGTTTTGACTTAGAGAGAACCTACTGGAGAGACGGCGTCTTTGGAACAGCCACAAGATAAGAAACCTACGAGGGCTTACTGAGGCCGTTTCATTGATTGGTCAATTCTGACAGTGATCCTCAGGATTACGTAGCCAAGGGCCTGAGGCTCATGTTTGGATTGGTTCTATGTTCGAGTTGGGGTTTGAATCCTGGGGCATTGCCGAATGGAACAACCTCGAGTGGCCGCTGGAATCGTCGGCGTCGTTCTGGGGGTGGTCGACTTGAGGCAGGCTCTTTGCTGCTCGCACGATCATTGGTGCCAGCGACCAGGTCACCAGTGGCTGTGTAAGGCCGACTGGACTGAAAGGTCACACCGCATTGACGAGGAGGGTGAAGAGGCAGGCCGGCCACGATTCCGTCCGCATTAGGCGCCAAGGTTGAACACTGGACACCCGAGCGCCCTCCCTCTCGACACCTGCGACACCGAGGGCATCGTTTAAAAGGCTGCGGTGGGCGACCCGACTGAATGCCGCCGCTTCCTCTGTTACTCTCCTCGGCATCACAGATGAAGCATCACATCGCGTGGACCCAATGCCTGGCGTGACAGCGTCATCCGCTCACGGGCGCTCCCGCGAACCGGCTGGGCATGGAGGGCACCTCGCCGGCTGCATAAAATGGTTGCCTCACAAGGAGAAGTTGACCGTGGTGGACGCCGAGATCGACGGTGGGTGCTATCACCACCCCATCGTCATTCTGTTACCTTATAGTCAAGATGGCAAGGTGGTTTTCTTGATTGTACGTTCCTCCTGGTCTCTATAGCTATATCCCCATGCAGGAGACACTCGCAAGTCTAACGTCACCGCCGACTGCCAATAGATAACATCGTTCGGCGGCCTCGATCTCGAGAGCAAACACCCCAACAGCCAAAGAACGAGGCTTGGCTATTTGCCCATCGCACCGTGCAGCCCACACCCGGACAATGGGAAGCTGCTGCGTCTTCGAGACCCATCGGCGCAGATGAGGAAGACTTCGTATGTGAACACGGGATCACAGCGGTCTATTCGGTTGAAGTCGTTGGGCCCTATGACCGAAGGGGGCCTGGGTACTTCCTTTCGCCTTCCTCATACCAGGAGCTCATCGATTTTCCTGCTCCGAGTCCTCATCCCCTCTCGCACACCCTGCCTTCAGAACATCTTCTTCCAGCACGAATCGACAACAACCTGAGACAGGACGCAACACCATCCTCCGCCACCTACACGACCCGGTTGGAGATAGCTAGGGAATACGAGCGTCGCCATGGCACCCTGCGCCAACCTCACGTAGAGCACCAGGCCAGAGGTCCTCGTAGCACTGCTTACAGCCACACACATCACAGGAATGAACGACAGAGCCTGCTACCCATAAGCAACGATTACCCTCCTCTCTCATACGGTACTTACTCAACGTCCCCCAGGCCGATTGTGATTAGAGGTAGCTACGAGGGCCCACCCACCGAGCCGTTCGACCGGGGTAAGTTTTGGAAGAGAGTGAAGATGGCAGTCTGGATCTTGGCGGCGCTGTCCGTATCGTACGGGACGTACCGCGGCGTCTGCTGGACTGTCGACGTCGTCAAGAGTGCTGTGGCGTGGTGCAAGGACGGGGTTCGTGTGGAGGACAAGGCCGGGGATTTATGGTTATCGGTGACCAAGGCGTTCAGGTCGCTCAACTTGGTCTGATAGGTATCAGAGCCAAATCGTGCTCTCATCGTTTTTTTGGGTTTTTAGGAAACGTGATGGTCGAGTCAGAAGCGCACCCCTTGTGCTTGAAGCCATTGCAGGGGGTCCACGTTCGTTGAATGAAGCCTACGAGTCACTGAGACTTGGCAGTAACCTCAGAGTCGGGTGCTGTGCATTCTTTGATATATTGGAAATCCGTCCGATTCTCGTCGCATGTCGGCGCAAGCGTCATGCTGGCAACTTGTGTCACAGTAGCTCTACAGGATAATGTATGCACGTGCATTAGTCCTCGCCTTCTCCAATCGTGGTCCCAGCCACTTCACATCCATTCAAGATGATGGTACCTATTGCGCGTCGCAAGCCCAGGTCTGACTGATCGGCTGTCGCCAGGTATCCCACGAGATTAGGGCACTCGTCTTGACGGTAAACTCTTCATCATCAACCGTGATGGAACGATCGACGCAAGTGTGCAAATAGCTGCTGTCGTCTGCCCAGTGGCCTTGGTACATGATGGTTTGGCATGCGCAGCCCGTCGAAACCCCATTCGCTTGGTTGACCAGCACGAGGGCGAACATGGTCGAATTCGGCTGCGATGCAGCCACGTATGGGGACACCTTATACCTTACGAACATGATGTCCTCCAGAGAGAATGAAGTCGGTTGGGAAGCCTCGACACATGATGGTAGCTGTGAAGCATCCTTCGAAAGCACCTCCCGGTTTATACCCGCCGCGAAGGCAGACAAGGCGTATATCATAGTCAGTAAGCACGGCGACACAGGGCAATTTATGTTCACTCTGATAGACTTGGCTATAGGTCCGGGTACACCCGACTATCCATGAGGGAGCCATGCAATGGATGCTGGGGAGCTCCATTCCCTATATACCCATTCCTCCCGTCTAAGGGTAGACTTCATGGCCAGTGTTGGTGTTGCTATATCTAGTCAGGAGGAACTCAGAGGACTGGCAACAAGGTCATGAGCAAGGCAGTGACCCTGGTTCCGTGGCGGAAGCTGGATAACCGGGTTCACGTAGCCGTCACCACGACTTTACCCAAATTGCTGCGAAATGTGACTGGGCGCGGCATTGGTAGGGTCCGCATTGTTTCTTCATATTGATTGACACCTACCAGTACTTTCACCTCACCAAAGTATACCCTGTCGTCTGAAATGCTTCACAGGAAGCACGGTGACTCCTAGGTTGATAGCACATTAGAGCCAACAAGTGGAATAACAAACCGCAAAATCACATGGAAGCCCTGAATGGCTGCTCCTTCCACTGCACATCATTTCGTGGGCGCCATGCTTGCCAAGCTCAGCGTTTCTTCGTCCTCGATGCGGCGTCGCAAGCTCTGGTAAATTCTCGCAGAAGAGACTATGATGCAGGTCAGCACGGAGTCTTGAACTCTCAGCAGGATGGCGGCTGCTAATCCCTGATTCCGCCGGTTTACCGCTGGACGTACCTTGAAGTCATGATCCTCCAACGATCCAAACACTTTGAGGCGATCGAGTTTGAGCTGGGTAACCCTGGGGCTTTTGATACCGAATGCGATGCGCGCAAGGAATCGCGGATCGTCCCGAACGTCACAGGCATCGAGTATCTTCTGGATACCCGTGATATCAACTGGTGGGGCCGGTTTTGGCGGGAGCACGACAGCCACACCCGTCAGACAGAACGTGCAGTGTCCACATTTGGTCTTGCCGTCGGGTAGTTCCATACCAAAGTGCTCAGCTAGTGAGAGTGCAAAGCACTTGGGACTGGTCAGTAGGTCCGCAACCTGCTCGGATCTTTGCAGCGCATCTTCCTCACGTCCTTCCATCTCGTGATACAGCTTGTCGACTATGGATTCGATCTCCTTCGTTGCGCTTGGCAGTTTCTTGAGAATCTTGTAGCGGTTCACAACACTAGTAGCCTTCAACATGATGGAACCCGTATCGTGGAACTCGTTGAGCTTCCTAATGATGTCCGAGCGGAGCAATCCAGTGGTCTTCGCAGTGGCATTCACGTCGATCGTGTACCATTTTTTGGCCTTTTTGGCATCATTCAAGATAGCCTTGGCCTCTGGGGACTGGTCGTTCTTGCTGGCATAGTAATACCGAGGCATTGCTTCGAACTGGTACGAGCTATACTCAGGAGTTATGGCTCGGATCAGTCCAAAACGCAGTTCGAGCGTGGCCAAGAGGATTCCGAGCGGACTCGGTCTGATGTCATAATCACGACCGAGCGAATATTGGCTGAGCTTGATCACTTCGCCGCCACCAGGTAGGTGAACGGCTTCTTGGTGGAAAATATCTTCTAGAAGCCCTTGTAGCGATTGCCGGGAAGGCAAGTCGCCACGAGCAAAGTTCTCCCGGAGCCAGAAGTCGTCATTGCAGAGGAACATGACGCAGTGACTAGGCTTCCCATCCCGCCCAGCTCTGCCGATTTGTTGAGAGTATTCCTCAACCGTGCCGGAGATATCGTGATGGACTATGCAGCGGATATCGGCCTTGTCAATGCCCATGCCAAACGCAATAGTGGCGACCACGATCCGGATCCTGCCAGCCATGAAATTGTCTTGGATACGGGTCTTGTCCTCGGTTCTGAGGCCAGCGTGGAAAGCTGTAGCCTTGAAACCATTAGCGCTCAACCGCTCTGCCAGAGCCTCAGCCTGTTTCTGGACTGTGACATATACGAGGGTTGGCCCCGTGTGATCCTCGAGAAACTTGATTAATCTTGGAAATTTGCCTTCTTTGGTATCTACCGACTCAGCATGCAAATTCAAGTTCGGCCGGTATGGAGACGTCCGGAATGTATTGGACTTTGTGATGTCGAAGGCTTTGCAGATATCTTCAGCAACGCGTGGTGTAGCAGTCGCTGTAAGACAGATGACCCTTTCAGCCTTAATTTCTTGGACAAAACGGGCAACCTTGAGGTAGTCTGGTCTGAAGGAGTGGCCCCATTCAGATATGCAATGCGCCTCGTCTGTTCATTTGGGAATCAGCAAGGTGTTTGAAAAATGAAACAGCAGCAAACGTACCGACCGCGACCAGACGAATGCCGCCAGGAACCCATTTCATGCTTTCGACGAAGCCTTCGTTGTTCAGTCTCTCAGGAGCGCAATACAGCAGTCTGAGACGGCCTTCTCTCATGGCGGCACTGATCGCTTTGTGCTCATCGTATGTCTTGGTTGAATCAAGACAAGCAGCAGGGATGCCTCTGCGTGTCAGTGCATCTACCTGATCCTTCATCAGAGCAATGAGAGGCGAGACGACGATAGTGATGCCAGAGCCGTCTTGGCCCAAGCCCGAGCGATCAGCGGTTGCGCCTTCGGCATCGAGCTTCTCGAAGGCTATGCCGGGTATCTGGAGGGTATCGTAAGTAACTGAAAGCTTCCTGAGGGTGACCAGCGGCTGAAAGATTTGGCATAACCATTCGGAGTAAGCGTCCATGATCGATTCAGCCGCCTAAGTGGACGCAAGACGGACCTGATAGCATAGAGACTTTCCCGCCCCTGTCGGGAAGACGGCAAGTACATTGTCTCCTCGCAAAGTGGCTTCGATGGCGCCAGACTGTGAAGCTGTTAGCAGAGTCCAAGGTAGGCATATCGTGTCAAGGACAGGGGGACTGACCTGTTCATGACGGAAGTTGTCGTATCCAAACTTTTCCTTCAGGATGGATCGGGCGACAGTACCGTAAATGGCGTTGTCAACATGCAGCTTGGTGCGTTTGTTCGGACGTAGGTTGTCACCGTGGTCGCTGGGAGGTCCCGAGCGTTTGGTGCCAGCCATGAGCACATCCACATTGACATCATCGAGTAGATCGTCACCCGAGTCGTAGTCCGACATGATGTGAGGACTGCGGGCGTGAAGAGGGTGAAGAGTTATGGGATGGGTGATGGTTCTGGTAGCTGTCAGGCGGTTGGCAGGCCGGTAGTACGCAGACTGCCGTTGATGCAGGTGCTGATGGAGGGGCGTGACGCGTCGAACAGAGTTCAGGTGTACCCGAGAGAAAGTCGCACAGAAACGCCTCATGTGATCATGATGAAGCAATGAGCAGGCCTGGGGAACTTGATGGCTGCATGTACCTCTGCTTAAGGAGTCTCTGAGAATTTGGACTTGGAAGACAGGCGACGTGTGGCATATGAACATTGAAGGTTGTCGACCCAGCCCATGCCTGCTATCGAGGGTGCGTCTGTGGCTGCTGCGGTGGTCCAAGCTTTAGCGCGTTGACCCCCTAACCTAGGACACATTTGAACTCGCTCCAGCTGTCACCTACCCCTTTCCAGCTACTCAATGTCAGAACGCCTCGACTCCCACGGGTCCCATACCGAATGTATCTGGGAATCATTTTGGAGATTTTTGGTCTGCACGGCAGATAGTCGGGGGGTTAGCCAAGGCTACCTCCAGCAGCTGAGCCTGTCTTCGTCTCGTTAACTGGGGCACAGCAGCAAATCAGGGGCAAGCAAGAACACAACATTCTACCTACTTTACTATACATGCATAGAGTATTACAAGCACACATGTAGCTTACTTACTGTACCTATAGATTTCTTTTTTTAATTTTTTTTTTCAATATAGATTTGATGTCCCAGCGGACGGACGACCACCGAAGCCAGAGCACACATCAAGGTGACCCCTGACCCTTGGACAGCGGACCCCCTATTTCCTCAGAGACGGATGTTTCGCGCATGACGGGAGTATACTGGTGGCGGAGGCCACTCGCCCCTTGACTGTATGTTCGGCGTGGGCACAGACCAGATCCTCGAGTTCGAGGTGGCTATCGCCGCTCGCAACGTCGTGACTGCATCGGCCACGTAGAAAGAAGACCTGTACCGGGCACTGAGCGGCGGTGACGTGAAAGTCCATGGCGTCGCAACATGCGAGACGTTCCGGACGTACCCCGATGCACCAGTCGCAGGCCTAATTCTGTACATCGATGCGAGCCAGACTACCGAAGAGGAGTACTGGACGGCGGTAAAGAGAATCAGCGCCTACAATGGCGTGAGTCCTGCTTGGCGCAGCGGTGTCGCGCTCCTGGGCTTGCTCAAGGACTGGAATCACGCCGGCAGACTGTGAGCAGATGCTAGCTGATGGGTAGGGATGGTTGAGCAAGGAGATTCGGCCCAGTCTGGAGGCGGCAACCCCCCGGATCTGGGATTTACGTGAACGAGGCCGGTGACGATGGATCAAATTGGTGAGACGTGATTTTGGCGAGAATTCTTATCAACTGCTAGAGGTGAAGGATGAAAGGGACCGCGAAGGTATCTTTTACGCTTTGGAGATGTCGGGTCGCGAGGAGTGGCATATAGAATCCGACGGAAGGATGTGTAGGGCTGGTTCCTGAAAACTGAAGTCTAGACCCCTTTAGTAAAGGTTCTTCAGCTGCGTACACTATACCTACTTACCTAGGTAGGATACCTCGGAAAAGCTGCGTGCGTCCAAACTACGCTCCAGTCATTAGCTGGCTGCATGTGCTTATGGCACCGTCTGGTACAAGTTGCAAACTGTACATCTTGTCGGGAGTGAGCACTGTGGCATGAATAGTAAGGTAGGTACCTATTTATTCCCAACTTGTCCATGATAATAGCATAATCCGTACGTGAAGTGAGTTGTCTGTTGCCTGAATATCGGTATAACCTAGAAAACACATAAAATGGACGTTCATCACTAGACAAGGACTTATGATAACCTTTAGTCGTAAACGTTTACAATCGTCAAGCAGACATGGTATTGACTAAACTAGACATATAACAGAGCTTGTTGCCTGTCAACTCCTACAAATAAACGACGCCTCGTGAAATGCTTCCCGAACTCGGATGCCCCGAACCCTCAACGCCTTTTCAGACCGACCATGGTCAATGCTCGCCAGAAGATGTGCCTCCGCAACTGTATCTATGCTCGAAGAATAGCTATGCTCGGAGAGGTCAAAAGCTCATGATGCTCCATCACCTAACTCATACCAGAGCTACGCTTCCTCCGCCGAACCCCAGGGTGCCACGCGTAGAGAGACCGCCACGCCAGACCATGCTTCGCTGTAAAACTGATTTCATCTGCGGAAACGCCCACAACGCAATGCTCATTATCATGCAGGTATGCCATCGATTGGTGTAAAGTTGGGCCAACCAGATGTGTGCCAGACTCGTGACGCCGTAGTCGCGAGCCCGCAGGTGTTCAAATTAGTGAGAACCCCGCCACCCTGCCGGGTGGGAAGAATCTCGATTCGATGATGGGGAGGGAAATGATGTTGATATGGTGAGGAGAGCCTTCGTCAGAGTAGGCAAGTGTTACCGACTGCCAAAATATACCATATATTTACGGCTGATGTGCCTCGGGGACGCAAGTCAGTGCCACGTCGCAGCCTAGGCCGAGACAGAACAGCCGTGTTCGGGCTCGTTGCTCTCGCAGTAGGCAACGAGTAAGCACTTAGGGTTCTTCTTCCATGATTCGTTGAACCTCAGGCGCGTTGAGCAGGATCCGTTTTCCAAGCTCCTCAGGCGCTTTCCCATCACGAACGGCGCCAAAGTCAAGAATCTATTACGCGGCACGTGTTAGTCCGAGTACAAAATTAGACAGATGCTTCCCTGAACTCACCTCGACGTATGTCAGGTTATCACGCTGTACGGCAGCCACACAACGTCGCTCGTCGAACCGAACCTGCCAGACCCCACTAAGATCTGTGAGCAGGTCGTCGATGCATTCGCCTGTGCGGATGTCCCACATCTTGAGGGTACGGTCGCTACCACTAATAACTTTGCGTCCATCATGCTGGAAGCATGTAATCGCACCCGTATGTGCCGTCAGCGTTGATTGACATCGTCCGCTCTCGGGATCCCAGATTCGCAGGGTGCTATCCGCCGCCGCCGACACCAGGCGCTCCTCGCGGAGATCGAGCAGGCCAACAAGTAGGGAGTGGCCTTCGAGCGTATGCAGAAGGGACCCGGTTTCCAGATCCCAGATTTTGACGAAGCTGTCCATGCTGCCCGATATGCAGCGGTTCCGAGCAACATCCAGAACCACACTGTACACTTTCTGCAAATGGCCTTGCAAGACGTGCACCGTTTCTCCCGTACTAATACGCCATACGCGGACGGTGTTGTCGTAGCTCCCGCTCACCAAGGTGTCGGCATGCGCGGCGATAGCCCGTACCGAGTGACTGTGACCTTGGAGGGTACGGATGAAGTAAGGGCAGTCAGCATCGTTGGCGGGCGGGCCGGTCTGGATATACCTTCTCGAGCCGGCCTCAGGGAGGCGCCACACGCGCAACTGACTGTCCCGAGATCCGGTGATGATCAGGGGCTTCGAAGGCATCATAACGGCCTTTCCGTTCTCGACCTTTCCAGTGTCGGTTGGCATCAGGATCTGCAGGCATCGGACAGTGCTAGTGTGACCATAGAAGACCTGCGTACAGAGGCCTTTCTCGATGTCCCACACTCGGACGGAACGATCCGTCGAGCCAGACACCAGTACATTGCCCTCGTATTGCAGGGCCCAAACGCCGCCCTCGTGCCCTTCCAGACGTTTGCGGAGCTTGCCGGTCTTGGTGTCGTAGACGTGGATGAGCATGTCATCACTGCCGGTAATGATCTTGTCCTCGTCAAACTGCAGGCAGGTGATGACGTGTCTCGGATGGGCGGCGAACGCGACGTGACTAGGCTTGACTTTGCCGCTGGTCCAGCTCTTGCGAATCATGTAGTGACGTCGGTAGAGCGATTTGAAGAGATGGAGCTTTCTCAAGCTTGCCAGACCGATATGAGGGTCGGGCACGGCGACGGCGGCAGCATTGGCAGCTGAGATTGGCCCTTCCGATCTGTGTACTTTCGCACCCGTATATGTCCTCTCAACCTTGACGTTGTCCTGGGCACTGGCCCTTCGCTTCGACCGGTCGGAGCTGAGGTTGTTCAAAGCTCTCTTACGCTTGGAAGATCGCACCTTCTGGGGCGGCGTATCAATCTTCGACGCAGATCGAAGTTCCGTCTCCGTCTCGGTGAGTCGGTTCTGCAAGCTGTAATCGCGCTCGCAACCCTCCGGGCCCACGGGATCTTGCCAGCCCCAACCCTCCTTGATGGCCCTGTCAAGCTCGCCTGGAGCCAGAGCGAAGCCGTCCCGGTCGAAAAGCTCTTTCCAGCCGGTCTCGTTGCTGTCAATGACGCCTCGCCAATGTTTTGACACCTGGGCTGCACAACAAAGGTCGCGGTGGTCAAGATACGATAGTATATGCAGCGTTAGCTCCAGTGGCAGATCCTTCAGGATATCGCACTTCAGGGCCGGGTTAACGACGTCGGCAACGAGGTGTAGAGTCTTTCTAGAACAGCGGCGTAGGAACTGATACATCATGAAAGACTTCATCTCAGCCGGCATGGCGTCAAAAGACTCCAACATCAAGCGACTGTCCATGAAGGTGGTCGGACTCGGAGAAGCATCTCCGTACCGCGTGACGGCAGAGGATGGACCCAATTCATCGTCGATGAGGTCCTGGCTGTCTTCTCCAAGGGTGACAGAGATATCCTCGTCAACATTACCATCGTCATCCCCACGATCGGCCGGATGTAACTGGGATGCTTGCAAAGTCGGGGACAGACGTGGGCTTGGGAGGCTGGCGTCCTGGGCAGCGATGGTGTTGATGGGTCTTGTGTGGTGTAGCGCTCGGATCGACTGCTGCAGAGACTCGTCGGCATCGGTGAAGGGCTCGGCGTCTGCATCAGTAATGGGGGGAGTAGCCACATTACTGCTGAAGACGGTATGTGAGTCGCTGCCAGAGGGACTCGATATGTCGAAGAAGGATTGTGACTGGGTGGGATCGGACTCGGGCGTCTCGAAGGAGTCGAGGTTGGATCGGCGTAACTTCAAGGGACGGTTTGAGTGAGCAGATGGAAGTTCCGATGCATCGGGGGTGACGGGAAATCCACTGGTAGGTCTAAGAGCTCTGTCCTTGTCCTTGTCGCCACGAGAAGTGCTGAAGGCGCGCCGTAACTTGTCAGTGACGGCATGAGGAAGAGCCGGGACGCGGGATCGGATAGATGACCTCTGAGAGCTCTTCCTGACTGATCCGCTGACGATGGGCGAGGCCGATCTTGAAGCCATCTTATGGGCTTTTCGGGAGGACGACTGGGTGGCGTAATGCTTGGAAGCCCGTCGACGAGCATCGACATGGGACATATCCAAGACGGGCTCTGTCTTGAGCTCTTGACTCGATTCATCACTAGTGAATTGCAGAGACTGGAATGTGGCGTGGTTAGAATCTAAGACAAGGGAATCCGGATGGCAGAGGAAACGCACGTCTTGGCACTCCAGGCCATCGTCGCCATCGTCGCCTTCCTCGTCGGTAGCAGCCGGCCAGGAGAGGAGGTCGCGATGACCATGACCGACGTCGAAGGTAAAGTTGGCCAGCTCGGGAGGGGTGGGCTTCTGGGCCAGGGGAAACTCCTTGGAGTCGAGGGAGAGGAGCGGTCTCGACTCCCTTACTAAGAGAGGCGGGTAGGATCGTTTGGTGGTGGTCGTCGTCGTGATGGTCTTGGTCTCGATGCACTCCGCGAGGTCGAACTTGATGCGAGGGTGGGGAGAGAGGGAATCTGGGTCATCGAAGTTGACGGACACGGTGGTCTGACCGGAGCGAGGCCGTCTGGAGTCCATCCTGTCGTGGGGCGACCGCGCAGGTATGCCCATTATTTACGCTGCCGTACTCGAAATCATGTATACCGAATCAATGGGAAGGGAGTCTTGACTCGTGACGCGGTGTAAACGAGAGGTTCGTGATAGGAGACGTCGGTCGATAGGAGAGCAGGCAGATGGTAGGGCTACCCAACCTGACTGGTGCTGACTGTCTGACTGTCTGACGGCAGGGATGGATGCGAGCTGTCCAGTGTCGGATATCCCAGAAACAGGACGGAATCGGGATCAGAAAGAGAAGTGAAAGTGACGTGAAAACAGACGCGTACAGTCGTGACAGCGTATCGGGTATCTCGTATTCTCGTGGGTTTGGTTTGGAGTGGCGTTCTTCGCGCTCTGCAGCTGGGGGTGCTTGTGCTGCCGCTATGTTCGTTCCGATTAAGGGCCTGCCTTGAGCGCGTGAAATGCGAGGGTGCAAGCCAGCGTGTGTGTATATGTTTTGTTGTCGGCTCGAAGGCCTGCACGCGGTGATCGAGAGGGTATATGTGAGGGTGGGATTATGTGAGTGGTATGTACAAACAAGAGGGAGAGGGGAGTGTACACGGGCAGTCAGTATTCATTGGGATGTTTGTGATTGGGAAGTGCACCACCTGGGCAGTTGACCAGACAGACGTCGGGTGAGGCTTAGACGTAGGCGAGTGCACTAAAGTCGCATCCTGCCACCGCTATTATCGGCTACAGCCACTAATAACCTAGGTAGGCACCTGTGAGGGAGGCGTGGAGGGAGGGGCTGATAGATTCAACCGTGGAACCTTGGAAGGATCAGATTCTCGTGAGGTGGGTGCACGCTGGCAGGCTGTCACGGGTGCAGGTTGCCCGTGGCCCGTGGGTGTCTCTGCTGTTTCCAGGTGCGACAGCCCGGCTACATGTGCGGTGGAAGTACGGGATGTATACCTCTAGACTAGGGGCGATAGCGCAAGGGATGACCGTACAGTGACCGTATCTCACCTCCAGCTTAACGCACCGGCGTCGGGGAGCGCGTTGCCGATGTGGCTGGCTGGGCCGAAGAAGCACAGTGCCGCTAGGTTACGTTCACTCGTGACTCTACACAGCTGCATGTCACCAACTAGAAACTTCAACATCGAGGAGGGGCCAGGGACGACTGATCACCCAAAAGGGCTGACAGATCAATCCGTGTACATGTTAGGTAGGTAATATAAAACTACAATCTTCAAAATGGGACAATCACGAGACTGCTGCTGTTGAAATGGTTTACGGCCGCCTACCACTTTAGTAGGGCTACCTCAGGCCCGTCCAAGGGACGCGTTAAGTGCATCTAGACTGTCTATAGTTAGGAAGTACTCGAGTAAGAATTATTAGTAGTTGTAAACAAACCAAAGAATACTTTATCTAGGTGTCTTTCAAATGAACAAAGCTTTCAGTTCTCCATAAGTTATACCTATTTCAGTAGTTCGGGTTTGCCTCCCTTTATGCCTCCGTTGACACGTGCCGTGGTGTTCGGCTTTCCCGATGGACTGAACAATTACCTAGGTACCACTTGTTGGTCTCTCTTCCCCTCTGGAGAGTTGGTAGACAGAGATAGGGGCCGCTAGTTAGCAAGTCTGATTGTGTTCAAGTCCTATGACTTGTTCTACCGTACCTCCTATGTATGTGACCTGTGCCCCATGGAGGGGGTATGGCGGCCGCGGCTTGGAAACTTGGAAATGGTAAGCGGTGTCAACGGTTGGTAATATTGTCATTTATCAGTGTATCACCTGCAGGTAGCATTCATCTCTACGTACAAATGCAATTCTTGGCCTCGAGTGAGGGACTTGGAAGTTCCAGGTCGTTCAAGTGCACGTATCACCTTGCAACATCTTGCAACTTGCAACTTGCAACTTTCACAACCAAGATCACAGTGTGGATATGCACGTTGCGGCACACATGCATCCATGTCATGTGCGGGGTCGACAGTGCTGACCTGGCATGTAAACCATTCCCTGTTGCTTTGCTAAGCTTGTTTAGGCCTGTTATGTCTTTTGACGCTTATAATGACTATGCCAGATCTAATAATGCCCATCATAAACCCAGTCTCGTTAAAGTTATAAATATCCGCGTCTTAGATACCATGTTTTGTGATTGCTGTCGCAACTTGGCAAAACCACGTGTGATATGTATTTGGATCTTTGTTCAAGACCCTCGGGTAGTCCATCCTGCGATGAAAATGCGTCCGGAGGCCTAGTGTACGTTTGATGAAGTTTGCCGTCCAGTTCTTTTCAACGCGTTTAGCCCCACATACCGCCAATAATTGATTCAACATATCTTCAACATACGTATACTGGTGCAGAAATGCTCGCGCATTCAGGTCGAGTATAAAGGAGCAAATAGTATTCTCTTTAAAAACCGTAAGTTTTAAAGAATTGAGCATATTATTGCATCATGATGGTCGGCCGGCAATTCTCTAAGCCAGTATAGAGATTAGTAGGTAGAAAATTTTAGTAAATTTTTGAACAGAAATATAAGGGTCTTGTTTTTTAGTTTGGATAACTAGCTACATGTCTGATTTGTTATAACACGGTGCCATTGTCGTGGGTAGAAGAATGCTGGTTAGAAATTGAAAGTTTGAGAGGTTCGTAAAAGTGTCACACTCGCTTGTGGGTCCCGCTTGCTTGTGACCTACATTATATAATGTAATAACTTTATAATTATAAATTTCATAATAATTAATATATTATAGCCCTTTATAACACACTTAGTACCTAGTTTGCTAAGCAGCCTTTCGTTACCTGATCTTCTGATTGGTTCATTTTCCAGGCAAAGTGGGTCTATTTCCCTCTACATCCCGATACCTCAGGCCGCCTGACAGACTGGGCTTTTCCGAGGTAAAGTGTTTGAGCGTCTGGCTGTTCAGATCCAACACTACCGTACCTAGACCACTTGCACCTGGCAGACCTGACGATCTCGGCTCATGAGAGGTGCATTCTTCCTCCACGCAAAGCCGAGATACAACAGGTACCTACTTACCTTACTTTACCTTTACCTAGGTTTCCACCTCAAGCGTGGCTCGCGGTCAGCTCATATGTTAACCTTGGATGTTGGTCGTTGATGGTCCCTGCTCGGGCTGACCTGATGAAGACCACAGCGGTGCCGAATGTTCGGGTCGTGAACAAATGCAATTGTGGTCCATGTGAAACTTATCGTCTCGGGGGTAACTTTAAGTTAGGCGCCGGATCACTTCAATGTTGGTTGGGCCTATGCGCGCCGTTATCACCATTCCCGACTCACTGCTACCCGACCATCAGTGATCACCAACAACACTCCTTAGACTATCCAACAGTCACACTGCATGGTATGCCACTCTCATATCCTTGAGCTTGAGACCAACGCCAACCTGCTGCTCATCACGCCAATCAAGCAGCAATCGGGCTTGCCCTCCGCTTGAGATGAGTGCTTACTCACTTCAGAACATGCTCAAGCCTTGACACTGTGCATACACAAACAGCCGCATTATTTCAGCATTTCTGAAGCAACTGGCGGTTGTGCACCAGTCGCTGCGCCCATTCCGGCAGTCCGGGTGCATGTTACATCGGCTGCTTCCCTCCATCCCAACACGGCCCCGAGATGCTTCATTGATCAAGAACCGAACTTTCACTCCCACGTTAATGGCATGCCAGTCCAACGACCCCCCCCCCTACTTCAATGGAATAGGGAACCAAGTATACTCGCCGTTTGGGAAGACCGGTGGTGTCCAGGGCTTCTCTCGCGATGTTCGCCCCCTGGATTCGTAATCACTGGTCAGTCAAGTTCGGGGTAAAGTTTACTTAAATCAATATTACTGTTATTAGCCTCAACCGGGACTGCTTCAGTAGTGTTCGTTCATTCGGTATACCAACCAACCATGTGTGCCTTTGACTTGTACACAGCCAGATACCGAGACCCGGGATGCAGTGGGTTGATAGAATTGGCCTGAGCGTATGTATGGTCTGTGTATTTGTATTTCAACTCCATTTCAAATCAAAAAACACCTTGGTGGCACCGGAAGACGCCTGCTTACCACCTGTATATACCGCCTTCAGTAGGTCGAGTGGCTTTTCCAGACAGTGGCGACTTGCCTCGTTGAGCGTGCCTGAATATGGACTTTTCAACAAGTCAAGCCCAGTAGCTCCAGACTAATGTGGCTGCTCATGAGCAGCTGAACACCTGACGGAATGAGTCTGAGCTCTTTTCCTCGACGGTGAAGAGCAGGAGGTGTACTTCCGGGGGGGGTCAGGGGATTCAACCGCCAGGTCGGATTGGCTTGTTGTGAGATTTTCACTGGTACGGAGAGCTGAAGGCCATCTGGTAAGAGATTGAATCAAATAACTGACTTAGCCGACCTGGCCAACATCTGTAGGCTCATACCCTCCAAATGTCAAGGTACGGGGCCAATGGCGTTCTTCGGGTCCGGGTGGCCGCCGCCGCCGCTCCCGCCCCGAAGTCTCAGGCCGGCTTGTCCATTATCGTTTCTGCGGGCAGCAAGAATCGAGTAATCCGCCGCCACGGGGCGCCTCTACCCAAAGACAGAGCTTCGCGCCAGATAGCATGGAATCAGTATGCTCCCCTGGTGCTACCCAGGCAACTGGGCTTTGAGACCAACGGGTCAAGCGGTCCCGGGACCGGCCCTTCAGCTTTGGTCCCTGTCGTGCATCTTCCACCTTGTCCAAAGAGACAAATCTAAAGTATCTAAGCCTTCTTTTGCCTCCACCACCCCTTGGACCTCCTCCTGGACCTAGGCTGCCGGCCTCAACCTACCCTTATCCCCGGGCCCTGGTGGCAGCAGCAGCAGGCCTCATGGGCTGAGCTACCCTCTGGAATCCAAGTCCGGCCAAACAGTCTGTCTAAAACCCCCTTTTATCTACGAAGGTTGTTACTCCCTTCTAGTAACCCGCACGTTCATATCCGAGATATTCCAAATGCGGGTATTGACAGCCTTCCATGGATTGACGGGATCTGGAATGGTGAAATCAAAGCAGCGAAACAGCTGCGTTGATGCGAATTAGCTTCATGCTCATGTCCCAGCAAGTCGCACATTGGCCGTACGTCGAAGAAGGTTTTGTGAAGCTGGAGAAGCGCGAGCCCCTTTCCGGGGCATTCCCGGCGGCTCGGGCCTCCGAACCTAGTCGTCCGTCGTCAGCACTAATGTTGAGGATAGAAACTTGAAGGTCCAGACCACGCATCTCGTCTCACAGAACTTACACAAACCTAAGAGTCTCCTCTCTCTGTTTAAATGTGTCCACATCGACTTCAATCCAGCGTTCCGGCCTGAACAAGTCGGCATCCTGGCCGAATATAGACGTGCTGCGCAATGCGGGTTTGACCGCAAGGTCAACGTTGGTATTTGGCGGTACGGTGAGCCCACAGAGTGTATCAGTCACTGCGGCACTCCTGGGCATCATGGCGACGGGTGGGAAGATGCGCAGCGCCTCTTTGACGACGGCTTCGAGATACAGCCAGTTCTTGATCTCGCCTTCGGGAAGCACGGCGGTTTGCGATATCGCCTTGGACCTGACGAAGTGGTCGATCTCGCCCTGCAGTTTTTGATACGCCCCCGGGTTACTGAGAAGATACAGCATTGTAGCACGCATCGCGGTAGCCGCCAGTTGCCCGACAGTTTCAACCTCGGCTTCTTTCTCCGTCAGTCCGGCGGCGACCCAGGCGCCCAGGACATCGCTTCTTTGCTTCTTATCCGGCCCGTATCGCTCGGAGACGGCTGCTCGGGCGATCTTGATGATGGGATCGAAAAACCCTCCCTTTGGCAGAAGCCACTTCAGCGACGGGCTACTCATGAAGGCCTGGAACAGAGGCATGACGCACAGGGATGCGAGGACGCGCGCAACGTTTTGGGTGACTTTCAGATACGTATGAAAGTCACTGTCCCGCTCTAAACAGCCAAAGCAGTTCCGAAAGGCAAAGCACGATATGACATCCATGGTCATGTACATGGCCTTTTCGCCGAAATCCACAGGCCGATAGCCCGAGGGCGTCATGATATATTTGTCCTCGATGAGCTTTTCCAGCTTCAGCACGTGTTCGTCGACCATAGCCTCGACGCTCTCAACGCTCCTGCCTGTGTAGCCGCCCATCAACATCCCCCGCAGCTTATCATTGGCCTTTCGATCGCGCACGCTGAAGAGGCTGTCCTTGCCCGGTGCGCTGCGAAATCCAAGATATGGCGTGCCACGGCCCCATACTGACCGCACTCCGCTGATCCTCTTGATCTCGCCCGGGTCGCTGACGGACAGGAAGTCTGGGGCTAGAATGACAACAGGGCCGTACTGTGCGTGTAATTCTTGAATTTTGTCCATGTAAACCCCGCCGTATATTTGTTTGATCAACCAGATCCGGCTCCATCGTGCCCAGAACGGCCCGGGTATGTGACGGAGACGTTGCCATGCGCCCACGCAGTTGGCTATGTAGTAGCATACGAGGAGGAAAACGACCGAGGCCGAAAGGCTAATCTCAATGTTGACCATTTCGCAAGATCTGGAAGGAAAGCCCTGTGCTTGGTTGTGAGTGCAGGTGCTGCGGCACGTGGCATCAACTCCGGAACGGGAATTTTACAGAAGCCAAGAAACCGGTTGAGGTTCCTACGTGCGAACCGTCGTGAAAGAGTCGATGTTGGGTGCAGAGAACAAGGCGATCCTCAAGCCTCCGAAATCAGCACGCAAGAAGTATGCCACAATCGAAAACCCCCGCCCCAAACCTGGTTGTTATCCCGGCCCATTACGATTGTAACGTCCGGTACTATCACGAATGTGATCCGCCAAGCAAGGGTCCCGGCTGGTGCTGGGAATCTTTGAGCTGCCGCTGCATGAAGGCGGCTACAGACGACACCCGAGTGGCCTCTTGACAGCCCTTAAAAATATGCGGTGCCACTTTCCAGCGCTGGCTGGCTTGAAGCTCTCCTGAATACGTCTCGAACATAAGACCGTCTTTACCAGTGCAGTGATCGACAACGATGGGCTGAACGACACCTCCAGCAAACAATGTCGCTCAAATACCACTCGTTGGCGTTGCCATCGGAGCCCATCGAGCAAGCTCGAGATTCGACGTCGCAGAAAAAAAGAGCTTCTCGTGAGCAACGACGCCGGGATAACGAGATCGCAGTGAAGGAGTGTACGGGGCCAGGTCTTGACCCGGGCCGCAAGATAGAGGCGGTGGTCGATGGGGATTCTCAGCACAGCTTTCAGGATCACGGTTCGCAAGCTGCAGTCCCAAAGGAGGGGCCAGGTGTGCCAGGAGCTGTGTTGCCTCCTGCCACTACCACCGAGCGACTGCATCCTCTGGTCCCTCCGCCAAACAGCTGGAACGGGACAAACACACCCGTCTTCGACCAGAAGCGACTGCTTGATTCGGCTCTGGCCCCCGAGCAGGCGGAATGCTTTGTTGAGGAGCCTGACTCGGTATAACGGCGGGGCCATATAAATGGGACACCCCCATATGTGGAACAGCTTTCACACCAAAAGGCTACACTTCCACCCACCGATAACTCAATCAGAATTGAAGCTCTAGATAATCTATATAATGCGTTTGGATTGAATTTTCTTGGAGTTTTCAGCAATATTATGTATTCTAGCGGTAGTGCATAGGCTGGCGGATTGCGTGGCGTGAAGATCGCATCACAATGGGCTCGTCGGACTCCTCATCCGTGCCATCACCCCCTTCGTCAATAGCCACCCCTTCATCCTCAGAGGGCCCCAATTCCTCTGATTCTTCTGAATCTGACTCCAGAGAAGGTTCAGATATTGATCTCTCTGATTCGTCAGTATTCAGGTTCTGTAATTCACGCATAACTCGTTATCGCTCTTCCCGCTGTTTAATGGTAGCTCATGCGGCCTCTATATGCTCAATTTGCTCCTAAATAACGTTTCCAATTCTCTAAAGCCGTTGATCAGGCTCTTCTTGGGGTGTTTTACGGCGCTTCTTTGGCTGTAGACGCTTGATTTTGTCGTCTTTTGTCTCTAACAGCTCCCTTACAAGCGCTAGCTCAACCACCATCTCATCGTAGGACTTCGCAACCGAGCGGACTGCTGCTCGCTGCTTAGGGGTCTAATAACTTGTGATAGCATCAGGGCTATATCTTGCCCTGATTTAGGGGCTTCCAGTGCTTCTGGGGTGCTCTCGGGGTTCATTATAGCTGCTACTGCTGCTAGAATCTTCCCTGCCTTCACTACATGCTCATTCGCCAGCGTTTTTCGTCTATTTACTGGCCAAAGCCCAGCAGTACGCCATCCCGAACGCACAATAGCCGGCGTAACTTCATCGCGAGCTTTCCCTAGGCAAGAAAGAAACTTAATCTTCCCAATAAGGGCCGAATCATTAAACTGGCCAAGCTGGGCGATCAGGCGGCGGTAGACGGCTTTGATAACCAAGAAAACGGTCAAATCTAGCGACTAGAAGATGTGAGACTGCCCCTATTAGCGGAATAACTACTAGTTGATCATGTAACCTACCATATGGGCAGGAAAAAAGCTCATATACACATTATTTATGTAACAGAGATACATAAACTCGTCTGAGCAGTGGCTGCCATGGCCATTAAGCACCAATAGGCAAAAATCATCAGGATCTTCGGGAGCAGTATCAGATAAATATACCTTGAGGCTAATTAGCATGTAGTTATAGCTAGTAACTCAGAAAAAACTTGCCTTCTCCAGCCAATGCAGCGTAATCTCGTTTGAGGTCCAGCCGTTGATGGAGTACGTTACTATCCAGTCTGCCATCGCGGGATGCTCCTTGATAAGCTGCTCTTTGAACCATTACATTTGGATTGACTTTGCCTTAAAAATAACCAATAGCTGGAGCTTTTTCCCAGTGACAGTGATCGATTCTACCACAGTAGTCCACGTGCAGTTGTCATTGGACTTGACGTTGGCCCCTTTTGAGCCAGAACTGCCTATTATAAGGCCATCAGACCTGATCTCCCAGTCAGCCATCCAAAAACCACTTGGATTAGACAATTCACGTACTAACAACCCTGCATAATGCCGTACTTATTGATATTTGCCCAGTTTTCGGGTTTGATAAAGCCAAAATCCTGTGACGGCCTGCACAGACCTTCCCACATGACAAGTGGATACTTCCCAATAGGGGAAGGATCTGACCAGAGGATCCCCTTAAAGGGGCAACCTCCCACTGTACCTATCTCTCTCTCTCTTCCTTTCCTCTCTAGTCTTGATATTCTCGTCAATAGAGTAATAGCTGCTTGCTGCAGGCCATGTCCCAGCTCCTCAGTATGCTCGCCGTGACAAATCCTCGTAACGGTCATGGAAGCCATTGACGTTCTCGGGCGTGGCGGCATTGATACGCTTGTAGTCAAGCTTTCGTCCCATCTTGGTCTTGATCTCTGGGTGCCTTCGGATGAAGTTTTGCGTGTATTTGTTCCCAAGATGATCCGGTTTTCCCTCGGATTGTAGGATCTTCTTGATGATGTACCTTAAATTGCCGTGAGTTGGCGTGTGGCCGGCCTTCTCTTGATATAGGATCCATAGAATAACCTTCTTTTCCTGTTCAGGGCTGATCTTCTGCCTATTGTGAGCGCCCTCGTGATTGGTCTGTGTCTGGGTCATCGCGGTGTCTTCAACCTTGCGAGAGAGGGTTGATTTCGGTACTCCATAGCGTTGGGCGGCCTTACGGAGGGATAGATCATCGTTGTTCACAGCGGCTATCGCCTCTACGAGGTCTTCTGGAGTGTATGAAGGCGGCATTTCGACGTATTGAAGCCTCAGACGCTTACAGAAAAAAAGGAAAAAAAGAAACGCAGAACTTCTGCTAGGTTAGAGGGGATGGGGGCACGGGTCCCATTACCCCTCAAATAGGCCCGGAAGTGCTAACTTCCGACCCCTACCGCCGCCCATCCCGTCGCGATGGACCTAATCAAACCTGAATCATAGAAAACACCAAGAAAAGATGATTCAGACGCTGTACTTACGGTATCTAGGGCTTCATTGGCTGTGGAGATATGTATAAGTGAACATAGTGATGTTGGCTGTGAAAACTGTCCCACATGTGGGGGTGTCCCATTTATATGGCCCCGCCGTTATGAGTTCGAGAACGGTAGGATATATAACAGGGCGGGATACCTTCTTCCCAAAGACGCCGTACTCGAATTCTGCCCCTGCGAGAAGAGATCCACGAGTACTGAGTCGCGTAACAGGCCGAGCAAGACCGCATCGATTTCCAGCACGCTGTCTTGTCGATGCTACTGGAAAGGAGGCTCTATTTGGTGCCTCTGGTAAGATCACCGGAACATGTACTGGACGTCTGCACGGCCACTGGCATCTGGGCTATCGACTTCGGTAAAGCAGCCCGCCCGTCTTGGGGCTGTCAACTAAACACACTTCTGGAGCTGACACCTACCCACAGCCGAGCAGCACCCAGCGTCACACGTAGTAGGGGTAGACATAGCCGCAATCCAGCCGCTCCCACCCCTTCCAAATGTCGAGTTCGTCAAGGGTGACGTAACAAAGGAATGGCTTTACCAGTACACGTTCGACTATATCCACCTTCGGCTTGTGTACCTCAACTTTGCACATCCCAAGGAAGTCATGCGCCAGGCATACAACAACCTCAAACCCGGCGCCTGGATCGAGTACCAAGACACCTACGGCAAGGTCCGCTGCTTGAATGGGGATGTGGGCAAGTCACCCCCTCCCTTCGGTCCACGTATTCGCCCAACGACGATCTTCTCGCTAAACTTGCGCCAGGCCCTGCCGTGTCAAGATGGTGCGATCTTGCCTTTCAGGCGCTCAGCGTATCCTGGGACACAACCTGGAAGTAGCCAAGCACTACAGAGAATGGCTCATCGAGCTTGGCTGTGAGGCGGTTTCCCACACACATCACACCCGGAGATCGAGATGCACTAACCTCGTTTCGTCGCCGTCGAAGACGTCCGGGAAGCCAAGCTCGCATGGCCCTGCAACCGCTGGCCCTCGGACAGGAAGTACCGGCGCATCGGGCAGTGGTTGCTCCGCAACTACATGGAGGGCGCGTTCGGCATCACGTACAAGCTGCTGCGGGCCGGCGAGGTTGATCGGCTGATAGGGCACGTCAAGGCTGAGATGTCGGATACGAGGCGGCATCTCTACACTGATGTGTGAGGGCGGTCATGCTATCTCTATCCAAATCTGGATTTTTTGCTGACTTGGATAGGTGGATTGTCTGTGAGCGGAAACCACTTGCGTGACAGAGCCGATCTGGATACCTGGTGTTTGTGCGTCCTGCTTCGGGCGACTGGTGCAGAGCCGACCCGAGAAGGGGATTGGGCATCGAAAAGTCGTACGGACTGAAGCCGTTATTGTATATCATTTACCTCCAGAGGATGGAGTCTCCGAGTATCGGCACTCGACGGAAGCACCTGTACCGGACAGGTAGGCATGGTCGACCTTCAAGAGCAGGAGTACCGAAGACTCTACGGCGTGGCCAATATTGAGGGACTGCAACTGAATCGAGCGAAATTTTCACCTGCGTCGTGCGTCAATTCCTTGGAGGGGAACCAAGGGAAAAGGAGGGCGAGAAGATCGTCGAATAATCCGTATCCTCGGTGGCGAAGGGCCTTTAGACCGCAGCGTCACCGATGCTCGCGGACTCCGGGCGCCGCTTTCGGTGTCACATCCAGCCAAACAGCGGTTCGTAATGGAACAGTTTTTGAACCAGACTGATTCTTGGTTGACAACTTGTCGGCGCTTGCCGGTGGGATGGAGACCGTGCGCACAAAATGCAGCATTCGTGGATCTCTGTTGTTCAAGATGTAAGTAGTGAAAGTTAGGTAGACAGTCGAACCTCTGTGACTCTTGGTTCGGCCGAGGTGCCGAGATGCGGCCTGACGAGCAACATTGTCCGGCATATTCGGGTCAGTGGGTTTCGGGTATGTCCATCGCCAGCTAAAATGACCCTAGAGAAGCCCGATGACCTTGATAAGGGGCGGGAGTGGGTAATAAAAGGAGACGACCGCCGTGGAGATGTTGGCTTGCCATGATGGAGATGCTGTCGCTTTGTTCTCCTTGCAACGAGTCTCATACCAAAAGATGTACAATACAATCAAGATTGTGGTCACATGGAATTTAGACGTCCATTGAGATATTACCACCTACTTTAGGCATCCAGCTCGCAGCGATCGACTAGTGTGAACAGATCCCTTTCCTCGAGCACGGCCATTTGCGGGGGATATAATCTCTAACCAAGATCGGTCAACGACGAGTTGGACATACCGCATACCAGAGTTTTCCGGTCCGTCTCTCTGTCCGCCGGCGGTGGTGCCCGCGGCTGATGATCCAATCCAGCGCAGGCCATGAGAATTCAGAATGGGCGGCGCGAAAAACGAGATTGGTCAGCGGGGCCGCCGGTTGTCTCCGAAGGTTGCGCCGAGCCCGTCTTTCTAGTAAGTATGGATATTCTTAGAGTTGCGCTATAATCGGGTGAGCCCACCGTAGATCTAAATCTAAATATAATAAATACGGTCGTCCGAGTCAATCCCCTGCCGAACATGAGTGGCTTGCGTGCGAGGGAAAAGCTCACAGTGACACACACAGAACACATGAAACAGACCTAGGTGAGGCTGATGCCATTCCTCTAAGCAAGGGACTCGGAACGTATTTGCCTACCTTAGGTAGTATCTAGTAATCTAACGGTAGTGGTAGTTAGATCATCATTTACCGACAGGAGACCTTCCAAGGCTTCCACCAAGTGGGCTCCCAGAAGACGTAAGCCTCACTACATATGCACGGTACTTCCTCCATCAACTTGACGATGTCCTCAAGACTCAAGAGGGGGAACGACACATTTCCTTAAGTTTTGTCTATATGCCTATCTGCCTACCTGTCTATTTGTTTATCTGTCTCACTCCGCGACGCAGGGCAATAGCCGGCTCTTATATTTCCGGCTGTCTATCTCCCGTCCACTTTTCATTGGCTCGCTTGTCCTCAACGCATATCTGCCTGTTGTTACGCATTACCTGCCTGTTCTGGCGAGGTGGGGGGAAACCACATCATGGTTGGGAAGTTGGAACCCATCCGATCCATCAGTCAGCACGAAGGAAGACAAAAGCAATAACAACAGCTGCGACCGCTTTCGTTGCGAGCCTCCGGACTCTTCATTGCAAGTTTAACCGTCGTCGTACCTACGCCGTGTCAACAGAGCCATACGGTAGTTGCACAACGGGACAAGAGTCAAAAGGTCCAGCTCAGAGTCAAAAGGCCGCCATTCGCCATCTTCCTTAGTAGCCGTCTCCAACCAACCACTCAAGTCTGAGTGCGGCCACTCGGATCGGGTCCCGTTTTACCAGGTATTCTGGTTCTGGGTCGCACGAGCAGGGGACGCGCTCAACGCCACCAACAACGCGATCGGCAGAGTCGGGGTCGGGGTCGGGGTCGCCAGCAAATATGCGCAGCAGCACCGTTCTGTCAGCCTTACGCTTCCCCGGTCACGGTCAAGGGCTCGGCCGCTGCTCTATGGCAGCTCAGGACACCAAAGCCTCTCACGATGCCGTTCTAAGGGGCAAGATCTACATCGATGCTCTCCCAGCCGACGTTGCTCCAATTAGGAGACTATTGGAAAAGTACAGCGGCATACGTGCCAAGGACGTGGATGAGCATATCCACTACATGGTAAGGCCAACAATCCGCACTCGAGTTCGACAACTCGGACTTGTGCTGACCGAACGACAGCGGGACAGGCTGTGGGAAATATACCCTTACGTCTGCATCGGTCACTTTCGCTTTCTTTCACTCCAGTTCACGTACGACCCTCGGTACCAAATGGCGCTGAGACGGCTCTTGCTGCCGAGATCGCGGGCCACCTTCCTTGATCTAGCGTGTTGTGTAGGGCAGGTCCTGAGACAGCTCGCTTACGACGGCGTGGATGCGAATAGACTGTATGGCACGGACCTGGAGCCACGATTCCTCGATGCCGGTTACGACCTGTTTAAGGACAGGGCCAAGTTCAAAGCTACATTTGTAGCTGGCGACATGGTGAAGCCAGGAGAAGGCGATGCGAGACTTCAGGTGCTTGACGGAAAGATGAGCATCATACACGCCACCAGCTTCTTCCATCTATTTACTTGGGACGATCAGGTCCAGGCAGCGACGAGGATGATTCGATTTTTGGACCCGCACGACCCAGATGCAACGATCTTCGGACGGCATGTTGGCACCACCAAACCTGGTGATAGGCAAGGGCCCCGGGACAACGCAAGGTACCTGCACAATGCGGAAACTTGGCAGAAACTATGGGATGAGGTTGGCAAGCTCACGGGAACTGCGTGGCGAACGGAGTTTGAGCCAATCGAAAAGGTTGGCGGCCACAGTACGAGTAGTCTTGATGACACACTCCGAAGGATGAGCTTTGGGGTGTACAGGGCTTGAGTTATATGGAACACGAACGGCTTGGGTCTATTCAGCATGGTGTTCGGGAATTGGGCACGGGACTGACATACGGTAACTGGGAGGCGATTGTCACGATGGATGGAAATTTTGGCGTTTGTCTCAAAAGCACATCTTCCATGATAGACGGGTCGACGACATAGATTAGACAAGTAATGATTAGACACACACGGGGTTGAAGCGGCGGAGTACAGCAAGTAGCAACGAACTAGGACATGAAGGCGGTCAAGGCTGTTGCAAGACAAGTTGCATGTAGCCCAGATTATCTTCGCTGTGTTATGTGCCGTACTCATTCCTTCGAGCTATCTTCACTGGATCTGCATACTGTCCGGATGGGGAGCGATGGCATAAGGTGCGTCGTCTGGGTCGGACTCGGTTCTTGTATAGGAACTGCCTTACGTACGAGACTCACCCAACGATTTACCTTACGATCCACGAGGCTCTGTTGATGACTTCCGCCTACAACTCCCTCCACCAGACAAACCGCTTCAGCTACAAGTTCGAGGCAGAGGGACAGAGGGTCAACAAGCCTGCCGTCCCTATTCGTAGTCAAAGCACTACACGCGCATCTAGGGGTCACAAGTCCACTTCCAAAATGGATAGGTCAGTCAGCAAGTCTGAAAGCTCTGTCTTTAGTCAAAAGCAATGCCATATACGAGGCCCGCTGAGGCAGAACTCCCCATGAAATACCCCATTCATCACAGCCTGTACCCCAAGCCTTCGGTGAAATCACGTCGTCCTTTCTTCTAAGAAGTTCGATCGTACCCTTGACCATGGTCTTGGTACAGGAGTTAGACGTAAAGCCTCTTAGAATAGACTAGGGAGGTGGCTCGGTAGGTAAGAACCCCTAGATGCGGTCCGGTTCCCCAGACCGAAGATTGACGCGTAGCACTCTGCAACGGAAAAGAAATGCCACGACCATGCAGCTTTGCGACGGCAGATGAAAGCACTGCACTGCAATCGGCCTAACTCCTGCCCCTATCTGCTGCCACCTACCGTGAATTAGGGTGACGGGCCCGACTTTAATGATTCGGGTGAAATCCATAGCTTCCATCCCCCCACCCCCCAAGTCTTCTTCTCTCCCGAGAACTAAAGAAAGACTCGGTTCCAGAGAATGGAGAGGGCCTTGGGATAGGCCTTGGCACTACTCTATTTAGAATACGAACAACTGTTACAAAACGCATTGCCGGTTCGAACCTGGCCGTTCATTTGGGGCTGGCCTCGCGTTCATCGGGATGACCACCTCGGGCCATGATTCATGTTCGAACACACACCTATTGATACCAACACCAGACCGACACGAATATGCCACCTGCACTGGCTGATTGCTCCCTTGTCCATCCTCATCAGAGATGGATTGCTCCCAATATCAATCGATCCCTTCAACTGAAGACAAGCTGATTGTATGAATGAGAACAGCTGTGAAGCAAAGAGCCGAAACCACTTGGCGTGTGCTGATCGTGGCTTAACGTTCAGTGATAAGTATTCGTGATGGTGGGTTGCCGGGCAGGCAGGTAGAAAGGGGTAAAGGGGTAAAGGGGCAGATGGGAATGGAAAGTTGGAAACGACAGTGCGAGGTTCCGACATGATACATGCCGCAGCAAGCGGGGCGCCCTCCACCTGCATGCTGTGGCCCCGGTCCCCCGCCGGGCTGCAAGTGGCCAGACCGCCAGAACAGCCAGACTGCAGGTCTTCAGTGGGCTCCTTTAGCGGTAGATCAGGCTGTAAGTTGTAACTGTGCAGGTGGGGGCTCGGGGGTCGGTGAACACTGCAGGTGAACAGCTGACAGCCCGCTTCTGCACACTCCAGCTGTGGGACTGTCCGCTGCAAGGCTATGACTTCCATCTGTTTGTCCGTCAGCCTTCAGCGAACCTGTTGGCTTCAATTCTCATCTACAGTCAGCCTGACTTGGTGCTTGCCAGTACGACAGTTCTCGGGCGATATTGAGGAGACCGCGCGCTCTTGGCAATCGTACCGAGTGTAGGCCAATTGGCTCTTGCTACCTCTCTGTCTTTCGTTCAATTCAACCATCACAAAATGATGGATCTGCCCACCACGCCGACACGTCGATAATGCCGGAATCCACCATGCCGGAGGAAGTTGGAGATGATACGGGACTGGGACTGGGACTGCGGGACGTGGGAGCCGACGCAAGAGCCGAAAGACGAGCCACAATAGAGCATGACGGTACTCTGGTAGTCGAGACAAAGCAGCTTTCATCGCAATCGCAACAATGTCCAACACCACCGCCCACAACCGACCCAACCGACCCAACCGACCCATTCCCAGCCTTCGAGATCACTTCAGCCACCCCGACCACATCACATTTCGCGCAAGACCCCGACCAACTGGCGAGCGACGACGCTGAGCTAACCACGGCAAACGGGGCAAACGGCCGCTTGTCTTCATCCGATGACATTTCGAGCAACGGCGGTGAACCCTCCCCCTCACCGTCGCCCGACTCTGAGTCCCCAACAGCCGCGAGTGCTGCGCCCCATCGACCCGTCGATGTCACGCCCAAACCAAGTACACCGTCTACGGCAAAGAGGCTCGAGACCGTTCGCAAGCTCTCGGCCTCGCAAATGCAGGCTTTGACCTCCTCGCCCGAGTCGCTACCCATCGCTATCGTCCCTCCGCAGCGCAAGCCGAACGGTGCCGAGTACCCCATGTCTGCTGGCGCCGTCGAAGCAGTTTCTCGCCCTACTATGGCCGAGCAGTTGCAGGATGGCACTCGCTCCGCCATCGCCGACAAGGAGACGCCCATGCGAGCCGAAGCTGCACTCAAGTCGAGCAAGAACCCGCCCCGTACCGCTGCCGACTTCAAGCGGCCTCCACCGTCATCGCGAACCCTCTCGACTCCTCCAACCAGCCGCCGACCTCCCTCAGGTCCGCCCGTGACGGCGCCGTATCCCAGCCGCCGAAATTCCTTCAACCCCTTGGCACGTCCGACTCCGCTCAACATCAATGGGGCACACAGTGTTTCCCCCGCGTCCATGAAGCCTTCGATGCCCCCGAAACAAGAACGATCCGACCCGTCGCCTCCATCTCCTATGCTACCTGTAATACCCCTACCGCCCATGTCACTTCCCACCCACCTGCAGCTGGAGTTGGCTGGCCAGAGACCAAGCCCTCTGTACATTCATCATCCTCAAGCTGCCGATATACCTTACGAATCCAGCGCCGTCAAGTTCGAACGGCTCTTAAACGCTCTGCTTTTGCCGCCATATCTGGAGCAGATTCTTCATTTCGGCACATTGGCGTGTTTGGACGCCTGGCTCTACACATTCACCATACTACCAATGCGTTTCCTCATTGCGCTTGGCGTCCTTGTAAAGTGGTGGGCGTATCTTGTGTGGAAAGAAGTCCGGTGGATGGTTGGCTTCGTCTGGCAAGGCACATGGCGTTTGTGGGGGAGAGCAAGGGGAGGCCGGACAGCGTCACTGAACAGAGCCGACGGCAGTGAAATAGCCAGCGAGCCCGAGAGAAGCCGGAGCCGGGTTGAAGAGAATGGCTTTAGCGTCCAGCAGAACGGCTCAACGAGGTCCCGCAACGTCTCTGACGCCGTTGGCTCCCCGTTCCTGGAAAAGCCACGGTTGAATGGCAATGGAGTTCTCCACCCGCCAAAGCACTCCATGTCTAGGCCAGGCAATTTTCGACATCGTAGGACGAAGTCGGTGCCTTCTAATTTGACGTCTTATCACAAGGCCGATCTCCTGCAGGGCGCCGTTCTCATTTTCAGCTCTATGGCATTGATGAATCTCGATGCTAGCAAGATGTATCACTTCATCCGGGCGCAGTCCTCGATGAAGCTCTACGTCATCTATAATATCCTCGAGGTAATCCACCATAGTAGCTCTGGTTCCTCCTTGACGTGTCGCTCATACATTTCCAGGTTGGTGACCGGCTTCTTTCCGCCATAGGACAAGACATCCTGGAATGCCTCTTCAGTTCCGAGACTCTCTCAAGAAACAGCTCAGGGAGGTCCAAACTTCTCCTGCCCTTTGGCATGTTCGTGCTCGCATTGATATACAATGTGACCCATACCTGGTGTCTATTCTACCAAGTAATCACACTGAACGTGGCGGTCAACTCGTACTCCAACTCTCTTCTAACCCTCCTGATATCGAACCAGTTCGTCGAGATCAAAGGGAGCGTCTTCAAGAAAATCGAGAAGGAGAACCTATTCCAACTCACCTGTTCAGACGTGGTCGAACGCTTCCAGCTCTGGATCATCTTGCTGATTATTGGGATGCGCAATGTGGTCGAGGTCGGCGGTCTCTCAGTTCCAGGGGCAGGAGGCGAGTTGAACGGCGATACTTCAAAGACTGGTCCGCTACACACCAACTCAATCCTCCCGGCCAGTTTTACCGTATTACCAGCATGGCTTAAGTCGGGCGAGGTGCTCTCACCATTTCTCGTCGTCATTGGCATCGAGATGCTGGTCGACTGGATCAAGCATGCGTATATCAACAAGTTCAATAATGTCAAGCCCACCATCTACAGTAGGATGCTGGACATTCTATGCAAAGACTACTATACCAATGTCTGTCCACCATCCACTCTCACAGATACAATGCTGACTTTGGTATCACATAGGCGTTTTCTGCACCGTCCTTGACTCGGCGGCTTGGCCTTCCGTTGCTGCCTCTGTCTAGCCTGTTCATCCGTGCGTCGATACAGGTGTACCACATGTTTCTCGCCACCCATGTTCATCCCCCCATTCCTACCTCGACCACCGAACTTGCTGTCGAGTCTTCTACACCGTCGTCACCTGCCATGGTGGCCGCCCTTGAGCATCTTGATACTCTCATACGTAACGCCCTTGGTCGTGCAGTCTATGGATACCCGCAAGGGTCGTCGCATGCCAGGCCTTTCTGGGCCTTTTCTTCCGATGACGCGATTGCACTCCTTACCATGGTTGTATTTTTCTTCCTAGCATGGGTCGTTCTGCTTATTGTGAAGCTCCTCCTTGGCATGCTACTATTGCGTTATTCTCAGAGGCGCTACGCAGTGATGAAGTTCAAGGAGCATGCTGTGGCAACGGGCAAGGCCGAGCGAGATAACTTCTCTCAGGCAGGGCAGCGCATTGGTCCGTGGGGCGCCACGGAGATCGGTGATGATCGACGAAGGTGGGTGTACGAGGACGACCCAGAGGGGCTGAAGAGGATGCGTGAGCGTGAGAGGAAGACGCAGGAAAAACTCAGGGATCCAGGGGATGATGGACTGGCCAAGGTCGTACGGTACGAGATGGTTGCCAAACGGATATGGTAAGGTCCTAGCTGTGATTTCAATGGGCATGGAGTTGAGGCTTGCATCTGCTGCATCAATGTGAGCTTTCAATTCGGGTTGAGCGTCGTGTTGGGCATTTTACTAAGAATACCACTGTTGTTGAGTGACCGAGTCTTTCATTGACGGCGGTGAATCCTAGCAGACATTGACCATCCTGGAATGGTGTCCAACTATAAGTGCATTGTACCAGACTTCATCATGCATCGCCATTGTGATGACCAGCATCGATACCAGGGGAAATGGGCAGGCTTCGCAGACGGTCATTCATACTCGAAGTGATTGGAGTTGACATGAAGGTCTCCGAACGGATTGAAGCAAGCCCTTCCACCACCACTTGGACACCCTTTTCCATCCGGACACCCTTTTCCACCAACTACCTCTTAAGTGCGCATGCGAACATCATCCTTCTCGGCTACAGCACTCCCTCATCTGTTCTTCGTCTTGTCCCTCCACAGTTGATCCCGCCCTACACGAGCAGACAACACTCCAGAGCTGCCCACAGCCCACAACTCCTGACGTAAGTCCCAGTACCATGCACTTCAGATCACGTCTACCTTTCGGTACCTAGTATCAAAGACTGACGCACACTGGCAGAAGATGGATAACAACACCACAACCAGCCGCAAGGCCCCACCCAAGGCCGGAGACAACAGCAAGAAAGCACAGGGTGGGGGCAATGCAGAGGCGCCCCGACGACGAGTCCACTTCGAGATCCCGGACGTGGGTAAGGCCACCTACACTGAATGGCCTATTGTACGTAACAGGCTGGAGAGGGAGGCCGGCAAGCTGGATGCGAAATACAAGGCTTGGCAGGGGAAGAAATAGGGATAGGGGTCTATGAGGGGAAGGATGGGAAGGGGAGGAGCAGAGAACCAGGTCTTGTAGCATGCTTTGAGGTCTGCTTGTGCAGAGACGAAAAGAGCAGGTCTACGGTGTCACAACACACTTTCACCACGATCTTCATGTTGGGGTTGCTGGATCTCATGACGCCAACCAAGGTAGTGAAAGACATGATGATCTGACCAAGCGGATTGTTCTGCTGGACGATATCAATTCTCCCCAAGTGCATGGTGACGACATTGGCGGGACTCCTGTGTGGCTCTGTTGGTGGGTAAACGAGGAGGGGTTTGTTGACTTGATACACCACCAATGTTAAGTCTTTCACGATGAAACCCCGGAGTGCAAGAACAAGAATCAGACTCTGGTTCTCATTGCTCTCATGAATTAGTGTCTACCTAGGTTGAGGAAGCAAGGAATGATGAGCACTAAAAGCAAAAACCAGGGGCGGAGTATCCGGGCTTCCACGTGGCAGGCCTTGTCGAGACTGGCTCACGTATTCAATGCCATCACGAAGATGCATTATTTCGAATGAATTAAGCCTGTGATACAACATTAGTAAAGGGGCCCAAATGAAGCACAGTCATCTGGGAAAGAGAGGTCTTGCTTACTTCAAAGCCTCGTAAGAGTAAGCCGACCAGCAGATGGCGGTGCTCGACATTGTCGTTACGATTCTCGGTCGAATGCCCTTGAAGTAGCGCGGAATCCTTCTCTCTGGTACACCAAGTTGCAGCCTGAGACGAACCCATTCACCAATCTTCAAAAGCTCCACGACAACTCCGAGCCAGAGGCCACCTGGCGGAGCCTACCAGTCATCTCCAACTCCAAAGGCAATGTATGGACCCTCCTCCAACCAGGACCCAAGTCTTCCAAGGCTCTTGCGACTTCTGTAACGACTGCGAATTCTGCGAGGTGTGTCGATCCAAGCTCATGGATGGGGAGGAATGGTCGGTATATGAGGCAGTGAATCAGGTGGTCAATGAGTTTACTGAGCACCACCACGGTGCAATCTGGGAGGCCAAATAGCACATAAAAGCTCGAGAAAACGTCGTCGGTTCCTGAAGCCCAGGTATCGAGTTGGTGTCTGATCGTGGATAGGTGGGAGAGCGTGTGCCACAGGGAATGGGGTCCCCTTTTATGCCGCCCCAGGACCGTAGCTTTTGTCCACCTTAATCAGCCAGGAGTTTGAGATGATCTTGAAGGTGAGGTTCACATTCAGACCTTTGAATATGAGGCCCTCCCTGGTCTGTCCTTGGGTGCCCGTGCCTTCGGCCTTGTCCAGCAAATCATCGATGTCCTTGGCGAAGTCATTGAGGGTCGTCCGATGCTTGATGATCGGGGCGTGGTCCCATCCGAGCTTCTTGCATATGTCGAACGTTAGGTCAGCACGGAGGTACATTTGTTGATCGATATCGAAAATGCCAAAGACGTAGAACTTGTGACTGCCACGGGGGAAACCCATGGTGTTGTTCAGAATGCTCGAGCCACACAGCTCGCCTTGGACCATGAGGTTTCTGCTGACCTGGCGAATTCTCGGGATGTCGTTGATTCGACGAAGGATGCCATGATGCTGTGCGACTTGCCAGTACAATGAGTCCGGATGGTCGGCCAGTTCTCTCGCTCGGCTGCAAACGCCAACACGGGCAGACCCGATAGTCTGCAGGCCTTCGTCCAAGGCCGGCAATGCAGTGTACCACTGCGATGACTTCTGTACGGTGTAGATCGACATCGGCCATCCGTCCAGCTTCTCCGTGACTTGGAAGAGGTCTTCGCCGTGCTTGTCGAACAGCTCAGGCATGTTCTGGGCGCGGATGCATCCGGGCTGAGGAAAGAAGACGGGCGCACGGCCAAGTGCAGGAGGTCCCGAGGGACGGCCGACTTCCACCTGGTCAGAGATCTCTAGTTAGTGGACTGTGTTCTTTGACAGTTTTTGGGAAGGGGCTTGGTTGTCATGTCGAAGTAGATACACTCAGCCCTCATAAGTCTCCGTACGCGCATGTTGGCAAGACTCCAGATAGCCAGTGGGATGGTTAGAAATACTAGAATAAGCACGCTAGAATAAGCGTCAAGCATGGCAAATAAAGATCCGACTGCTTATTCCGATTTGGTAAATCTCCCATGGTTTGCTGGAAGGGTCGTGTACGGAGACTTATGAGGGTTTAGTGTAGCGCAGACTGGCTCAGGAGAGATAGACCCAGGCTGCCGAAGAACCCAAATTGAAACATAATTTTACTGACCTCGTACTTCTTCACTTCCAGCAGGTCTTCGAACGATCGTTCCATGATCTGGTTTGTAGCCAATGCCTTTCCCCATTTATGCACCAGCTCGTCGTACATTTCTTGGATGGGAAGAAAGCGCGTCATCTTGAAGATCAGGCCTTGCGACACGTGCTTGTCCACCATGCAAGTCTTCACGAGAAAGCCTTCTTTTCCGTCCATCTTGAGGTTGCTCGTGGCTACGTACTCCCAGAAGTACGTAGTGTCTGGTAGGAAGCTATCGATTTCGAAGAAGACAACCAGATCGCCGGCTTTATACTCTTCGTGCTTCTTTGCTACCACACTCCAACAGTCCACCATGACGACATCGTGGCTTGAGCCGCCCCGGATGGGGTGGACGCTGGCGATCCGCCGGATGGTTACCAGGCGTCGTCGCGGGGGAGCAGCTTGACTCGAAGGAGGACCTGCGGTAGAGGGACCAGAGGTAGAGGGACCAGCGGTAGAGGGACCTGAAAGAGCGATATCCATGGGGGAGGATCTTACGTCAAGAAGCGCTCGAGGAGACGCGTCGGGATCTGTGAAGTTCGACATGGTGATATCGTCAAGGATCAGGTACTGGATGGTGATGCGATGCTATAGATCGGCGATTTACAAAATGGATGGGAACAAGGTGGCGCAGGAGAAGATCATCCAGTACGTTCAGCGATCTGGTGAAAAAGTGCACGGCAGGAAGGTGGGAAAATATGTGGTTCGGTTTGGCTGCACTACCGCCGGCACCCCCTGAGATGCCTCAGGCGGCCAACTTGATGGCGCTATGGCCAACCGTAGGACGTTGCTCCGGCGCAACGATGAGCCAGTCAGCTTCGTCGGACAACCGTTCATCCTGTGGATTCCCAAATACCTCAACGTCAAGCAACAACTGTTTCCTGTCGCACGTTGCTGATAAACCACTGTGCCCAAGATGAACGACCTCGAGAAATCTTTCCAGGATTTTGCCACTGCGAAGCGAGCCATCCTTGCAAGCGCCGATGGCGATATCCAGGAGCAGTTCAAGAAGCTGAACATTGCAGAGGAAGACAAGAGCTTGATGGAGGCTCTGTACGTCGACATCATTGAGTCCATGCATTTGGTATGCCATCTCCCTCCTCAGCGGGCACACATAGTTATGTCACTAACTGTCCGCAGCACAACGATGCTGCTTGCAATGACGCATTCTGGGATATAAATTCCGGCCCGGGCAACTGCAACATTCAAGCACCGAAAGTTGTGTCCGAAGACACATTCACCGTCGGACGACCCAACCAGGGAGATTGCCAGAACTGCCGTGGCGTCTTCGACAAGACGTCGGACGATGAGCATTCGTGCGGCTACCATCCAGGTGAGAGGAAACCCATACCAGCCAGCCCTTTATCCCATGTCCAAGACTAATGGTCTTTGACATGCACAGGTGTCTTTGAGGAACACATCTACAGTGGAGTCAACTGGAAAGGTGAAGACGTGGCGGACTTGGAGCAGTGGACATGCTGTCTGAACATCCATCCCCTGCACCCCGGGTTGCAAGGTTGGAAAGCACGAGCAGAGCGATTGGGACTCTATCAAGTGGTGAAGTCTTGCTCGTGATGTGTTGCCAAGCTTTTGGAAAGCGAACGCGCTTGGTGCTCGCTATTCACTGGTAGGAGCACGGGCTGTCGCTGATGCGCCTGTCGAAGAAGACGGTCTTGGGGTACGAGGACAGCAAGCAGCACTGGTCGAACTGGCTTCTTTGTGCTTCTTCAAGAAACGATCAATAAAGCCAGTCATCAACACTTCGTTGGTCTCCAGTGCGAAATGACCCGCATCTAAGAAATGCAGCTCAAAGTCCTGCGCGCCTTTCTTGTAAGCCTCAGCCCCGGGCGAAATGAAGATTTCGTCACTCTTCCCCCACACAGCTAGGACCGGGGACACCGGAGGAGCGGAAGAACTCTTGGAAATCGGGGTACAGGTCGACGTTGGTGCGGTAGTCGTAGAAGATACCTAACTGGATCTCCTTGTTCCCTGGGCGGTCCATCAATGCCTGATTCAGGTGGTAGGTCTCAGGCTCGATTAAAGGCCGGGTGTGGCGAGCCGTTGACGTATTGCCCCTTGGTCATTTCGAATGTCAGAGCACGACGAAGGGCATCACGGTCTGCAGTACTGCCGCTTACTTACCCAGTAACTTCTTGAGTGGCGCCCAGAACTCCTCCCCCAGGGCCGAAGCCTTCCACGTATGCGTTGCCATTCTGGGTGATGATGGCAGTCACTGTCTCGGGTCGATTGAGCGCAAGCCGAAGTCCGGTGGGCGCGCCGTAGTTGTAATGGGACCAGAAGACACGGGGAACAGCAAGTGGTTCAGGAGATCTAGCAGGGATATATTGAGCAACTTGGAGCCATTCGAGTGTGTATAGGTCTTGACTCTTGGTCTCCAGCTAGGTAGCTAATGGAGTTGTGAGGAGAAGTGATGTTAGGTATCTGTGGATACGTCACGCATCACGTGGCAGTCATGTGATGCAACAGTAGTCGAAAATATAGAGTGCGGAGTGCCCGATATCAAGCATAAATGTATCGACAAAGGCTTCAATCGTCTTGGCGAAGCTTGCAAAGGTGTACTGGTAGTTGTGCTCCTTGGGCACTTCTGTGAAGCCGAATCCCGGTAGGTCTGGAGGCTGGAGCGATGACCATGTATGTCTTCCCCAGAAGGGGTATCAGATTGCGGAACATGAAGGACGAAGACGGGAAGCCATGGAGGAGCAGGAGAACAGGGGCATCCTCTTCGCCAGCGTGGCGGTAGAAGATGCGCACGCCGTCTGTGACGAGGTGACCAACTGACGCGGGCTGCATTTTGAATGATGGGATGAAGTAATGGGCTCGAGGGTCTTGAAGTGCATGATCTGGCCCCTTAAGAGTAGATTCTGATGGTATCTGGCTCATAGTTCGATTGAGCGGCATTGCAGCTTCGCTTTATATACTTGGTAGATGACAGCTGGTGTCGAGATTGCCTGCGCCTGGCATTAGTAAGGCCTTGGCTTAAGAATGATTCTAAAACATACCGGTACTACTCACCTCTGTTTCCCAAGGAAAGTATTACATGGTCTGGACTAGCGACGGCAGAAGTCAATTAGACTTCAGGTGCACATTCCATACGATGCGCGCCTTTCGACGACATGCTTACCTAACTCATGCTACCGCGGAGATGCACAACGCCGGTTGAACTTTCGCTCACAGAGCCCGAAAAGGGAAGTCTTAATTCCAATCGACTTTCTCTACTTGTAGAGAATCCCAGGGGAAGTCCAGCATGGCTTACTAATGACCTGAAGTTCTGTGAGCTTGTCGGATGCCTAGAGCCGCAACGTCGTGGTTTTGGCAGCATCTTCCTTTGGTGCAAAATCGCAACTGTCTTTTCGATCTTCAAGCGCCCACGCGGAGTATGCATGTCAATATGGTAGTCGTTATTCAGCAACAGTACCCCATAAGCACCACTCAGCGGCCCCGGTGAATGAGTGCTGCCACAATCGGGGTCTATTGTGTATGACCGTTGGGGTTTCTTGTCAGGCACTGTTGATATTTCCGAGCAGGTACCGCTTGTTCCCCTTAGTCTGAAGCATCTGTGGCATCGTAGCCAAAGGGTCACGAAGGAGAAGATAGGGAGTATTGTTCGCCAAAATGTGATGTAGATAGACATCCACTTGGCCGATAATCCATCTCAGATCGTAGCATTTGGCCTCGATTGAAGCTTAACATCGATAACCACCGACCATCCATGTGACAAGTGACAAGGTCCACTAGACGACTTGACTGACCTCGCCAGTCTTGACATCGTAGATCCAGCCGCTGATAGGCACATCCGCCGCAACAGTCGCTCCTTTCTTCAGTGTCTCAACGTCTTCCTTCACGGCAGCTTCCAGGTCAGGGAAAGCATGGAAGTTCAGGCTTGCAATCTCGGCCGCTGCTGTTGGTCCGAGGTTCTTCACTACCAGACCGTGGGCATCCTCGTTCGAGAAGGTCAACATGCCGCAGTCGGTGTGTTTGATCAGGAGGATCTCCTTGGTGCCCAGTAACTGCTGCGAGATGATGATGGACCGATGCGCATCCCTCGCGCTTCCTCCAGCATTGCGGATGACGTGGGCGTCACCCAGGTCGATGCCAAACGCTGCTGCTGGGTCGATACGAGCATCCATACATGTCACTAGCTCTTGTCAGTGTCGGCTCCTCTATATTATGATGCGACAGGTTCTGAACGTGGGAGGGACATACAAATGAGGTATTTCTTGGCAGGGGGAAGCGCGAGGCTACCTTGAGTGAACTGCTTCGCATACGCAGCGTTCTTCTCCTGGAGGTTCTTCTGCACGTCTGATGGCATTGTGGCAGGTCTATCGATGTAGAGACTGGAACTGAGTTGCGCTTTGCTCGTGCGGGTCGCATCAATTCAAGCTTGACTGTGCAGTGTGGATATGTGTATGGGTTGATGGCAACGGACCGTTGTGATGTTTCCCCGCTCTTGCGTTCTCACATTGTGTACCTTGTTGCTTTCCTAATAGAGATGACGCAAAGCCCGCCTCGAATTGTTCACTCACCGCTTCCCTATTGGTGTAAACCCGGAACCAATACAGTCAGGCCATTTAGCGCCTTATATCGCTTTCCTCCTGAACGTGACAGGAAGTGACGTTCAATACAATCTTGACTACTACAGCACGTGAACAAAACTCTGGACGGATGTCACTCAAGACCACGGAGCACAAGTCTTTGACGGTCGAGAGTACGCTCAAGCATAAGGTTACGTGGTTTGAGGTATATCCTCTGCGTTGACGGCATATCAGACCTAATGACTGCTTTTCAATCCCCCTTACTCTTGGTCGTGCAGCTGATACCTACCAGGTCCGGTCTGGTGGTAACCTCCCTTTCACCAGAATCAGACCAGATTAAGGGCCTCTCTCCTTTGGTACCTCTTTGCATGCCCTAAGTGTAGCTTTTCGCATCGAGCCTCCTTCATATATCTTCTGCTCCCGTTCTCAACGCTGTCAGGTCAAGAATCGTGCACCAACATCCGGTTCACCCTCTTTTCATAATCGTCTCACACCATTGAAAGCACACATCCAGTCCCTCACCTGAAGGCATCCTTGACTCTAAAAGCATGGTTGTTGACTGTCAGTGATCTTGCAGCTATTTGACTGCGCGTATCACTATTCTGGGGAAGACTGCAGTCTTTTGAGCTGCCTTTCCAGTCGCCTTGGCGGTCCTATACTTGCGCATGGCTTGAAGCTAATTGAGTGTATAGCTGCCCCATTGGCCACCATGAGGCCTATATGGACCATTCCAGTGTCCCTGAAAAGATCACACTTGCAGTGAAGAGGGGTGGCAGATGTTGAGAACTCTGTTCAGCTTCAATCTCCCAACTCGACCGCGACAGTGCAATTCAGGACCTGAACGCAATGGGCGAGGGCACGTGACGATAAGCAGTGCAGTGCAAAGAACTAAGTTATTGCGACGCAGCAAGGTTCGCTGTTGCTATGGGTTATGGTTTTGGCTATGCTGCTATCGTGAAGTGAAAAGGAACGATAAGGGGTGCTGGTTCCCAAGCAAACTGAATTCTGGTCGCCTGAGGTTCCAAATTCCACCGTCCCATTACCTGGCCGCCTCTTTTCATCCCAACTTCGACTCGTCTGGCATCGTGACGTGCCAGTTGCCAGGTGCCTGGCTTCCCTCACGCACACTGCCAAAGCCTTGTTGCAATGCGCCGCACCCAGCAATTCAGTGCACCCACGCCACCTGAGCTCGTCGCAACCCAAACCTGAGGCGACGTCTCCATCGCCGCCTCCCGTCAACTAAAGTTTCAATCGCCGCTGAGCAACTTTGAGCAACTTTTCCATCGCGCACATCGAACTGATTCCGCGATGGCTGACCAAAGCCTCGAAATGGAGTTGCAGGACCTGTGCAGGCTCCCTCCGCGCGAACTCGATCAACAGCCGATCACCAAAATCGTCCACCTTGGCGATGCTGATGCTGTCGCCGACCTTACACCCACCGATGAAGAAAAGAAGCCCAAAGACACGGCGTCGGTCCCCTTCGGACAGAGCGTGAACCGTCCCCATGGTGAACAGCTCGAAGCACCAATCCACTCGCCATCGCCCGATTCCAGCACTCTGGTCACGGTAACACCTCTCTCGCTCCCAAGTGCACTGTCACCGTTGGCCGACACACACCCAACCACACCTGACCCAACCACACCTGCAGCATCCGCAAGATCGCACCGAACCCGCCGCCATGTCACATCCCAAGAACTGCAGGAACGATACAACATGCAGGACTTACAGCCTCTTCAGCGCTGTGGGAAATGTCAGAACTGGTACACTGAAAGTCACAATTCGCCGATTGCCTGCACGCACCATCCAGGTACGCATTTGCCCTGCTTAGGCCCCTTTCCCCCCTTTCCCCCCTTTCCCCTCCCCTTTCCCTACACCCATCCCATCGGACACTCCTTCTTCCCACCCAAAGCCTAGCCCTTAGTCAAGGAAGTGCTGTTGGCGTCGAACCGAGCTCACCAGATACGCAGGAACCGTCTTCTTCCGAGACGCCGAGCACCTAGCCTATGTACCTTCGCTGGTCTCGTGGGAACAGCGCTATGTACCCGAAACCTTCACTTGGAGCTGCTGTGGTCACATTGTGGGGAATTCAGGAGGCTGTTTCCACAGCCGACACTTTCCCGCTGCCGTACCACCCAGAGAAACTGTGCGTGGCCCTGGACAGCCGCGCGGCCCTCCTGGCTCTTCTGCCCCACGAGAGAACCAAAGAAGGCCCCTGCCAGAGGCAAACTGGCAGATCAGAGGAGAGTCAGTGAATGTATGGAGAGAGGCACTGTGAACGGAGGACGCCGAAGGAATAATGACTGACGAGGTTACGAACTTACGATGTATATGATGGGTCACGAAATGGCGTTTACAGGGAACAAATCTTGCAGGAACAATTTTTGCAGAAGGAGGGACACGTATATGGATCGCTGCGTACTGCAGTGAACGGGAGAAGGGAATGGAAGCCATCCATCGGTGTGGTTTTTCTTGAGTCGCTGGTAGATATCCTCGATTCCGCTTGGCGGTGAGGCATTGGTTCCTCTAGGTCGCTACTTATACAATCAGCCGAGTCACAGCAAGTCTTTGGCCAGACTGTACATGCTTCAACCTGCTTCTGACTACCGATGAACCACCCGGCTGTACAGATTGCACCTTGCATTACTCGTCCGTCACAGTTCTCGTGTCATCGCCGCAGACGAAGCGCTTGTCCTTTCGAGTCTTCCAGCTTGTATTGCGGTGTATATTCGCGGCTTTTCAAACATTTACCCTCGACTGACGTTGTCCGATGACGTTGGACGGCGCGTCGCGACGGCGAAAGTCAACAACCCCAGCGTCAACACATGACGTCGGTTCCAGAGGCCTTCGGATCCTGGGGCCCCCGGGGTCAAGTGCACGCTGATCAAAAGTGATAATTTCATAAGCACCTGAACGAAAAGGGATATTTCTTAAGTTCTTTGAATGGAATACACACCGGAAGGCTCTAAGCCTTATGCATGGAAGATAGTCACGCCAAGCGCTTGGCCCTTCACGGTCAACGGCAGCCCCAGCGCCGGATCTGCAGGGGGTGGTGACAAACCGTCAGGGACTGCTTTCCACTGGAGTGACGAGGTTGCATGCAGACTCAATCAAAAACCCTGGAGCCTGCTGCCTCAGTTTCTTCTCAGATATATTACTGAGCTATGCCCTCTCCCTCGTCCTGGTCGGCTTCAGCCTATTTGGTGCAGCGGCCAGTCAGCTGGCTTGTGGGTAGATGCTCTCAATTCTCCGTGTACTGCCGTGGTCGCTCAGCGATGATCTCATCCGTCTTCGATGGTCTGAGGCGCGTGGCCGCGTGAGCGACGCCAGACCAATAAGTGGTCTGGCAAAGCCGCATATAGAGGGTTTGGACCGGAGGCTTGCGGTCTTGTTCATGTCGTCGTCAATCCGGGATTTCAGCCTCCGCCAAGAGCTCCTCGCAATTCCCATGTACCAGGGGCACACATATGGATGGTTTGTTGAGAGATGAACAGTACCTTTAGTAGTCCGACTACTCATAAGAATAGAGGCAAGTCTCTTCAAACCCAAGCGGGAAGGACAAGAGTTGTCTGTGGCATTGCCCACGCTCCCTGAGCATCTGGGACTTTAGGCAAAACACTCTCAGCGTCGATCCCTCTTATACACATTTCATTTCGTTGGCTACTCGTCCCTCGTTCCCGAAACTTCCTTTCTTTATTAGTACTGGTGCAGGACGTCTTTCGTCATATAACAATTGTGAGGACCTGCCCTCCACTGACCCCGTAGCTGGAATTCTGTATACAGTACCGTCGTGGACCTATTCGCAGCTAAAGATCGACACCCGTCGAAATAGTTGCAAGCCACTCTCATTCAGGTGCCACTCACGATGTATACCTTGGATTGCGCCGTGCTCGCCATCATGGCCGGCGGGCTGTCCGTATCAGCACACAGCTTTGTCTCGAACATCAACATCGACCGGCTAGAGTACGACGGGTTCAAACCTCCTCAGCCAGATGCCGATCCGCTCGCCATCGGCTGGTCGACCACGGCCTTCGATCAGGGCTACGTCAACCAGACGGGCTACCAGTCTGAGGACATCATTTGCCACCGCGGGTCCGCGAACGCAAAAGCCCACGCCCGCGTCTCGGCCGGCGATGTCATCCACATCCAGTGGAACGGCTGGCCGGAGTCGCACAAGGGCCCCGTGATGGACTACATGGCGTCGTGCGGCAGCGGGGGCTGTGAGACGGTGAACAAGAACGCGCTGCAGTTCTTCAAGATCAACGAGGTTGGGCTCATCAACGGCTCCGTAGCGCCGGGGACCTGGGCCACCGACCAGCTAATCGCAAACAACAACTCGTGGATGGTCGAGGTGCCGTCGCAGGTCAAGCCGGGATTCTACGTCCTGCGCACCGAGATCCTCTCTCTGCACAACGCAAGCAACCCGATAGGCGCGCAGAACTACCCGCAGTGCTTCAACCTACAGATCGAGGGCAACGGGACACTGGTGCCGTCAGGCCTGCCGGGCCAGGCGCTTTACGACCCGGAAGACCCGAGCATGAACGTGGATATCTACAAGGGCCTGTCGACGTACAAGATTCCGGGCCCGACCCCCATCGCTGCGGTCGAGACAGTGCCGTTGAGCCACCCTATACCTACCGGGGCGGGGCCCATCTACACTGGAACTGCGACGACGTCGGTCTTGAGAACGGCTTCCGCGACTCCAACAGCGACCGTTCGGAGGCTGCGCCGTGTGCATGATATGCATGTGTAGTGCGTTCTGCCCACGGGTTCTTGTTCGTGATGTCGATCAAATGTGACAAGTCGTCGTCGTGGGTGGAGTTGCGCAGAGAAGGGTGTTCGCAGCTTTCTTGTATATATTATACTACCTGATGCCTGGGTATTCAGACTTTACAAAGTATCACGTCCATTTGGACTGGTTCTCAGCAAGCTTTGGTATATCAAGCTGCGGTACTCGCGGAGAGGCGTTCGCGTATCTCCCGGGCTGGTCCACTGGCGAGCATATGCACCACTGTCTCCGCATGTGGTTCACAAAAGACTAATAACAACCAGGACATTGGCCTTATTCAAGAGCTAGAGTATTATTTCTACGCGACGACAAGGCTAAATGTCGGATGTGGTTGCGCCTTTGTGGTAGCGGAACCAGAACAGAGATCTATCACAAGTCTTGGTTGCGATGATCTGTATTCTGGTTGGTGCTTGGTTACGTTCGGATGGGAAGGATCCCATCCGAGAAGTATCTAAATACCTAAATTACAGTGGGTTGGTACCTGTCACCTGGAGCAGCCATCCCAGGTAACCTTATCGTAGAACGCCCTGGATGACAGGAGATCCGATAAGGTACTGGTGGCTGGATCCAGTGGCTGGGATCCACATGGTGGTGGCTCAGGGTGTGTCACCAGATGGTCTGTGCGCTGTGGGTGGGATGGTTGCCCCACAGCTCCGTTACCACCGTGGATAGACACGCTGCAGCAGTATTTAGGTGTGAATCCGTCCGAACTAGGTAGACTTAGAAAAACAAGCACGTATGAACCGAATATTCCGCACGACGAATTCTCACACTAAATAATGCAGACGATGCGGATCCATACCTTGTAGATTCTGATGTATGAAGCTATAAAGCTGTCCTCATGTGTCGCAATACTATGTGGCAGCCTTTTCATGCCAGCTTGCCAGTAAGGCCGAGAGATCCCATGGTGAACGGCTTCTCGTAATCGAATTCGATATCCGTCAAGCTGGGATAGTCCTCCCGCTCGGAGTCGTCCTGGGAAAAGCAGCCGGGTCCTTTGAGAGCTTCGAGACCAGCCGAATTGGCAGCCGCCTCGCTGATGTAGGTGACAGAGAAGCACGTAAAGGATACCGGATTGCCATCGGAATCGGTCGGGGTGTAGCACTGTCCGATAGCGTTCAACTGGGTTTGTTCCAGGACATTGATGCAATCGTCGTCGGTGAGGATTTCGATGTATACCTGGCCCGTGGGAGTGGGCCGCGTAGTCGGCGGCGAGGTGGGAGTGGGAGTAGGAGTGGGCGGCTGGGTCGGACTCGGACTCAGGCTGGGCGTCGGCATGTCCCCAGGGACGCTGTAGCCGTCGCCGGCGTCGTTGTCGGAGCACGCGTCGCCCTCGTAGTAGCACGGGTCGTCGTCGTTGGTGCCGCAGTTGAGGTAGAGGAAGGCGCTCGCGTCGAGGAAGCTCCCTGCGGCGCGCCCCATGATTTGCCGGCTCCCCGCGCGAGCAAAACTCGGCTTCGACGAGCTGCTGGCGTTGTTGAAGTCGGCAGCATTGTCGTAGTCGGACGCGGCGTGCACGACGTGCTTCACGAGTGCGACAGGCTGTGCCTCATGCTCGGTCTTGTTTATTAGCCCCTCGTCATCCCACTCCAGGGGCCGCCCGCGGCGTCGGACCGGATGGCCGATCGGGCCGGTATACGCTGGAAAGTCGTCGCAGCTCCAGTATACAAGGCTGTCTCGGCGGTCCATCGTGTTGCCCAGCAAATGGCGAGCCCATCCGCCGCCTTGCATGAAGAGCTTGCCCGGCGAGGGATACTGGCAGTAGGCGCTGATGGTCTGGACGACACTGCTCGAAACGACTCGGCCGCTGTTGTCTGTGACGTAGTTGATTGTTTTGGCGAACAACTTGTTGTCCCACCATGGGTCTGCCATATGCGAGCGCAGTCAGTATCAACTGAGATACAGTCGGGGAGGCAAATGGATTCGAGGGACGTACCGTAGCTTCTTTCTCCCGGGTTCACGACAGCCTTGTTCACCAGAATGAATGCGTTTCCATAGGGCCGCGCACATAAGTTGTGCGACGTGTCCGACCCAAGATAGTAGTCGTCGTCAGTCGTGCCCGTCGGGCCGTTTGCGAACTCGACCGTGTACGGCGTGCCGCTGACCATGGCATTGTCGCTGTAGAAGGCCTTGAGCGCGCTCGCGTGGGCCCCGTTCTCCTCACGCGGGATGAGCCGGAGCACCGACTGTTGGTCCCAGACGCGGAGGTCGGGACCGCGGTTGGGATTGCCGGACCCGAACGGGTACTCCTCCACCTCGCAGTCGATCAGCCCCCAGCCCTCGAAGTTGGTCTGGGGCTGGCCCCAGGGCTGCCACTTGCCCTTGTACCACGGCTGCGTGATGTGCAGGTCGGAGCCCTGGACGTAGGTCAGCACCCCATCCAGGCCGACGCGTCCTCGTCGTCGATGCCGCAGCTCACCTCGCGCGTGACGGGGTTGAAGATGGGCGTGTTGCCGTTGGCGCAGAGTCCCGTCTGGGTGTCGACGTCAGGCTGGCAGGGCTCGCTTTCCTCCTCCGGCTGGTCATCTTCCGGGTCGTCATCCTCGGGGAAGGGCGGCGGATTTGGGTCGTCCGGGTCGATAAATCCGCTGTCGGAACTGGGGCCACCTGGTGGGCCTGGGGGGCAGAACAAGCACGGCTTATTGCAGAAGACGATGCACGAGTATCCGCAGTTGGCCGTGCAGCTTGGCCCGGGCGGACCATCGGTCACGACGCTGATGGCGACCGGGACGTGTGACGTGGTAGTACCCGTCTATACGGCAAGAACATACAGTTAGTTTCGTTTCTCCCAGGCTAGTGCCCAGTACTGTGCGAGGAGGTTTTGACATGTGAGAGACAGGGACTACTACTAGGCTCTTCTTACCTCGTCTGGTGGCGGGCTCGATGACGACGTGGGCGTCGAGAATGAGTATGGCCAGGGCGGCGGCGTGATGGTCCGCGTGACAGGCGGATGAGTGACGCCTTGGCTCAGGGGGTCAGGGTCATCCGTGATGGTGAAAGGAGGTGAAAGAACACTAGTGGTGAGCCATATGGCCGTGACGTCGGTCGAGTTCGGGATGACTGTGTTCCAGAAGTTGATATCGGTCGTGGTAACAGGTGGGATCGTCAGCGTCGTGGTGACGACAGTTCTCGCGATGGTCGTGATGGTTGTAGTGCTCTGGTCCGTACCCTTGGTCGTCAAGGTAGTCGTCCACGCAACCTCGAGGGACGTTGCATACGAAGGAAACTTAAACGTGGTAGGGGTGGGCAGGATGAACGGCGGTAGGATAAGCTGACATGGAGGTGAGCACGTCACGGCGGGTTGATCTCAGTGTAAATGTCTGGGCCCACGTAGAGCACGCCCGGCTGGTCACAGGTGCCGGCCGGACACCCGTCGTCCTCGGTAAACATCTGCATGTCAATAGCCCAGTCGCTGGTGCCAGCGAAGTTCAGGGACCTGTACAGACCGACGCGCGACTGCTTGGTGTCGTCTGACATGTATGCAACCCACTGCGTGCCGTTGTAGACCAGCATATCCGACTGCGAGTCGTCGTCGAACCAGGTATGGGCAACACCCTGGGCGATGATGCTGTTGATCTCGGCGTTGGCGAGAATGCCGGCCGTGTCCGTACACTGGCCCGGTCGCGCCGCAGACCCCGGGCCCAGGTAGGTGCACATCGGCCCGGTGCAGCCAGCGTCGGTCATCGCGAAACTCCGGCCTTAGCTGGATATTCCGACGGCGATCTTGCTAGACGGAACGCCGGCTTTCGTGACTAGTGGCCAAGATAGCATCAGCCAGACTAACATGTGCAGTGAGTCGAGGGCCAAGACTTACTCATGGACAGGGCAAGCATGGTTTCCGTTGTATTGACTAGCAAAGGACGTTATTGTGAGAAGGCAGCTGCACACGAGTCACGCAACGGCAGAATACGTGGCGTACCATGGCTTCACAGGCAGTTGCCCGCAGGGCATCCCGAGTCGGAGTATTGGTTCCCATAGTCCCATTGCCCTTGTAAGAAAGGTTAGTAGTATGCTCGATTATTCCTCCCAGGCCGAGAGACAAACTGTGGAGGTCGTAGGTCATGTACACGATGTAATCCACCACCGAGGCTATTTCAGAGATAGGAAAGCTTTGGAGATACCAGTACGATGCAGGGGCCGCAATCGACAGGCTGATGCCCCTAGGGAGCTTTGTGCGCAGTAACTGCAGCATCTGCAAGTAGTTCTCGCCATCGTCTGCCTGTCCGGGCGGGATGCCGGGGATATCGGGGGCCTCCGTGATGCTCAATATATCAGCTGGCCATCGTCTAGATTCGCGGTGCGAAGACATACCCCTGGATACTCCCAGTCAAAGTCCACGCCATCCACCCCGTACCTAGTCAGCAGGGCGACGACCTTGTCGGTAAAACTATCCCGGTTCTCTGAGCTAATAGCCTCACGGAGAAGGTTGTAGGTGGCCAGGTCTGTCGAAACTCCCCAACCCCCGAACGAGACGATGCGCTTGGTCCCCGCGCCTAGATCAAGAAAGGATTGGAACTGCTTGTAGGTGTCATTGATGCTCACGCTCAGGTCCTGGCCGATGACGCCAAAGGCCCAGTGCAAGTGGCTGTAAGAAGTACTCAGCTCCGAGACGTCGACGATGGGCATGTGCATGCACGGCCGGTCCATGTTCCACGTCTCGTAGTATTCGATCGAGAGGAAACTTCCGGGGGCCTCATCGTTGTTGACGATGTCGCTGCCGCAACTGGCGACACAGCCGTTCATGCCCGGCGGCGCCGTGCCGGGATTTACGTAGTCGCCCTCGAAGGGCACGCAAAAGTCGCCGTCGATGCCGCATTGGCCCCATATGTTACAACACGCCTTCAGCGGGCATGGGTTTAGGTCTGCAAACGCCGTGCCGTTGGACGGCGGTTCCGTGCCTAGGAAACTTTTGTCAGATCAGATGCAATGCAGACAATAAGGTGGTCTCGTGGCATGGCCTACCAGGTACAGTAGGCCCGCAGACCGAACTGTTCATTGGCGCCGGCAAAGGTGCGTCGCCTGTTGAGAGACAAATCTTCAGCCCGAGGTCCAAGCCCTTGGAACAGTTGTTGAAGCCCCACATCGTCACCTAATTGAAGTCGGTGATGTTATCGACTGTGAGGCCATTTGCGGCCGCGATGGAAGAGCATGTATCGTCCGGGTGCGCAACATAGGTCGCACAGGTCCCGTTGGGAAAAGGCTTCAGTGTGATATTTGGAAGCGTGCCAGGCGAGCAGCACACCCGCTCGCCCGGGGTTAGAGCTGAACAGAGGTCCGGGTCCGGGTTGTACTTTGTGAAGTCAGCTGCCGATATGCCACATCGCGAGGCCAACGAGCCGCAGCCGTCCCCGGAGATGACTGTTTGTGTGGTGCAGTCTGTTCGAGACACAGTTATGCTGCGAACGTTGGGTGCAGCCGCCACCACCAAGAACGACGCAAGGCAAAGATAGAGCAAAGTGGTGACTGGTTGGGCCATTTTTAGTTGGTAGACGTGCTAGGAGGGCTTGAGTCAGGACAATTTGGCCAAGTTGACAGATACGGTTTGGAATCGAGCCCTTCGTGGGCGTCTTCGACGTCTACTTTATACATATCAGGCTGGACGCACCACACGAGGACTGTATTCCAGCACGCTGACGGGTCAAACTCGATTCTGCTTGTTCTGGGGGCTCACCCCAGAACGGAACCTCAACATTGTCAGTCGTCCTCACGGTTCTCGGCTTGTACAGCCTCAGCTTACGCTGTGATGCCATTTTGTTTCAATGGCGCTTTTAGAAATGAAAAGGGATGGTAACACCTCGCTGAGTACTGCCATCAAGAAGCATTCTTGGGCAACACTGTGCTGACAGGATTGAGTCAGCAGGATTTCGACTCCAACATACCTAGGCAGTGAATGACCGTCTGCCGAGAAGGCGATGTCTTGTCTTGGTTGGATTTGAAGGCGGAACACACGTCAGACATACTTATCATACTCAGTACACCAAACGGAGGGCATGATCAGACAACCAAGGGTCTCATACCTCTTAGAGCTGGCGTTGGGTGGGGTGTACACTTAGCCCTCATAAGTCTCCGTACGCCCATGTTGGCAAGATTCCAGCAAAGCAGTGGGATATTTAGAAATACTGGAATAAGCACCCTGAAATAAGCGTCAGGGACGGCTAATAAAGATCTAACTGCTTATTCCGGTATGCTTATACCGATATGATGGATTTACCGTGGTTTGTTGGAAGGGTCGCGTACGGAGACTTATGAGGGTTCAGTGTACATGTACCAGGACAAGTCAGATCACCATAACATCAAGTATCCGTTCCTCGGCGTGGGACGAAATACTAGAGGACACACCTGAGATGGTGGTTCTCCTTCGGTTGTGGTGTCCTCAGTGAGACGATGTATCAAAACCACGCTGGTCGACACCTTTATTTCGAGCCTCGACGCCGGCAGAAAGCGGTTGTCAAGAATATTATGAAGGCTAGCATCTTTTCATTCTGTGTCTGTTCCTTCTGGGACTCCGTGCGTACTCCGTTCATTGTCCCTCGGGGATTAGTACGAGACCTCCCTGGTTGGGGAGGCTGTGGGTGTTGGGATGCAGCACAAGTGTGCTGCCGCTGATGCTGTGGGCGAGTGCTCGTAGCAAAGGGGTTGGGTTCAGCTGAGGTCAGCCGGTCATTTGTATAACCAGCGGCTTTGCCTGCGCCGTGTAGCCGCATTGTATTGACCGCCCTTTCCCACACAACTTGGATTTCGTAGGTATAATTGCCGGCGGTAAGCGGAGACGACTCTGATGGTTGATCTCAGCTGTTTCTCGGCATCTCTGTGACAGTTGATGTTTAATATCCCCGGGAGATGGTTCGAAGTCAAAAATGGACCGCTTCTTCTAATCAGTTACGACCAAGAAACCGTATGCTGTGTATGCTTCGAGGGCCGTCATGTTACCCCCAGACTCGGCGCACGTTCTCGTGCACATCGTGCTTCTCGCTGTGATCGTGTTCGCGAGCCATCCAGGGCCCTACGACGCCCACGATGATGTCCACGCTTCCCTGTTATCGGTTCTGGCCAGAGGCCAGCTTGTCATTGAGTCGTTTGTACCCATTCCTCTTCTCCTGGGACTACGAGTGCCTGCGACGGCATCGGCTCTATTGGGCATTGGAACTCAAATCCTCTCTGTCCTCATTGTGATGCGTCATTTAACACAGGAGGCCGGCGCTCCAAAGTGGTTAACACCCTGACGTTCGTAGTTAACAGCGCGGTATGTTTAGGCAGCTACGTCGGCGTTGTCGACCTCTCAACCTGGTCGCCATCGGCCTCACTGGCCCAGTTGTCGTCACTCTTGTCTGTCTCCGTGCCGCTGTACACGCAGCATTCATTGTTCTTGGGCTCCACGGAATGGCTTGAACGCTGGCTTGGGGTTTGCGAGGTGATCATTGGCATCTGTGGCGCGTTGGGGGCCAACCTGTACGACCTTGTTGCCCTTTCTTTCGTTCTTTTGGTTGCGAGGATAACCCAGGTCGCAGGCGGAGCTGGCGAGAAGGAAGATCAAGAGCCAACACGGGATCGCGGTCATTGGAAAGATCTCGGCTCTGTAGTACTACTCATCCCGCTCCTTATGCTGCGCAGCGTACTAGCGACTCTGGTTGTTCCAGTCCTGATATACGGGACCCTGTTTCACTTCTCAGAGGTGAGCGCCGGGGGCAACTACCACCTATACTATCTCTCGGCACCGGCCCGTCGCGCTCTGAGTCCTGCGTCCGGCATTAACGCAGGACCGCCGCCGGGTCAGTTGCAGCCATACACGCTCGTGCCCTACAGTCCCATATCGCTCTACATCCCGCGCGCCGGTTTCCTCTGGACAAGCTCGTGTGGGTGGACGCGTTCGGCGTCTTTGGGAGCCACGGCGAGTCAGCCGAGGAGGAAGACCAGGCCCAGCGCGTCTTCGTCGTGGATCCCCTCGTTCGCCGACACCCATGGGCGCTAGAGTTGGCCTCCGTTCCGGACGATCTGGACGACCGCCAGAGGGAATACGTGCACAGCCACCTCGCACCGGGAGAGATGGTGCACCTACGCAGTCGAACCACAGGCCGGTATCTGGCTCCCGTCGAGGGGCGACCGTCCATCATGGACCGGGAATTGGGCGTGGGATACGAACATGATGCGCAATTCCGGCGCTGGGAGGTCAGGTGAGTTAGGTGCTTTCCCAGCTTTCCATCGCCGTTCTTCCGAAGATCTGACACAGCACCATTCAGCGCCCGCTTCAATCGTTTGCCGTCGTGGAACACCATTTGGATTCTCAAGTACGACCAGCGGCGCGACACGGGGCTTCGGCTGTACAACCCGGCAAACAAGTCATCCCTCGCGACTAGTTTTCGCACCTATGTCGACTATGACGGAGACCGCAGCAATAATACGGTGCAGCGCGAAATGCAACAAATCGTCGAGGCGACGTGTACAACGGGGGCGAGTGACCAGGCCTCGACGCTTTGGATCGTGGACGGTCAGTACATGACATAAAACTTCATTCGAGTAGTTAACTCGCAGCAGGAGGTCCCCGGCCGGACAACAAGCGGCTGTCCGCCATCCAGCGAGGTCAAGCCCTTGTGCTGGCCCGCGTCGATCTGCACAGGTGGCGCAGCTTGCACGGCACGACACTAGAGCTTTTGCCACGCCCTCCCTTTGCCGGCAGCCAGGTTTCGCAGTTCGCCAAGCTGGTAAAGAGGCTTGTCCTGGGCACCTTTGCTGTGCTTGACGTGCTGTGTCGCTTGCGTCGCCAGCGGCTAGGCGGGATGGGTCCATCTGGCACGAGTGCAAAGAAGACAGTCGAAGCGTTTGCGGTGCCTGTATGGGTGCACATCTTGGTGTTCTGGGGTTTGGGTTTTCCGAGGGCGAACGGCAACCAAACAGCTTTGATGCTGGCCATCTTGAGCCTTGGTAGTATTTGGCACGAGATGAAAGGTCATGTACGGGTACTGGATAGAAGAGCCAGGCACAGGAAATAGACCATCAGTTATTTCAAATAGAGCAGGTCACCATGAGGCTCAGTCAAAAAGCCGACCAGAAACCAGATCAATGTCCTCCAGCGCAGGCTCATGAAAAGTCTTGTACCAGGCCAGCAGCTCGACGACATGCTCAAAAGCCCATATATTCACATCTTCTTGCACCACTAGCGCCGAGCCCAAGACCGCCTGCGCTCGTCGTCCGAGTCCGCGTCTCGGAAGTAGACGAGAAAGCACGTTGCGTCCGGCCCGGCGCCGCACTCCCAGCCTGCGCGCACCTCCCAGCTCGTCTCCACGGCCTTGGCCTTGAGCTCATCGAGGTCGGTCCAGACGCGCTGGGCCACGGCCTCCTCGCCGTCGCCCAGCCCGTCCCAGAACCGAACCTGCTGCTTATTCTCGCGCCACAGGGGCCAGCCGGGCCCCTTGAGCCGGTCCACGTGGGCCATAAGCATGGCAAAGTCAGCAGGGAAGGGTGGCGCGTCGTCGTCTTGCTGCTGCAGCCCGCCGACAAAACCAGCACGGTACTGCTCACGTAGGATGGCGCGTCGAGCCCCGTCGTGCTCCACGACCGTTCCGTCGAGCGCGAGTTCTGGCAGGGCCACGAGATCATCCCACCGGTCCAGGACGTCACGAGGCGCCCGAATGCGCCGAGGGTCGTCCCCAGCTAGCGCATCGGGGCGGGAAACACAGAGCTAATTGAGCATGAAGTCACGTCGGGCTTCGACGGCGTCGTCCTCGCCCCAGTCGGCAGGTGCTTCTGCTGTCCCGGCTTGCTGGACGAGCTTGGCAAAGACTTGCCTGTTGTGCTCGACGATGTGCTGCCTATACGAGGCGATGGCAGTAACGATTTCGGGCTCGGTTGGTTGGCTCATGTCTCGAGCGTATGGGCTGTGATCTAATGACTCGGTTCTTACTTGTGAAAAGCAAGAGTAAAGACGGGATTTGACGAGGACGAGTGCGCAAAAAGATCTAATAAAGCGATCCCGTGGTACAAGATTGAAATCCGGGAAATAAGCTGACGTAGTGAGGGGGTTTTTGCGTGTGTTCATAGCCGGAAAGGAATGAGAGAGGCTCGTCGTCGGTTAGAAGGAGGAGCAGAGGGATAGAAGCGCCGTGAATAAGGAGAACCAGTATCTCGGGAGTATTTAATCATGATAATATTCGGGAAATCACTTAATGTACCAAGCCTAATAAGATGATTATAAACACGTTACGTTCTTGTTGTTTTTTCTTCAGAAGGAAAACATTAGATATGACATCGCTGATATGGGTGAGATATGTGCTTGTATCAATATCTAACGAGATACAAAGTATATGTACTTAATAAGTCCTATCACTTAATGGGAGTCTGCTGCGACGGCGGAGCGAATCCTCACCACCGACACCCTCACTTTAATTCTCATGACCTCACGCCCCCAACGAGAGTATCTCCCAACTCCCTTCCCCGCAGTCGCCTCGATCCCAATCTCCGACGAATCTCGACTCTTTCAATTTCTCCGCCAACAAGATCAGCCCGTCGCCAAGCTCCGGGGGACTCCCAGTCCCACGGCAGTGACGGCACCAAGACTCCATAGCCGATGCAACCTCCCATAATTCATCTCGGACCTCGACTCCTTCAAGTTCAAAGCCGTCTCCGTGTGGCAATCTGTATTTCCACCAACAAACTCCCCTAGTTCGCCTGCCGCCAGTATAGCGCCATGACGAGCTTTTCTAGCGGTTTTAGGATGGCCTCTGGACCCGGCGTACTGGAGATATATAAGAAGAGACGAGACGGCACCACAGCCCGCCGTGACACCACGATCCCGTGCCAGTCCTGTCTTTCGCCATGAACTCCCTCCTAGTCGGTCTTGCCTTTGTGGCTTCGGTCCTGGCCGAGGGCCGTACGTCGGCCCCGGACGGCTGTCTGAACGTAGCCCAGAGCGGTGGTGACTATAGCACCATCCAGTCAGCTGTCGATTCGCTCTCGACGACGTCCTCGGATGCTCAATGCGTATTCGTCAACCCCGGTACCTACAGCGAACAGGTTCTTGTGAGCGCACGCAGTGCTCAGCTGACCTTCTACGGCTACACCGACGACACGACGAGCTATGCCGACAACCAAGCCACCATATCCTATAACCTCAGCCAGGCTGACGGCCTCTCCAACGACCTGACCGGCACCCTCCGTATCAAGGCGACCAACTTCAAGATGTACAATATCAACGTGAATAACGGGTATGGGGAAGGGAGTCAGGCTATAGCTCTGAGCGCCTACGCCGACAGCGGCTACTACGGGTGCGCCTTCACCGGATTCCAGGACACGCTCCTGAGCAATGTCGGTAACCAATACTACGCGGGCTGTATGATTCAGGGTGCAACCGATTACATTTTTGGCCAAGAGGCTGCCGCTTGGTTCGAACAGTGTGACCTGCGCGTGCTCGCAAGATCTTTGGGATACATCACAGGTTTGTCGCCACCTCCGAGGAACTGGTGGTGCTCCCGACTAACCTGTCTTCCTCTGCAGCCAACGGTGAAGATACGGCAGACGGTACATCTATCTACGTTCTCAACAACTGCGACATTGCTGCTGCCGACGGCAACACGGTACCTGAGGGCGCGTACTACCTGGGCCGACCCTGGGGTGATCATGCCAAGGTTGTCTTTCAAAACACCGCCATGTCTGCGGTCATCAACGAGGACGGGTGGCACATATGGAACACCGGCGACGAGAGGACGGATAACGTCTTGTTTGGCGAGTACAACAACTCGGGCGTTGGCGCAGCTGGCCCTAGGGTCGACTTTGCCACCATTCTAGACTCGGCCTATGCTATCGCTGATGTCCTCGGCGACGGCTATGCGAGCGCCGGTTATTATGACGCTAGTTATTTGTGATCTAATGTATCTATTTTCGGCATGTGTCTCGCCATGGAACAGTCACCCTTGGGCAGGGCGGCTTCAGGTGTATATACCTGGAATGCTCCGCCATACTTAGAATTACCGAGTTTCGGCGGTATAAGCGACATGTCTCACCGCCTATCGCCTATGACTCAGTCCTTGCAGACACTCGACCAGATGATCGAAGTTGAGCAAGCTAGACGGGCGGGGGCTTGCCCGCTTCTCCTCAGTTCATGAAGCTTGTACAGGCCTAAGCAACCTTTGCAGGCACATCTGCGACTCCGAGTGGCTGTATACCAGGCTCTCCACTCTTGTGATACCCCAGATTCCCCAACGATCGAGGAGAGGACTTGGTCGTGGGATCTATCAGCGCTATGGAATCTCAGGGCCATCCATACGAGTGAACGTGCTGGCTGACTGGAATCTCAGGGTTTCAGGTTGCTCAACACCACAGCCTGATTCGTTACCGTTGTAGGTGGAACACGCGCACACACCAAGATTAGCAAACGACATAGCAGTGGGTGTCTTGGCTCGAATGGACGGTGGCAATATGAAGAGGTTGTCCGCTGACATGTGTGGCGCTTGGCCAGGTCATGACTACTCCAACACACGCATGTCGAGTCCTCCGGGAGAATCCACCGCGATATACTTCAGCTCACCCAGTTCACCACCAAGCGGTTGACAGAATACATTGTATAATCGACTGGACATCGCATTGGTCCCGGCCGCGATTGATCGCCATAGACTCCGAATAGACGCTCATTCAACTGCAGTTCATTGTGTCGACGGCCTGAACAAATACCTCTGATTGCCTGCCGGGAGAGGTATCGTCTCCCAACTGTGCGATGACTGTCAGAAAGTCGACGACGATTACTCCTTTACACAGCCCGAAACGCTCTGGCATATGTATACCGCGAGACACCAGGACTTCTCGACTGCTTCGACGCCTCCGACCGAGGAGCTTGGGTAACCCGTTCCATAGTAGTACTATACCCCGTGGGGAGTCGGAGAGTTTGCTGGACGAACCTGAGTTGATTTCGCGCATCGTTGAAGTTGCCGAGCCTATAACGGAGTCTCCTCATCCAGTCCACACAGATGGTGCAGCCACGCTCGAGCAGTCCGTACAGGCCACCACCACCTTCGATGACGGCAGTCCAGATGCAGAGCAAGGCTCCAATGTCATCCCGTCACCTAGGTTATCGAGCACAATATATACGCTCGAGGACTTCACTCACATCGATATTGTGTCCGGCGAAGCAGACAGACGGAGCTTCAGTATATCCCGAGACCAGCCAGCGACAGTCTCGCCTCAGGGCCATCATGATCGTATAGGCTGCACTGGAACACCCGTACGACTTGGCGACAACCTAGTGGATGGTTCACTCATAGTCCCAAACCCATACTGCGTTATCGACCCACCGAACGCGATCGAAAACGACCCGAACCTAGGCCATTCAGCTCTGATCAGCGGGAAATCCCTCGCCCTTGACCTGAATGATACCAGCGAGTTCACTGGAAGCTACACAAGCGCTGAGGAACAGCAGCAACATGAGGTTGCCGAGACGGGCGTCTTGCTGCAGGAGAACCAGCGGCTGCTAGCTGAAGTACGCGAATTGAGGGATGCACTGTCCAAACAAAGTTCGCCGCCCAATTCCCAAGATGAAGCCAGACCCGGAGGCCAGGGCTCGGTTCAACGTTCTGCCAGAAATGGCAAACCGAAGAGGCCACTGGTACTTTCCAGCGTGATCCAAGATGTCACTTTGCGTGATCTGGTCCTGAAACGAACGTTCAAGCGTCACAGCCGGACCTCAAGTACTACCGACACGGGCACCATCACACTCGATACTCCTTTGTCGGCCGCTCAAGCTACACATTTCACGCAGGTAATGGACGACATAGCGGCGAAGAACCTGCCGCTACCTATCGTTATTTGTGCCGTCTGCCACCTCCCCAAGTTCAAGCACAAGGACGCCAACAGTCCGAAAGGGGGATCCTATCTGTCCGAGATCGTCGCCCTGAGTCCGGGTGTGCCTGTAAAGCTGGAAGACTTCAATCCCATTTGGAGCACGACTGACTGCTGTCGCAAATTTGTCTGCAACACTTGCCTGTCAGCAGCTGTGGTGGAGGGAATACGCCATCACTGGTGGTACGACCTGGCTCACGTCGACTCTCCGTGGTTGAAGTGTCCGGTGCCGTGCTGCACGTACAGTCTCCCGTTACAATATAATCTCGATATCCTCGACACTCTCGAGGAATTAGGTGTTCCTAATGCTGTCGCATATACACAGCAGTTCGAGCGTGCCAACCAGCTCCGCTCGGCCCTGCAGGCTCTACCGTCCTGGCCGGGGAAGAGAGAGGCCCGTCTTGCTATAGCCTTGCATGACCGCCTTGTCAAGCACACGTCGATGCGGCCTTTGCTAGAAAACGTCTCTACAAACACGGATACCAACACTATGCCGCCCAGGGTTGAGTTGCTGCCAATCGATACTGCAGACGGCCAAGCCACGCTGCAGATACCCATCTTCACTCACCTACTCCGTCCGAGAGTACCACGCGACTGCATAGTTTGCGCAGAGACACATGACGAGTTTACCAGTGGTTATCCTCAGCTCTGGAATAGGGCAATCAAAGGATTCACGGGCGAATGGACATGGCGAATCCTGTTCTTTCCCACGGCGGAAATCCTTCCGGACTGCCAACATGAGTTCCATATCTGCCGCAATTGCCTCGCGACGCACATCAGCACGCAGATCGAGTCACAAAGCCGAAACGCTGTTGACAACATCGCCTGCCCGACGCCAGACTGCAGCCACAAGTTCACGCACGCCGAAATACGCAACCTCGCCAGCCCCGAGACGTTTGCGAAGTACGATCGCTACGCTGTTCTCAACACCATTTCGCTCCTCTCCAACTTCCGGTGGTGTCTGCGCGAGGGCTGCACGTTCGGCAGCCTCTACGACGACCCATCGACGACCAGTACGCAATCAGTGTCATCCCACGACCCTAACCATATCTTGTGCACCGAGTGCACCTTTAGCATGTGCTACACCTGCCAGACGCCATGGCATCACTCGCTGACCTGCGCTGAGTACGAGTCCCTCCGCGCGCACGGCGACCCGCGATACATGCACACACAAAAATGGATATCCCAGAATACGAAGGGCTGCCCGGGCGCGGACTGCGGCGTGCCGGTGCAGAAGGGCTCGGGCTGCTTTCATATGACGTGCAGCGAGTGCAAGCACGAGTTCTGCTGGGAGTGCCTGGCGAACTGGGACGACATTGTGGTGTATGGGAGATTCAGGCTCGAGGGGCATCGCGTGGGATGCTATTTCAGGGGCGAGGACGCGGTACCGCCAACGCAAGTGCTGGGGAGGGATCTGGAGAGGGGGTTGACGCGGCTAGGGGCGGGGCCTGTTGCTGCATAGGGTGCTGGTAGAGGGACTGGATAAAGTCCAGTGGTAGTAATGAACGTCATGCTTCAAACAGATTGCGTTTCCGAAAATTGTGCCTTGACAGGACCCAGGGCATTGTGATCTCACGATCGGATACCGTACCATAGGCGTTACCACCAGCGTCAACTGCTGCATTGCCCGCGGCGTCGAGCTACCATCGGGTTAAGATGAGATTGAGAGAGAAACCCACTATTTCTCCACACGATCCGGCCGTGTATATGGTAATCAATGATCATTCGGGATGTTAGAAAGCTGGGAGGTGAAGAAGGCGGATATCCGCTTGGACCCTTGGGATTCCCGGTCAACTCCGATGAGAATCTGGCCGATCCGGAGGTGTGCTGCGGAGATGTTGCTTAGTAGAACCACCTGCAAGTACCACCTCTTAAACCTCGACCGTTGCCCGGCCTGCATCGTGATCAAGACTATATCTGTTACTTACTCATCTCGCATAAGCTTACTTGGAAGTATTCCTCGACTCGCTTGCATTCATACTGACTCCGGCTTCACATCAAGCACAGCCTACTCAACGAAAATGGCAGAGCCATATCTTATGTGGGTGGGCGGCAAGGAGCAAGCCGGCAAGGCAGAGCTGTGAGAATTTCCCCTGGAACCATACAAGACACGTCGCTGACAGAGATCACAGTATACCCATAGAAGACCCTGCGACGGGGGAGATCTTCGCGCAGTAAGCAGACACACTCCTAGCTGAGGGGTGCACAAACTCAGATATCAATGTCTAACACGATCAAGCTGCCACGCCGCCTCGACCGAAGACGTCGGGACGACCATCGCCCTCGCGCACAAAGCCTACAAATCAGGCATCTGGTCCCGCGCGCCCCGGCACGTCCGCGCCGACGTCCTCGACGCCTGCGCCAGCCTGCTCACCGCAGCACTCCCCTCGCTCATCGCGCTCGAAGTAACGCAAACAGGCCGCGCCGTGCGCGAGATGCAGGCCCAGGTACCGTCCCTGACGAAGTGGTTCCGGTACTACGCGTCGGTCCTGCGCGTCGAGGAGCGGCCCGTGCTGCCGACGACGGGCAAGCTGCACAACTTTGTCGACCGCGCGCCGCTCGGCGTGGTCGTGCAGATCACGCCGTTCAACCACCCGCTGCTGATCGCGGTCAAGAAGCTGGCGCCCGCGCTGGCGGCCGGAAACTCGGTCGTCGTCAAGCCGAGCGAGCTGACGCCGCTGACGACGCTGAGGCTGGGCGCGCTGCTCAAGGAGGCCGGGGTGCCGGATGGAGTCTGTAGTGTGCTGCCCGGGTACGGCGCGTCGACGGGCAGGGCTTTGGTGGAACACCCGCTTGTGAGGAAGGTGGATGTCACGGGTGGTACGGTCGCCGGACGGGCGATCGGGGCGATTGTGGGAGGCAACCTGGCGAAATACACGGCGGAGCTTGGTGGTAAGGCGCCGCTGGTCGTGTTTGCCGGCGCGGACGTACAGTTGGCGGTCAACGGTATCGCGTTTGGCAGTTTCGTCGCAAGCGGACAGACGTGCATCGCGAGCACGCGGATTATCGTGGACAGCAAGATCTTGCCCGAAGTACTGGACAAGCTGAAGGCAAAGACGGAGTCCATTGCCAGACGCATGGGCGCGCCGAATAACCCGGACTCAATGATGGGGCCGCTGATCTCGGCGAGGCAGCTGGGGAATGTCGAGACGCTGGTCGATGAGGCTTTGGCCAGTGGACGTGCCCAGGCGGTGGCTGGTGGGAAGAGGATGAAGGGCACAAGTCCGCTTGATGGGATCGATTTTTCTAAGGGCTACTTCTTTGAGCCAACAGTCTTGGTCTTTAGCGACGGTGATAGCATCCAGAAGACGCGCATCTGGCGAGAAGAGGCCTTTGGACCGGTCATAGTCGTGGTCGGTTTCGACACCGAAGAGCAGGCCATCGCGCTGGCGAACGACAGCGAGTTTGGGCTTGGGGCGGGAATATGGACCCAGAACCTGGCGCAGGCGTTCCGTGTCTCCGAGCAGATCGAGGCGGGTATAACGTGGGTGAACACACATCATCGCAACGACCCGAGCAGTCCGTGGGGCGGCGCGAAGTCCTCAAGCGGTGTTGGGAGCGAGAACGGTATAGATGCGTATCATGCTTACACGACCACCAAGAGTACCATCATCAGCTACGCGTCGACGGAGGAGGCCCTGGCATCGGATGATTGGTTCAGGGAGGGTGCAGGCAACGTGAGATATGGGTAGGTGTGTAGGTACACTGAGCCCTCGTAAGTCCCCGTACACCACCCGTCCAGCAAACAACGGTATATTTATCGAATCGGAACAAACACCATGAAATAAGCATTAGGAGTGGCATATCAAACCAGAACTGCTTATTCCTGTATGCTTATCCAGTATTTTAATTCTTTACTGGTCATCTGGAATCTTATTAACGTGCGCTGTAGTTGATGTCGACTGAGGTCATGGAGGAATGGGATTACTCATTATTAGGCTACTTGTGACGAATTTATCTCAGTCGCAGCAATGTCCTTCACCGCGAGCTCGACAGTCGATTGTCACCGTTCACCATAGCGCTCCTCGTGGTTCCGCAATGCCCAACCGCACCTGGTGAGCCAGAACATGACTATGAGTGGTGTGGTCAACAGTCCCAGCGCAGCTCCCTGAATCAGCTTGAAAATCTGCGGCACCCACTCTTTCTTATAATACCAGTCGTCGCCCTGCCTCTGACCAACAAGCCTCAGAAACCCGACGCTGGGACCCCAGACGATGGGGAAGAACACCACGGCCAGCAACAGCGCCCGGACGACCTGAGACCGCAGGAAAGCCAGCCAGTGCCGCCAGCTCCTAACCTTGCGCGTCTGCTCCTTGCGGTCCAGGAACAGGTACCACCGAACCAGGGACCACTTTGGCTCGGGGATGAAGCCGATGGGCTGCACGCCACCTTTCTTCAAGTCGCGGTTGACGAGCATGAGTTCAACGTGCCATGTGATGAGAAGCTGGATGAAGGTGGTGAGTGCTGCGTCGCCGGCGAGTGTGTTTGGGAATTTCCATAGTCGGATGGGGCCAGTGACTCCGTCGGTTGCGTACATGGCTAAGAGGCACGTGAGCACAACGGGACGGCGACAAGAGGAAGTTCGGGTAGGGGAATCATCATGTACCGTAGGCGATAGCGAAGTTGATGCCGCCGGAAACTAGAGCAGCGCCTATGCCGTCGAGGATAAAGCTTCTCGCAAATTTGAGTCAGTAGTTGCTTCATTTAGGAATTTTGCCGAGAAAAAATGAAGTCGTAATGCGTGTCTCGGGAGCAAAGGCTCTTGACACAGGCTATAAGAGGAAGTTCCCGCTCAGGGCATGGCCATATGGGGAAATAAAAGACTCGAAAATGTACATACATATAGAAGATCTGGTGACCGGTGAACTTGCTGCTTGGCACCTTGAACCGGGTCGGGACGCTATCGAGAACCTGTTGCCGTGGATCATCGTTGCCAGACTCGACATCGGCCCCGTCTTTTGGTTTGGGCTCTGGAAAATCTTCTGGCTTGAAGAGAGGGTTCGTGGCCCAGGGCATAATGATGCTGCGGGAGTCGCGCAATAGGTAGGTGGCGATGATGAGGAGCAGGCTCTCGCCGTCACTTGGAAACGTGACTTATTCTTGGTCCGAGGGACACCCAGGCTAACGGCAGGAACCTAGGCGGACGTCGCAGGAGGAAGGGGCCTTCACGCGTGAACAAAGGAGAGGCAGGCGACGATGGTGAAAGAAGTTTGCCCACCTGCCTCGACAACGCGATCTTGGCAAACGGCGAAGCTTCCACAGGCTCATTGATGAGAGGAAAGCTCGATCAACAGCGCGGAACGAACCACTATTGCCACGTCCGTGGTCAGTCCGTCACTTCCGCTTTGAGATGATCAAATTCAGGGTCATTTTCCATCTGCCGGGAGCCCCGGAGACATCCACTTGGATTTGCCAGACATTTTAACGGCCTCATCAGTTGTCAGCAGCGCGTTTGTGGTCAAGTGCTTCTCCAAGCACAGGCTGTTGAGTATTGACAGATGATATTGGGCTTTCATGTAGTGATGACACCGCAACGATCCCTCTACTGTTACTTCGGCTGATGAATGCTGGACCTTGGAGTGTTGTGCTGAGCAGTTGGAAAGTCATGCCGCTGTTCTGGGACTGGGAGATTATTGACAAAATTGAAGTCGCTACACTGACCCTCCAAAAGTCTCCGAGCATCCACCACGCTAGTTTCAAAACGCGTCTACGCGCTCGCGACCCCCTTCCTTTTTCACCTTTTATTTACTTAATACCAAAACGATGGATTTACAAAGATTGGTACAATTCTGACCACAAATCGCGGGCCAAACCAGGAATTTACTTCCGAAGCTCGTGCAGCTATTGTGGCTGCCAGGGCGGCAGGCGCAAGGCGCGACGATGTCACGAACGTGTTCCATCTGGATCGGCCTCAAACCGTGACCGACATTATCAATACTACTAGAGAACATAACACCACGGTCTCTCGACCTCGAGAGGGAGCCACAAGGACTCTAAACAAGCACGAAGAAACTCAGCTAATTAAAATGGCATAAAAGTACCTCAAACTCACCTACAAAGAGCTCAAAAAGGAAAGCAAGGTCCTCAACTCCTATACCACTATCAAGCACGTTCTTCGTGTTTACGGGCTTTGCAAGTAGAAGGCGGTGAAGCGGATCGAGCTTACGGAAGATGACGCACGAGAGAGGCTTGCTTTTTGTAATAAATACGACTCCCCGGAGGCTCTGGAGGAGCTGATGCGAACGCTCTTCTCAGATGAAGTCATGGTCCAGAATTCACCCGATAATCCGGGCGATTGGGTCATCCGCCTCTCTTCTGAATGTTATAGGCAGGATCTCGTGAACCCTCAGAGTCATGGGAGACCCCGTATCTCCATTATATGTTGGGCCTTGGTCTGGTTACGCGGCGGAGAAGGTGGCCTAGACAAAATCATCTTCTGTAAGCCTGATGAGGATGCTCCTCGCGGAGGAGTATCTTCAGCTTCATATCAAGACGTCCTTGAGGAAGGGCTCCTTCTGTTCTACGAGGCTGGGGATCTTTTTATGCAAGATAACGCTCGCATCTATCGATTTGGAGGCATTCCAGAGTGGCTAGAGGAGCACGGCATCTGGACGATCGACTGGCCTGCTCACAGCCCTGATTTGAACCCGATTGAGCATATTTGGGCACTTTTAAAGAAGCAGATATAGAGAATCGAGCCTGGTTTCGCTGATTTGAAGGTTAATATTGCCCACGAGGCATATGCCAGACAGTTAATCAAAAGGGCGTGGTCAGAGACCAATCCTGAGGATGTACACGTTCTCGTTGAATCTCCCAACAACCGAATCGCCGCAGTGAAAAGGGCAGGTTGTTGGTACACACACTATTGAATGGCTTATATAATGCAGTTTTTTATATATTATTACAGTGAGAGATGGGTGCGTGGTGAATGCTGAAAGTTGGAAGGTGTAGGCGTGTAGGGCTGCTCGAAAAGTGGGCTCGGAGACTTCTGGTCGGGGAGTGTAGCACAGGGGTCTCGGCGTCTAGTGAGGCTGTTTTTGGCTTACCCTCATAAGCCTCTATACCCAGCTCATATGCTTACAAGGATATATATCTTACAGTGTGGCTCCTCAACCCATTTTCCAGACACAATAACGGATGGGTCACGGACCAGGATACAAGGTACCTTGGAGCCCAACGGGTACCCGTTTGTACCTGATTTGTACCCAACTGGGATGATAGCTACTTCTGGGATGGGGACACCACCCATCCCTTCTTTCAATCAAGCAACTTCCAGAATACAGACCAATAGCCACCTATCGTGACCCTGGTCCTTATTCTGGATACCGCTACCACAAGGCACAACAGTAGATTAAGCGAGGTTGTTATTCTTTCTAGCTCTAGTATTTGGTCTATTAATTCGGCCGAAACAGGCCTCTCATGTGCTGGCATCAATTGTAAGTCCTTCAACTTCACAAACACATGGTCAACCGATGTGGTATGCTATGGCTCATCTTGCATGGGCGAATTCTCATCAGCCTGCTCCGGAACCAGCTCGCTGTCTTGAGGTGGAAACCTTGAAAACAGAAGCAGACACACTCCGACGATGGCGATTGCCTTCAGTCGTGTCAGCTACTCATCCCAAGGTATTCAGGTTAAAGCAACTCACCGCGTTGCAGTAAAAGGTCAGATACGACTTTCCAGCATCGGCCAACGTGGAAAATATGGCACCAAAGAGCCCCAAAGTGGTGAACGTCGCCGTGTACTCGACCAGCGTCATGGCCTGGAGGACTTCGGCCTTCTGAGACGCAGGCACCATTTCGGTCAGGACGCCTTTACTTGCTGGCGCTGATCCGGAAGCTAGGGGAAGCAGGAATCCCACTGCAACGATCGTTAGCTCAGCTCACGTACAGCCAGAACTCAGGACGTGCGTACCCATATACATATGCCAACCCTGGGTGGCAAAAGCCGAGGATGCCGTGATGACACCGTCGATGAGGAGACTCCACCGCAAGAAGAACAAGTCAAACGCCGCGCCCTCAGTTCTTTCCACCGGGCTCGGGGGTTTGGCGGGCTCCTGGTCGGCGACTGTTATAGGTACGGGGTCAAAGTCCCGTGGCTCGGTCGGGATGACCGTGTCGAGGTCCGGCTCGGGGCTTGCTACCCCGGTCGACGTTTTGAACCATCTGCGCCCATAGGAGATGATGTGCGGAAACACGAACATCAGGAAGATCCCCCGGATGAGGCAGTTGACCGCCATAAGAAGACTGTTGTTGGTTGACCGGAACCCAAACTTGGTCATGGCGTACATCTGGATCAAGGTAGGTGCATACCCCGTGGCAAGGACTCCGGTGAATACCCCAAGAGCAAGGAAGAAGATGCCATAATGTCTGACGATACGTCCGTCGGTAAGCCTCATCCTCTGCGATCCGAGTGCCTTCAGTGGCCCAAAGAAAGCGGATAGTCCCTTTGCTTTGGGACCCTTGTCCCCAGCCGTGAGGGACTTTGGGTCGACGTATGGCACAAACAAGCAGCTGTATACACAGCAGAGAGCAAGTGAGATGGCTGCAAGGTCGAATGGCGCTTTGATGCTAACCCTCTCCGCCACGATGCCGCCGACAAGATATCCTAGAGCTACACCAAGCATCACCACACCTTGCAGCCTTCCAAACATGGCGGTTCTAGCGGCCGGCTCCGTGATCTCGGCGATGATGGTGTTCAGCACGAGTATGTAGCCGGCAGGGCCGCCCATAAGGGTCAGTATCTGACTCATCTGCATCACGATGAGCCCACCGCCGGCCCCCACCCACAGCGAAGCGGCCTGTATGCTGACCCGAATAACCGGAAAGAAGGTCTGAATGGCCAAGGCCATCTTTGGACCAACCCTTCTCATTTGCCACCCTGTGATGAAGAGGTTCAAGATAGCGCATACTATGGTAGCGCAGCCCATGATCGCGAGCTGCGCCGCAGCACCGGCGTCTATCTCGTTGCGGCTACAGCGGTCGCCAGGTCCTTCGTACGCAGGCGCATGACGATAGTATTCCTCGCAGACCATCACATGGAACGTATACAAGATGCTACCGAGAGTCAGTGAGCACGGCTGAATGCCAACCGGGGGTGGAGGAAGTTCCTTACGGTGTCTGCGTGTAACTGAACGATAGCGATATTATGAACCCTGCAAAGAGGATCCTGGTGGCAGGCGAGAAGAGCGCCGCCCTCTTCGGCGCAGCATCGCTTCCGCCCAGTAGTGGTGCCGTCTCGTCGTTCGCCATTTAACTTAGTCTCCGAGGGGCGCCTGAGATTTGATGATGAGAAATCTGGAAACAAGCTTCCTTCGAAGTGCCTGGGGCTGGTATTCTCAAGATAACGCTATCAGTCCGAGCCATTTTGTGTCGAATTGGCCGCTGCATGTGTCCTTCACGGTTCACCTGCAGTACGGTAGCCGATCACGGCGGACCCCGTCCATCCCAACCTGCACGTCGAACTATTATCTCCGCCTCGGTCGGTCTCTACCCTTTCGAGCAGGCAATGTCACCCATCACCTTACCGCAGTGTATGGTACCCTGGCAGATTTGATTGCTATTACAGGTCGCCAGCATCGACGCATCGGAAGTAGTAGGGTAAGCGCTAGACTAGGGGGCTTGGATACCTGGTATCCCCCCTATTAATCTCTGTGCAACGATACCTCTAAAGTTCTAAATTATAACACTCTATGAAAAGAACTTATGAACAAGGGTATATTCCTTCACAGTCTATTATCTGAGTCATACGGAGACAATTAGCGAGTGGTCGCCGTCGTCGCATTCGTCAGCACAAACGTTCGGCGCGGGGTGGAGTCGAAAACGCAACAATCAGATCAAGACTGAGAGGACTCAGAGAAGGTTCACTAAGCCTCTCCATCTGGCCCAAGCAGAACTAAAAGTACTATCCGGTCTCCAAACGTTGAACCCGCTGATGAGTCCAAGACTGTCGTGTCTCGTCCTGTTCCACCCGCAGGCGTCCTCTCACTCTGATCGAGTAACAGTCAGGACGGACCAAACATTCAGCGTCGCCGACCCGACGAAAAGGCGTGTGCCTCCATTCAAGGATGGGCAACGCCATTGGTGCTTTTACCTGGACACAGACCGGATGAAGTGCGCTTTAAGATCACCTCCTGGATCTCTCGAGATGGCGCGGTAAAGGTCCTATCGGGTGACCGGTTCGCTTCCCCGGTTATTCTCACATCTCGACTCAATCCTTGGGGCGCGGTACTGCGGTTGCTGGATGCGAAATATCCCTGGACTGAGACAGCAAATATCGGTGAACTATGATTGTTATCGTGGTGAACGGCTAGACTCTTATTTGAGTCTCGTGGACGTGGACTGCTAGAGTCGACCAATCGGCGCAACGAGTTATGCATGCGTCAGCTTACCAGAAGGGCCTCACTAATCACGACCTCGTTTTAACGGTCAAGGAGTGCAAGTGAGTGGTAGTGAAGGCTTGAGCGGATTGTAATCGATGGCCCGACGCGCTTCGGGGATCCCCAGTTTCTCATGGGCGTGAGCTCTACTGTAAATCTTGGCCGCAGGAAACATTTGGATATAAAAGGCGGCATAGAACCCACAACCTCAGACCCATTCCCAAAACTAGATCACGCTTGGTATCATCATGCTTACCATAGTCCTCCCAGTTCTCGCCTCGGCCCTCCGCGTGGCCGCTGGCCTCGTGGTTCAGCGAGACCCAGGAGACCCCGATTTCTACAACACCGTGGCCGAGATATACTCAGGCCCAGACTGCGCTGTGGACAGCTTCGTGTGGGCCGACCCCATCTTTGGGCGCGGCGGCGTGTGCCAGCCTCTCGACAGGAACAACAACACCCCAGATATCCTGAGCTACAGGCCTACCGCCATCTATCCAGACTGTACAGGTGAGTTTTGAATACGTTCGATCGCAGCTTGGAGGAAGCATGGCTAACAGGGACATAGTTACCCTCTACACCGACTCGGAATGTCAAAGCACGCCGTACACTGCAGTTGTGGGTGAATGTGTGCAAGCAGGGGTCCCTCTTGTCAGTGCGTTCGTCCAGTGCCCTTTCTCGGACAAGCTTTGAGGGGTCGGTGGGATGGAACTGGGATTCAGAGTTTGTAGATCAAGTTAATGCTAAGCCACGTCAACGGGAAGGCCATAGTAGTTCGCAACATCCCTACAGGTAGCGCAACACGATCTATCTAATGAAAAGATAGAGTTAACAAAGCAAACAATGCCATCGCACCAGAGTTCAATCCAGAGCCTCAGACCAGATCCTCAATCCGCAGCATCCTGAAGTATCCCGCGACAAAGGCATCGGCCATCAGAACCAAAATACCCTTCCACGTTCGGCGTGAGTGGGTGTCGCCAGGGCACCAGCATACTAAGAGGTTTCCCTAGGGTCGCAAGTGATTTCTGCTCCGCGGGACCGTGTCCCACTGCCAGTGCTCCTCATCCAGCTCCGGAAATTCTAGCAAGATCATTTTGAAACCATTGAGGTGAGCTGTGAAGCTCTGTTGTGCTCGGAAGAACTCTGCAAATAGTAAAAGCACAGGTTTATACGCCTGTCCTAAGCCATCCGCTAGTAGATTCTCTGCGGAGCTCGAGCAACGCTCCGTGTGGACGTTAAACCTTAATACTCCTCTCGCATGTAAGCCCGATGCGCAGAGCGACTTCGAAAATAATTTCAGGCACTGTTAGATATCATAACAGTTGTAAGATCATAACAGGCTCAGACAAGGTTTCAGGTCGCTTTAAGGGCTGAATGTATTAGAGCGCTAGCATCAAGGCATTTATAACATACTTGTAACATTATGAACATTGGCTTTTGATTGGTTCAAATAATAAGTATCTGTTATAATTATCTGGTCACTTTAAAAGATTATTTAACTAATTAAAAAAGGCTTTACTTTCAACTCAAAAAAACCTTTTTTTTCCCCTTTTAATATATAATATATAATATTTAATAAATTTATATAATGCTATCTCGCTTACGAACTTTAAAACTTTCATAAACTTTTTATTAGTATCTCTAATCGTTTAAATCTTATTATTTGAATAATTATGTGTTTTTCAGGTTTAAAAGCTGATTACTTTTATATCGTTTTTTACCTATTTTTCAATATAAACTTAATTTTTTATGTAAAATCTTTACAAACTAATTATTTATTTATTTATATATCCTATCATTTGTTAGTTATATCTATTATTAATGTTATTAATTTTTTTTATAACGTATAGTTAAACCAAGAAAAAACAATAATATTATAATCAAAAAGCTTAAAAAAAGCTATGATGAACCATTTAGTACATTTAATAAATATACTGTATACATATATTTAGAATATGTTTGAACTAATCGCTTAATTGTAACGTAGCTGACAAGTGAGTTGACATTACAAGCGAGTTGGCACTCGTCATGAACTCTCCAACTGCCATGTCAAATAACTTCACCACAACGCATTCAGTTCAATTCAATCAATCGGATTTCTCTTCCTCAGAGGTTTCTATCTCTATTGTACAAGTTTGCGCATTATGGCTAGTATTGCCGCAAACGCCACACCGTCGCCCACGCGCTGCCGCCCGCCTCGGACAACGACTACCTTCACCCATTTCCTGTTTTGCCAGCTCAGCACCATCCTTTGCAGCCTGAAGATCTACTGCATCTTTAACGGAAAGTACTCCTCCTTTCACTAGACATTTGTTTTTTGTTCTCTGGCGTTTACTTAGTAAGTGATTGGCCTCTTCTAGTTCGCGGATCCAGGAATCAACCAAAGCGACCTTATGCATAAGACCGTATGTAGCCTTCGAAAACGAGCTCAATGCATCAACTATTGATGTAGGTGAGCTTCCCTGGTGGTTTCTAACTCGGTTTCGGATATAAACTGATTGGTTTACCGCTTCGTTAATGGTGGTAGGCGTCTTCGAAGTCCAAGTAGTGGGTGGCAGATTGGGGTCTGGCGACGGTGTTCGTATGACAGCGACAGCATCCAGCTTTGAAATGACACTTTCTGGGTCAAAAGGAACAAGCCCAGTGGCACTGAAACCTGCTCGAATGTTTCCTGGCGTCATAGCAGCGTTGTGTGCTTCACAAAACGCTGCAAGGAAGTCCTCCTTCGAAACGTGGGTTATATGACGCCGGATGAGATCCTCAATCATGCGACCGTAAGCTCGTTTGAGCGGGCTAAAACAGCCGACATCTAGAGGCTGGAGCCTGTATGACGAGTGGGCAGGCATACAAAGGGTGATAATGCCGTTGTTCTGACAATAATCCTCAAAGACCTGGGAATGGTGGCTTTCGTGACCATCTAGGATGAGGAGGCGTTTACCGGCAGTCATACGCGGTCTGGTATACTTGTCGAAATGCTGAATCCATTCCAAACCAATCTCATTCGTGGTCCACCCGTTGTCGGACACGGCCACTTTCCAATCGCGTGGTAATATCGTGTCGCGATACCATGACGCGAGGTGGGTTTTGCCCTGTAGAATGATGAATGGCGGGACCACCCAACCATCAGCATTAACAGCAGAGATTGCTGTAGACCATTCCCTGTTGCCTTGCTGAGCTTGTCTAGGCCTGCCACGTCTTTCGGCGCTTGTAACGACCATGCCGGACCCAATAATGCCCATCATAAACCCAGTCTCGTCGAAGTTGTAAATATCCGCATCTTGGATACCATGTTTCGCGACTGCCGCTGCAACTTGGCAAAACCACGCGCGATACGCGTCTGGATCCTCGTTCAAGACCCTCTGGTAGTCTATCTTCCGATAAAAATGCGTCCGGAGGCCTGGTGTACGTTTGATGAAGTTCCGCGTCCAGTTCTTTCCAACGCGTCTAGCCCCACGCGCCGCCAACAATTGATTTGCCATATCTTCAACATAACTATACCGGGGCAGAAATGCTCGCGCATCCAGGTCGAGAATGAAGGAACAAATGGCATTCTCTTCGGAAACCATAAGTTTCAAAGTATTGGGCATGCTGTCGCGTCGTGATGGCATTTCTTTGACTCTATTGCTCAAAGTGGAATGAGGGACGTTGAAGAGTTTCACAAGCTGAAATATAGGAATATGAGGGTCACGTCGTTTAGCTTGAACAGCTAGCTGCAAGTCTGATTCGTTATAACGCGGTGCCATTGTTGTTGGTGGAGATATGATGGTTTGAATCGTATTGGTTGGAAAGTTCATGACGAGTGCTAACTCGCTTGTAATGTCAACTCGCTTGTCAGCTACGTTATATATTATACATAAAAGATAATTATTTATAAGAATAAACTCGAAAACGAAAAATAAACGGTACTTTTTATATATTATAAACCTGGCTAAGTATTTACCCTGCCCTGAAACATTCCTCTATCGCTAACAAGCTAAATCACTACGTATCTTCAAAATAAAAATAACTTAACGCAATAATTTGATCTTTCGTATATATATTTAAGCATCTTATTTAAGACCTTTTTAATCTTCAACCCTTTTTTCCCCCTTCAATCTTTTCAATCTTTTGACTTACGATTGATTTATAAAAACGAAACCACGGTACCTAATTTGTTAACATTAAAAATCATTAATCTTATATAAATCAAGTTTTTCTAATATAATGTATCTACTTATTAAACCCGCTAGTTTATATTGTACTTTAAGTTAACTTAAGGTTTTTATCAATGTAAAAACCTAACTAAATATATCGTTTAAATTACCTTTTTTGTTCGATAACATCCTAATTGGTTTATAGAACTTCGAAACCTTTAGCCCCTTTTATAACGGTTAAATATAATATCGGTTTAAAGCTCGGGCTATTTGAATATTATTAAAATCGGTAAGTATTTATTTACTAATTTATCAAACATAGCTACCTTTTAATTATAATCGGCTTATTCTTTTTTTTTTAATATTAAAACGGTTATAAACGTTTAAATTAAGGCTTTTATATATATTTAACCTAGTTAAAATATCTATACACTGCTCCTTGTTATATATACTCGACTCGGGTTTTAAGGTTTAAAACCCCATTTCTTTATATCTATAATTTGAATAAATTATTGTGACGGCCTGCACAGACCTTCCCACATGACAAGCGGATACTTCCCAATAGGGGAAGGATCTGACCAGAGGATCCCCTTAAAGGGGCAACCTCCCACTATACCTATCTCTCTCTCTCTCTTCCTTTCCTCTCTAGTCTTGATATTCTCGTCAATAGAGTAATAGCTGCTTGCTGCCGGCCATGTCCCAGCTCCTCAGTACGCTCGCCGTGACAATTATACGTACTAGGCTTATAACAATAAATTTCTTACGTGATAACAACTCTTTAATAACTTGAAAAAAAAAATTCAATCTTTACGGCATTAATATGTTTAAAAAAGGCAATAAATCTTCCGTATATAACTACGATTTTAATAAACCCTTATAATCACTGTTTAAAAATATTATTTATTTTATCTTATAATCGTAATAAAAATAAAGCCGGTCAATAAAATAACAAGTATAACTAATACAAAGCTTTTATTTATAACTGTACCTATCTTTTTATAAGGGCCTATAAATTAACCGAAATTGGTAAATTAAGTAACTACCGTTTTACTTTAATAATCCTTATATTATATTAACAATAACTTTCGCCCAGGTAAAAAAGTTGAACTTTTTTAATTATAACTACACCTTACGTTAAACGATCTTTTGTATACCATCCCCGCCATAGAAGTCGGACAGCCAAACCCCACCATCACCACCAAAACACCCCTTTATTCACACACATGTAAAAGAAGTCATTCAGATCAGAGAAACTCAGCAAAATTATCATTCGAGAGCGCTGAAGCTGCTCATTTGTACAATCTAGCGGGCGCCCGTATTGCGCGGCCGGAACGTGTCAACCTAGGCTGCTGGATGGCCTCCAAAGCGGCCTCTTCAGGGGCTTCATCCTCATCTTCCTCTTCATCCTCCGACTCAACAATCATCTCTTCTTGTACCTCTGCAGGCGTTTCAGGGCCAATGGTACCTCTCTTAGACAAGATCTCTGTCACCGTTTTAAACTTCTTGTTAGGATTATGGATCTTTTGTCGCTTCTTGTGCCGTAGCCGCTCCAGTTCAGCC